ACATCTAAAAAACATCTAATTTTATAACAGTAAGTCACTGCCCTTTCACTGTGCTGATGTTTCCATGAGCAATGGTGGGTGAACTGCTGGGCTTTAGAACAAACAAGGTAGACCCCAAACCACAGCAGCAGCCACCATGTGCTCATTTACCACTAAAAATCAAAAACAAACCAAAAACCCAATTTCACTTAAGACTGTCCTATGCAAAATAGTAAAAATGATTAGTTTTATTAAATCGTGACTGCTGGAGTGGACATGTGGAGCAGTGGGTTAAGCTCTTGCTTCCATAACACAGAGCCTGGGCAGGCTCAGCTCCACTCTCCGTTCTAGTTTCCTGCGGATGTGCACGCTGGCAGGCAGCAGGTGATGGCGCGTGGATTTGGGTCCCTGCCTCCTGGGAGATCTAGGTTAAGTTCCAGGCTCCTGGCTTCAGCCGGGCCCAGCCCAAGTCCAGCCACTACAGCCATTTAGGGAGTAAATCAACAGAAGGAAGATCTCTCCAACTCGCCTTCTCACTCTCTCTCTGAGTAACTCTGCCTTTCAAATAAATAAATAATAATAATAAAAAAATCCTGATCCTTGAGCACCATCTTTTAACATTGTGTGATGGCATGAGAGGTACGCACAGACACTTCCACGGCAAACCGAAGACAGACAGTCACCTCACAGGACTTACTATTTTCTTCAAGGAGTATCATTTTCACTTGAAAGAATGACAGACACACTGGCTACCTGGCCTCAGGTATTTAGCAGACCTCTCCTTAAAAACGAAGCCGTCAGTTCAGGGGAGATGTTGACGGCACTTACTGGCAGAGATGAAACTCAAGCCTTCAAGCAAAAATTCCTGAAGTGCTAGAAAACACGTACTCCCCTCTGTGAGCGTGACATGTCCACACTCAAGAGCCTGTCTGATCAGGCGAGTGGTGTCACTAACATGATCTTCTGGATATCATAGAACAAAATGGGTTGACATCTAGGAGATATGCGTAACTCAGTAAATCAACATTTTTCAAATCACCATGCCTGATGATGTAAAATCTTTTATGGGTAAAAGATCCATTCCAGGGGCCGGCACTGTGGTGTAGGGGGTAAAGCCACTGCCCATGGCACAGGCATCCCATATGGCACTGGCTCAAGTCCCAGCCACTCCACTTCCAATCCTGCTCCCTGCTAATGCTCCTAGGACAGCTGCAGAGGATGGCCCAAGTGCTTGGCCCCTGCACCCACGTGGAAGCCTGGAAGAAGCTTCTGGCTCCTGGCTTCAGCCTGGTCCAGCCCTGGCTGTTGGGGCCACCCAGAGAGTGAACCAGCAGATGGAAGACCTCCCTCTGTCTCTCCCTCTTTAATTCTGCTTTTCAAATAAATTTGTAAAAAGATCCACTCCAAGCGCACGTGGGACCAGTGGAGCATAGTGCAGCAGAGAACAAAAAGCTCTCTGATGAGGTTTCACGTTCCACGCTGCAACCAACCTTCAGGAAACCACCACTTGTCAGAGAACACCCACAATTAACTGAAAGGGCTCTTAAACAGTCCTCCCTTCGCCAACTTCCTGTGCGAAGCCGGATTTTCTTCAAACAGGCTGACCCAAACAACACACTCCAACAGACTGAATGCGGAAGCATGTGTGAGAACCCACCAGTCTTCTGTTAAGCTAAACATCACAGACACGTGTACACAGTAAGACAATGCCATTCTTGGCACTTTTTTAAATTTCAGAAATACTTACTTTACATAACAATATTATTTATGTTAATATGTGTTGGGTTTAATTTTATTTTAAAATGAATTGATTACTTAAAATTCTCTCAGGCAACTTTTTTTGAAAAAAAAAAAAAAAAACTTGTTATTTTTATTTATTTGAAAGGCAGAGTTATAGAGAAAGAGGGAGAGAAAAATAGAGAAAGATATCTTCCATCTGCTGGTTTACTCCCAATAGTTGCACGGGCCAGAGCCGAGCCAGGCCACAGCCAGGAGCCAGGAGCTCCATCCGGGTCTCCAACACGGGGCAGAGTCTCAAGTGTCTGGGCCACCTTCCTCTGCCTCCTCAGGTGCTGGGATGGGAGCCAGATCAGAAGTGGAGAAGCCATGACTTAATCCAGCGCTCACATGGGATGCCAATCTCAGACGGTGGCTTACCCCACTGTGTCACAATGCAGTTGTGACTTCGAAGACAAACAGACAGCAATAGATAAAACCAAAATGAACAGCAGCTCTTTGGGATCCTCACTTTTAAATTGTGTGAAGAAACCAAAACATTTTGCAAACAGCTATAGAATACATCAAAAGCTTATAAACATCAAAGTAGAAAGGATAATGCCATCTAGTGGAAACAACAGTAATGACAGCAACCCATTTGGTAACAAAATAGATTACACAATGGAATGCCTGCGGCCCAGCTCTGCTTCTAATTCCAGCTTCCTGCTAACGTGCAGGCAGCATGTGACGGCTCAGTACTTGGGTCTCTGCACCCAATGAAGGAGACCTGGATTGGGTTCTGGGCTCTCATCTTGGGCCTGATCCAATCCCAGCTGTTGTGGGGCATTTGGGGAGTGAACCAGTGGATGGGAGATTTCTCTTTGCTTCTCAAATCAAAAAATAAGCAAATGACACTTCTAACAAAGATCTATTGGGGGGGGGGGGGCAGCACTGTGGCATAGTGGGTAAGGCCACTGCCTGCGGAGCCAGTATCCCTTATAAGCACCGGTTCGAGTCCAGGCTGCTCCACTTCTGATCCAGCTCTCTGCAATGGCCTGGGAAAGCAGTAGAAGATGGCCCAAGTCCTTGGGCCCCTGCATCCATGTGGGAGACCAGGAAGAAGTCCCTGGCTCCTGCCTTTGGATCAGCACAGCTCCAGCCATTGCAGCCATCTAGAGAGTGAACCAGTGGATGGGAGACCTCTCTCTTTCTGCCTCTCTGTAACTCTGCCTTTCAAATAAATAGCCTTCCACGGCCACACTCCAAAAGAACTAAGTGACTTTGAGGGGTACATTTTGGAGGGGTCCCCAGTAACAACAGAAATATTTTCATTCTACAATGAAACTCAAAACTCAGTCCAGTAAAGGACATCAGCCAACCCTGAGGTGAGCCTGAGAAAGCAGAGGCAGGCAGAGATCACCCCCGGGTCCCCCGTGCCGTGTGGGGAACTCTGTTCTGCTTCTCATGTGGCTCCCCTCTCACGAAGCCTGTCACGGCGGAGGACGCGTTTGAATCTCAGTACTCCAGAAGAAATGCGGCTGAGTGCACGTACCCTGCTCTCCTGCCAACCTCCCCAGCCTTCCAGCCTTTAGCAAAGGCCGCTACTGCAAACGACTCCAGCTCCTGCAAGTCTCCTTTCCCCCGCAACTGACGCCCCTGTACCTGACAGCTCCCTGGGCTTGCTGGATGCACGGACACCCTAACACCCAGACGGCTGCAGCAGAGCATGCTGATGCTAACGCTAGTGACCATTTTCCTTCTGCAGCCTGAGCAGAGTTCTGCACGTCTCTGAACCGGAGCTCAAGTCTGCCCCCCACTCTGTCAGTAAGGCTTGGACTAGTTCCCAGGCCTGGGCTCTTCAATCAGCACACAGGGTAGTGCGCATTGAGTTTCCAGGATTCATTTTTTTCTTTCTCTTGCATGCTGATGCCAAACTGTCTTTCATGGTAACATGTGTCCTTGTCTGTATCATCCACAGCCTGTTAGGGATTTACTTCAACAGCTGCACACAATTCTATCCAATCACAGAACCAGTTCAAATATAGAAAAGCTCACACTCTACTTGTGGATGTATTGTTTTTTTGTTTGTTTGTTTGTTTGTTTTTTGATAGGCAGAGTGGACAGTGAGAGAGAGAGACAGAGAGAAAGGTCTTCCTTTGCCGTTGGTTCACCCTCCAACTGCCGCCGCAGCCGGTGCGCTGCGGCCGGTGCACTGCACTGATCCGATGGCAGGAGCCAGGTACTTATCCCGGTCTCCCATGGGGTGCAGGGCCCAAACACTTGGGCCATCCTCCACTGCACTCCCAGCCACAGCAGAGAGCTGGCCTGGAAGAGGGGCAACCGGGACAGAATCCAGCGCCCCGACCGACTAGAACCCGGTGTGCCGGTGCCGCAAGGCAGAGGATTAACCTAGTGAGCCGCGGCGCCGGCCATGGATGTATTGTTTTAGATTCTAACTAGACAGTATTTCCCTAACTCCTACCAGGTCACCTTGAAGGTTTCAGCTTGTTTCAAAGCAGTTTTTAATGATAAAACTATGTCCCTGTTCTCCAAGCCTAGAGTAACGAAATTAGTCTTTCTCTTTAAAGAAAAAAAAAAGGTTTGGCCCATAGAACACTGCAAAAGGTTCAGTTTTAGTGCCAGGTGCACAGCACAACAGCTTCATCAACAAAGGGGTCTTAACCTTTCTCACACAGGCGCCTCAAGGACAGTGGCAGGAACTGCTTCCAGTACTCTCACTGCTGCAGGATGACAACTATGGAGAAGACAGGTTACTCTTTTAAAAAAGACCAATGTGCACGGCTCGCACAAGATGGAAGGGCACACCCCTGGGACAACTAAGATCAGGCTGAGTAACCCCAACAGCCGGTGGGTGGCCCCGTGTTAGTCGGACCCCTCCCTGGCCCTTTGTTACTTCTAGATGACTGAAGAGAACCCCACATACACAATACAGCCCTTATGCCTTCCTGATTCTAGAAACTTCTCCACATCTAACCCACCTACGGGGGCAGTGACCCCACAAAGCACTACCTGGGGTGCAGAAAGCAGGTGGCTTGCTGGACTAAGAACTCTTGCCTTTCTAGTCTGGAGATACGGCACAATCTAGAAGGCTGGAAATCAAACTAATTCAGGGCTTAATCATTCCTAGGTGGGCTCCAGGTTGTTTATAAAGCTGGTTTTGTCCCAGAAAATGTCCACATGGCTACACATGTTAGAGGAAAAGATCTTGACAGACACGGGATCTGGGCTCTCACGTCCGAACTCCTTGTCTGCACTCAGCCACCACCACAGCCAACACCAAATACCTTTGGGTCATCAGCCTCAGGTTTTTCAGGCTCTGAATCGTCATCTTCCTACAAGACAAAGAATTCAAAGGATTAAGCTTACAGAGGTGGGCCTGAGAGATCGCACATGCATAACTAGGGGTTGGAGCAAACAGCCCGTCTACCCAGCCGGGGTCATCCCACCAAAAGCCCCTCCCCTACCACAGGACCCAGAACTAGAGAAAGAGAAGGGGAAAAGGAGATGTTTGGGGGAGAAAAAAATAAAAAACAGCAGCAAAGCCAAGTTAGTCTAGTGGTGCCACAGCCCACATCGATGAAAATGCCAGTTAGAAATCATACACATAAAAATGGAGAAAGGTTACAACATACTGCAGAAGAGTGAGACCAGGCCACAGGATAAAGCAGGCAGTGTTTCCACGGGAATATCAATTATTTAAAACCAGGACTATGAACTCCCCACTCTGACTTTCATATACACAAGCACATCAGACGTGGACCTCCTACATCATTTGACAACAGAGTGCTTGACTCACACACAGCCACACCGCGGTGCCTCTGCCCAGCAGTACTTGCACTAACATGAACACAGGAAGGGAAGCACCAAACCACTGGAGCGAGCGCGTCAGGCAGGACCGAAGGAAATGCCCCGTCTTCCTGGGTCCCGGCTGAGCGGTCTCCTCCACACCCAAGGTCCACAGAACGGCCACCGGCCCGCTCCAGCCATCTCGTCCCTATCCAGAGGAGGTTCGCGTGTGGGTGAGGCGCTCTCTGCAGTGAGCCCATCATTCCACTGAACACTAACGATCGGGAGCAGACCCAGGCCTAGACTCCCTCCTGGCCAAGTCCACGGCACTGCCACTTCCAAACACTCCCAACAGACAAAGCCTTAGACTAAATGCCTAGGAAAAACTGGTTTCATTTAAACCTGCTATTTTCAACAGTGACGCTTTAACCAGACATCATATAGCATCCCTGCTGTTACTGTAAGAGACTTGAATGAACTCCACTAGTGGTTGTGAGATTTTGCTGCCCTGTAAGTGCCAGAGCCCAAGGTTTTAAATGCAGTTTTCATAATATCCTTAAAATGCAATCTGTTATGCCAAATAACGAGAGGTGGAGCTCAGCTGAGTACAATCACGTTTCAGAATGTCTACACTGGGATTTGATGAGCGGATTGTACTAAAATATAACAGAGAGCTTAAACCATGATGAGAACACTAAGCAACACAAATATGGAAAAACACTTCAAAAACATAAATTATACAAATATAGTAAAGAAAAGAGTATGGATATTAAGCCAATGTGCATGTACTTGAGAAAAATCAGCAAATGAAAACTTGCAAAGCGTTTCTAATCAATTTTAGTCAACTCTGAATTATCAGCAATAATGGGAAGGGTTAAAGGCTTGTTCCCAAAAGAGCTTAAAATACACACACATTTCTTAGTTAAGTTAGAAAGCATTTTAATGCTAACATTTCCACATGAACATGTAACAAAATTTTCAGACAAATAAAAAGTATACTGTGAGTGTTTTGATGAAAACTGTCACTAGATAGGCAGACTCAGCATCCAAATTCAATTTTGTCCATCTTTGAGCTAAGCACCACTGAATGTCCTTATCTTTTCCTGGAGACCGCTAACTCTGGCCCCTGCTGCTCGAGAGAACGTGTGTCTGACGTGTTTTGTTGTTAGTGAAGACCCACATTTGCCTTTCTTTGTCACCCAGCACCTATTAAACTTCCGGCAAGATCTGTGATCAAGAACCAAGGGCACCCTGACAGAAGGCGTCAAGAGAGAAGCTGAAAAGGATCCAAGTGGGTGAATACACAATAATTTTCCTTCCTTACCTTGTTAATAAACTGAAAGACTTGAATGAGCCCCAACCAGGATTAAAAATAATACAGAGTTGATTGCAGATATAAATGATACACCAATTAGGATGAACAATTACAAATGGAATAAAATATCTAAATAGGAAAAGTCGACGTAAAACACCCATTGATATATGGGTTAAATAAAATAGTCCATGTCTTTCCCCCTAAGTTTCAATTCAAAAGCTAATACAAAATGGTCTGGATTAAACAAATTTCATTTTCAAACAGAACTACTGATATCCAACCCAGTTTCTTCAACTGATACCAAACAGAAGAGGGAGGGGAAGAGAGCCCTGGGAGGGAGCACAGTTCAGAAAGACTGACAAATGCAGGCGCCGTACAGCTCTGGGCGCGGGAGATCACCTACCGACGGTTTGCTGTTCTCCTCCTCCTCTTCCTCGTAACCATCTTCATCACCTCCTAGGCGAGAAAAGTCATCTTCCCCATAGGCGTCAGAAACCAATCCGCCTTTTTCCTCTGAAACAAAGGGGGGGGGGGTGAGTGTTAAGGTCAAGAAACTCCCAGTGAACTGAGTGCCCAGAACATTCTAGAAGGTAACCGGGCAACCGAAGCCTCACGTGAGCGACCACAGGTCCAGATTCTGCCCCTGGGAAGAGCCAGTGTAGCAGACGCGGTCGCTAAAAGAACAGACGAAAGCCGACTGCTGAACTGTCTCCAAGGCTTCCCGCCCGTGTCCCGCCGACGGAGGCCTCCCCTTCTCTGCTCTGCACCGCGGGTCGCCTCCGCAGATCCCACGGGTCTGCTCTGCACCGCGGGCGCCTGCCGGCTGGCCTCCACGGTCTTCCGGCGGCACCTCTCACCCCACCTACAGACCCCAACAGGGCACTCCACCGGGGTCCCGACCACGCCCACTTCTGAGACAAAACCTTTTCTACTTCGGAAAAAAACAAAGGACGGAGACCAACTGGAACCACCAGAGAACACACAAAACCACAGGTGCGACGCGACGACCCCGCGCCAGCCCCTGCTGCTTCCTGACGCGGAAACCGAGGCCCCGCCTGGTGTCTGGCCTCCCTCTGCTCTCCCCGGAAATCTGTTCCCATCCACCAACGCCATGACGGAGAGACGGCAAAAACGCGTTAACTAGAATCGCTAAGAGAGCGCACAAAAGCACAGACCCGACTCCAGCGTCAACCTCCCTCTTGCAAGTGCTCTTCCTAAAAAACAGCTACACTTTAACCAGACAAGGGCCCTGTAACCCTCCACGGACGTCCTACTCCGCGCTCTCCCCCAACAAACCACAGGGCCCGGGAACACGCAGGGATTCAGCGGCGTGGATCCCGCGGCCGCTTCGTCCATCGCCTGCCCAGCACGAAGCTCGATACGGAGACTTCCCGTCCAAGCTTCAGCAGAGCCGTCAGAACAGCGGGCAGGAGGACGTTCGTTCTCGAGTCCGCTAACTCATCCGGGCTCCCGGCCGCACTTTGGAGCTCCGGGGTCCCAGACTCGGGGCACGACGACCGCTTCTGTGCCTCCCGCCCCGCGAGGGGAGCAGCGTTCTGGGCGAACACACGATTCCCTCTTCCAGCTTCCCACTCGGGACTCACCGGCCGCGCTGCCCACCGCTTCGACTCCAGCTTCGCCATCAGACTCGGGTTCTGAATCTTCCGCATAAACTGCCAGAGACGACAGAACATTCTTCTTCCCCGCCATCTTATTCCCACAGCCCCGACGCGGCACACGCCTATGACTCAAAGTAGCCAACTTCCGTGAGATAAGGCAACTTCTTCCCGTTCCCGCGAGAACGCGCCAAGCCGACAACCAATCAAAACGACGTTTGCGCGGCTGGCCCGCCCCCTCACGCCCGCCCTCTCGCGACGTCATCACTGTGCGACGGATATAAGGATATAAGGTTTTTGCCTATCAGCGGACTTGCGGCGTTTTGGTCTCTGGAGAGTTGGGAGGGCGTGTGGGGGTCTCGGAGTAGTTCCCCAGCCAGCGGGCGCCAGCGACCCCGAAGAACCCTTCACTCCGGGGCGGCCCACCGCTGGCCTTGGGGTGAAGTAAAGGGAGCTTCGGGCTGGGGAAGGGGGAAAGTTGCGCATCTGGGACTCTGCGGAGGCGGGCAGCGGTGGGCTGGGCCCCGGGAGAAGGGGCCTCATGGCTTCGCTCGTAGAAGAAAGAGCAGAAGGTGGATCTTAGAAAAACCATCCCGCGCCAAATATTCGGAAGGCGTCTGTGTTTCTTGTCGTGGTCTGATCCGCATCTCGGGGCTACCCACCCGTGGCCTGGGCGAGTCACATGTAGCAGTGGGGATGCCGGGTACCAAGGATTGCATTTCTGAAGGCGTTACTACTTGAAGATAATGCATAAGTGCAATAGCGCAGATTCGTACCCACGGAGGAGAGTCTTTTAAAAGCAGGGCACAGGGTCCTGGTCGCAAACGGTCTCCGTCTCTGCCTTAATCTCTGGCTGCTGCTTTCCGCCGCGATGAGCGCCCGCCCTCCCCCGAACCCCTCCGACCCTGAGCGGCGAGTGCGGAGCACGCTGAAGAAGGTCTTTGGGTTTGACTCCTTTAAGACGCCTTTGCAGGAGAGGGCGACCATGGCTGTAGTGAAAGGTAATATTACCAAGCTCTCTGCTTTGCGTGCTTCCCGACCACCACAGCACTGCAGCAGAACACCCTCCTGCTGGCCCCTCGCACTCCCCCGACCCCTGACCCACGCCTGCTTCTGGAAGCGTCTGGACTTGTCACCCAAAGCTTGCAGACCCAGTGACGGAGTCACCAGCTGTTCCGGTTCTTAGGTTTCATGGCCAGAACTGCAAGTTGTCTTTGAAAACAGTTCCTAGATCCCCGTCCTCTTTCACTTAAAAATTTTTTTGGCCAGCGCCGCGGCTCACTAGGCTAATCCTCCGCCTTGCAGCGCTGGCACACCGGGTTCTAGTCCTGGTCGGGGCGCCGGATTCTGTCCCGGTTGCTCCTCTTCCAGGCCAGCTCTCTGCTGTGGCCCGGGAGTGCAGTGGAGGATGGCCCAGGTGCTTGGGCCCTGCACCCCATGGGAGACCAGGAGAAGCACCTGGCTCCTGGCTTTGGATTGGCGCAGCGCACCGGCCGTAGCAGCCATTTTAGGGGGTGAACCAACGTAAGGAAGGCCTTTCTCTCTGTCTCTCTTTCTCACTAACTGCCTGTCAAAAAAAAATTTTTTTTAATTAGTTAATTTATGAGGCAGAGGGACAGCTACCCTCTGTTTGTTCACTTCCCCAGTGCCTGCAACACCCAGGGCTGAGCTAGGTCTCCCACACGGGTAGCGGGGACCCAAATCCTTGAGCCGTCACACACAGCCTCCCAGGGTGCCCATGGGCAGGGAGCTGGAATTGGGAGCAAAGTTAGTGCTTGAACCCAAGCACTCCTCTGAAGGGGTTGCAAGCATCCTGACACTGTGACCAGTAGGCCAAATGCCTGCTTCTAGATTATTCCTTTAAGTGTGGGCAGTAGTAAGGCTGGCAGCAATAGCCTCATCCCGTCACTGACCTTCTGCATAATCTCATTAAGATTAAGTGGCCTGTGTCCCAGATAGGGAGGGAAAGGGATGGGATATTTTAGACCTGAGATGTGGTGACAAGTGGAGATTGTCAAGAGGGGAGCAGCACTCTAACGTTGACACTTTTATAAGCAAAAGACCTCGAAGTGGTGTCCTGTCTTTCCTTACACACAAAGCATTCTGCTCTCGTGGCCGTTTAATCCAAGTCCCAACAGACTTCTACCCCGTTCTTACTGCCTCTACCAGAAATGGTTTGTGCACATTTCCGAATCTCCCGGGTCCCTGCCCTTTCCAGAGGGGGGAGGGGGGAAGGGAATTAATTAACATAACAGCCCTCGCATGTGCCACAAACTGCTAAGTGCTTTTGCTATACTTTTTTTCGTGTAATTTTCAGTAATCTTGGTGTCAAGGCAGGAAGCATTGAGATTCTGTCTTGTATTTTTGCAGGTGACAAGGATGTATTTGTGTGCATGCCCACGGGGGCAGGAAAGTCCCTCTGCTATCAGTTGCCTGCTCTGTTGGCCACAGGCATCACCATTGTGATCTCTCCTCTCATCGCTTTGATTCAGGTGAGGCCGGAGATAGGGAAATAGTCGCCCAGAAAGGTTACGGGAAAGTCTGATGGCCGGAAACTTCACTTCTGCTTTATTTGCTCTTCTGCCTCTTACGGTCTCTGATTTGCCTGTCTCATCCTCTATATTTAGTTTCTGAATTACCCTCAGCTGGAGTTCTCCACTAATGCGTATCGGGGTGTTTGTGCATCTTCAGTGTTTGGATGGCCTGTGCTCCCTCACCATCCTTTGTCCCTGTTTTGTCCAGAGGCGTATGGAACTGTGTCTGTACACTCACGCGCGTGCTAACATGGACACACTGATGCGCTCCATGTTGGGATAGGAGACACAGATATATACAATATATACATATTGACTTGAAATCCTGGTGGCTTGCTTTATTTTGGTGAGGAACAGGTATGTGAAACAGAAAAAAAAAATGAGGACCTGACCTCCTGTTGGGACTGAGATGGGCTGATGGAATGGGAATTGGAGAAGGGTGGCCACGTGGTTAGGAGCCAGCCGCCACACGGAGAAATCGAGGCATGGGGAGTAGTGGTAATACTTGATGAATGTTCACGAGGTCTCAGACTTTGTGCTAACTGCTTTATATACATTAATTTCACCTTCGAGATGCAATGTTCTGTTTAATTCCTCCCATAATCCTATTAGATAGCTAACTATTTTATAGGCAAAAGAGAGGTGGGAAAAAATAACCAAACCAAGTCTCAGAAGTTAAGAAACAGCCAAAGGGGGCTGGTGTTGTGGCCTGGTGGGTTAAGCCATCGCCTGCAGCACTGGCATCCCTTATTGGAGCCCCAGTTTGAGTCCCAGCTGCACTATTTCCAGTCTAGTTCCCTGGTATCGCTCCTGGGAAGGCAGTGGACGACGGCCCAAGTACATGGGCCCCTGCCACCCATGTGGGAGACCTGGATGGAGTTCTGAGCTCCTGGCTTTTTCCTGGCCCAGCCCTGGTCATTGTAGCATTTTGGAAAGTGAACCAGTGGGTGGAAGATCTCTCTGTCTCTTTCTCTTTCTCATTCTGCCTTTCAAATAAATAAAATCTTAAAAAAAAAAAAAAAAAGAAGAAGAAGAAGAAGAAGGAGGAGGAGGAAAGAAACAGCTAAAGATCAGGTTGCAGTTAAGTGAACCAGGATTAAATCCAGGTCTGTCTGATTTCAGAGCCTGTCCTCTCAACCATGTCACCCTCCTGCTTATGTGGAGGGGTGGGCAGCAGTGTACATGACCGGGAAATCCCGGAAGTCCTGAGGGCCAGTTTTACTATTCTCTTCCCCCTCTGCCCTCAGGACCAGGTGGACCACTTGTCGGCCCTGAAGGTACCAGTGAGTTCCCTGAACTCGAAGCTCTCGGCACAGGAGAGAAAGGAGCTGCTCTCTGACCTGGAGCGAGAAAAGCCCCAGACCAGGCTTCTGTACATCACCCCAGAGATGGCAGCTTCCGCCTCCTTCCAGCCCACGCTGCACTCCCTGGTGTCCCGCTGCCTGCTCTCCTACTTGGTGGTGGATGAAGCTCATTGTGTTTCTCAGTGGGGACATGACTTCCGTCCTGACTACCTGCGTCTGGGTGCCCTGCGTGCCCGCCTGGCGCATACCCCCTGTGTGGCTCTGACAGCCACAGCCACCCCACAGGTCCAAGAAGACGTGTTTGCTGCCCTGCACCTGAAGCCACCCGTCGCCACCTTCAAGACACCCTGCTTCCGGGCCAACCTCTTCTATGATGTGCAGTTCAAGGAACTGATTTCCGACCCCTTTGGGAACCTGAGGGATTTCTGCCTGAAGGCTCTTGGACAGAAGACCAATAAAGGGGTGAGGCACTGGGGTTGGGGCCAGCACAGAGCTGGCTGCTGGTTTTCTAATACCCTCACTCTCTGTGGCTTCCTGAGGCTTCTCAAAGCTTGTGCACAGAGTTGTATATGTGGGTTCCCGGCGTGGTCATCCTTACCAGGGCTTCCTTCTTCTGGATTCTTCTGTGGAAGACAGGCCGTTGGCTCTTCTGTGTGAGGCCTTTGCAAACCCACGCAGGGTTCCCCAGGAGGAGACAGAGGAGTTAAACAAGTTGGATTCGAGCTGCTTTGGACATCTTTGGGCTGATTTTTCGGTTCTTTCCATGCTGTGCTCTCCATTCAGGTGTTGTCCGGCTGTGGCATTGTCTACTGCAGGACCAGAGAGGCCTGCGAACAGCTGGCTATGGAGCTCAGTTGCAGGGGTGTGAGTGCCAAGGCTTACCATGCAGGTAAGGGGCTCCCAGGCCCTGTGGTCCTGTCTTCTCTCTCAGAGGCTTCTCAGGGGGTCTCATTCCTTATAGGTTCTAGATAATCAGATTGTCCGTTATCTTCTTCCCGAACCCAGGCAGAGCTAAAGTGATTCACTGAAATCCGCTAAAAGCACTCTAGTCACAAATGAGGTCTAAGATGAGAATTAAGACTCCTGCTGCATTTTCTCGTCCTGTGCCCACCCTGCAGCAAGTGAGAGTTTTCATAAGTCCAGGTATAGAGAAAGCCGGGCTTTGGAGGCCCATGGACTTGGGTTTGAATCTTGGCTGTGACCTTCACTGAGTGCCACGTGCCACACATTGGCGAGGGTCTTTCTTAGCCGAGGCTGTGTGAGGTTAAGGGCCTGGCCCAAGGTCACACAGCAGGGAAGTAATGGATTCAGGATGCGTGTGAAGTACCCAGCACAGTGTCACGCCCAGAACAGACCGTGCGGTAAGGCCATGGGAAAGGCGCATTTCCGTCCCCTCCTTTTCAGGGCTGAAGGCATCTGATCGAACGCTGGTGCAGAATGAGTGGATGGAGGAGAAGGTCCCTGTAATTGTTGCAACCATCAGTTTTGGGATGGGAGTGGACAAGGCCAATGTCAGGTGAGCTCTGGGTCTTGCCTTACCTTCCTGGTTAGGGCCTGGCGTGGGGTGGGCTGCCGTGTTCTTCCCAAAGGACCAAGTCCAAGTGTTCTTCGTAGGGCCGGAGAGGAAGGGAGCTCCAGGAGAGAGCTCCCAGCACACGGCCGGACACTAGCAGTGTCTGTGTGGCCTGTTCCCAGGTGCCTGCACTGCCCAGCTGTGCCGTCCCTAAGAAGGGGGCAGCTCGTAGACTGCTGGGCTTGTCCATTCACAGAGCCCTGCTTCCTCCCATCCTCGCGGCAGGTGGACCTATTGAGGGGCCGGCATGAGTAATTATCTTAAGCTGCTCCCTGTGGAGAGGCAAAGGCAAGGACCTTAATAATGCCCTCCCTTGTTACGACTTAATGACACTCTAGAAGAGTTGGGGTGCTTCCCGGCCTCCTAGCCCCACACTGGCAACTATGGGGACGTCCTTTTCCTCCAGCCATGGTCCCGCCTTTGGGAAACACTTTGAGCTCCAGCCTGTGGCCTTTCGCTCTGATTGAAGCCAACAACATTGCCTTGGAAGTTTGCAGAGCGCTTGTGCATGCGTGGCCTTGAGCCTCACAGTGACCCTGAGTTAGCTGGCACAGGAAATAGCCAGCGTGCAACATCTCAAAGGGCACAGACTTTGGTTCTGCTGTGTCTTGTACGAGCCAGCTTTGAAGGTAGACCCACCCCGGGCTCAAATCCTAGCTCTGCCATCCATCACTGTGTGGACTTGTACAGATTTACCTACCTGAATCTCAAGCGCTTTGTGAAATGGGCTACCTCACCTAATGGTGATTGTAACAGTTAAATGAGAATAACGTATACATTGATTCATAGTGAATATTTAATAAATATTATCCCTTTCCCTCTTTAGAGAAGTTACAAAGGACTTAGCTAAGGTTTTGTTTCTGGAAGTCCAGTGTTTCTTTTGATTCCTCACCTGGGCTGGAATTGCCCTGGGCTCCTGCTGTGGCCCGCAAGCTGAGCTGCTCCACGGCAGGAACTGCTGATGGCCCACAGCTGTCACACCCGGGCTCTTCTCTGTGCCTCTGTCGTAGTCCACTTTGTGTTGCTATAACCAAACATCTGGGGCCGGGTGGTTTATCAAGGAAAGAGTTCTAAACAGCACGGTGCTGGGAGTTGTCTGGTACAGCTGGCTGCACCACAACCACGTGGAGACTTCACGACGTGGAGAAGCAGGAAGGAGAGCAGGCGCAGGCAGAAGGGACTATGCACAGCCTTGCTTTGTCCTAACTGACTCTCAAGAACTAGCCTGGCCCTGCAAGAACTACCTCTCTCCCTTCCAAGGGTCCGGATCCTGTGACCTAATCGCCCCTAGAAGATCTCTCACCTGTCAGTATTGTTACGCCAGAGGCCAGACTTCCAGCACATGCCCCTGTGAGGACACACGCAAACCATTCCCAAGCCACAGCACCTTCTACTTGCTGGTCCCTGTCTAGAAAGCCCTGTTCTGCTGCCTTAGGCTTGCTCCTCCACTTCTGGGCACTCCACATTCCCTCACACCTCACCCTGCTTGTCCTTTTGGACCTACAGGTTTGTCGCCCACTGGAATATTGCCAAATCTATGGCTGGTTACTACCAGGAGTCTGGCCGGGCTGGCAGGGACGGGAAGCCTTCTTGGTGTCGTCTCTATTACTCTAGAAGTGACCGGGACCAGGTCAACTTCCTGATCAGGAAGGAAATAGCAAAACTCCAGGTGAGTCCTGGGCAGCAGTTCTTTCCTTCTGAACCCACCTCTCTTGTTTTGTGCAGTTTGCCTGAACGCAGAGCGGGCTTCCCTAAGCCTGGGGGGGCACCTGGCCTAGGAGGTTCAGCAAGAAGGAAGTGGTGTGTTGGGTGGGTAGTGGGAGAGCTGCTTGCAACAAACTAGATTAGACTTGTTTCTTTGTAAGCTTTTATATTGGAACTGCAGTTGGTGTAAGTGCTATTCTCCGTAGTCAGGAACAGTCCTGTGTCTTAAAAAACATTGGTATACAAGCACTTTCCCGTATTGCTATGTCCTTTGTTTTCGTTTTTAGCCTTTTCTTTTTTTCTGATTATATGTTTGTAGTAAGCCTGGAAACAGACCCGAGCGTGTAAGGGAAGTTGCTAAGTGATAGGTGGCATTATAAGTAACAGGAAAGGCTGAGTTGTGGAATAACAGGTACCAGAAAAAGATACATCAGATCCCTACTCAAAACCACTCACATGAATTACAGGTGGATTAGAGACCGCAAAAAACTAAATCATTTGGAAATCTTTTATGATCCTGAGAAAGGAAAGAGCATCTCAGGATCTGAAAGAAGAAATCATGATGGAAGGGCTGGCGCCGCGGCTTACTAGGCTAATCCTCAGCCTGCGGCGCCAGCACCCTGGGTTCTAGTCCCAGTCAGGGCGCCGGATTCTGTCCCGGTTGCTCCTCTTCCAGGCCAGCTCTCTGCTGTGGCCCGGGAGGGCAGTGGAGGATGGCCCAAGTGCTTGGGCCCTGCACCCCATGGGAGACCAGGAGAAGCACCTGGCTCCTGCCTTCGGATCAGCGCAGCACGCAGGCTGTAGCGGCCATTTTGGGGGTGAACTAACAGAAGGAAGACCTTTCTCTCTGTCTCTCTCTCTCACTGTCTAACTCTGACTGTCAAAAAAAAAAAAAAAATTAAAAAAGAAAAAGAAATCATGATGGAAGACATGAGCTTCTTGACTAAATTCAGACTAAAACTTTCTCCGTAATGGGAGACACTGGACGCAGAATGAACATGTGAGCCCTTGTCGGGGGAGGTGTTTGCGGAGTACGCGCCTGACTATGGGGAGAACTCCTACAGGTAAATAAGGCAAACCACCGCGCAGCGAAGGTGTGTTGAGGCTTTCCACACAGGAGACCAGACTATCTAGCAAATGCAGGGGAAGATGCTCTGCTCACTTGGGAACCAGACATGCAGCATAGACGAAAGTTGAGAGATCCAGCTCTTCTATAGCGTGACAGATAGATCCAGCTCTTCTATAGCGTGACAGATAGGGAAACCGTTTTAGTTGCATAGTGTGCTGGTCTAGGGCAGTACAGACGACACACTAAATCTGTAAAATTCAGCAGAGATAAATCCCCCCCAAAGCATGATATTGTATGCAGAGAGCAGGTTGTAAAAGGGCACATGTAGGAGCTGGCACTGTAATGTAGCAGGTTAAAGCCCCGGCCTGCAGTGCCAGCATCCCATATGGGTTCCAGTTCGAGTCCTGGCTGCTCCACTTCCAGTCCAGCTCCCTGCTAATGCACCTGGCAAAGCAGCGGAGTATGTCCCAAGTGCTTGGGCCTCTGCACCAGTGTGGGAGACCTGGAAGAAGCTCCTGGTTCCTGGCTTCAGATCAGCTCAGCTCTGGCCGTTCTGGCCATTTGGGGAGTGAACCAATGGACAGAAGACCTTTCTCTCTCTCTACTTCTCTCTCTAACACTATCTTTCAAATAAATAAATCTTAAAAAAAAAAAAAAAAAAGGTACATGTAGACTTGCTTAAAAAAAGCAGCAGACTGGGTACAGGTACTTAATTTCTGGTGCCTGCCGAAATGACAAAGGGATGAAAAAAAAATGTAAACTCACAAGGACATGGAGAATGGGAGAAAAAGTAACAGTAGATAGAAATGTCAATGAGTTGAGAACCACTGATTTAGATAAACTAAAATGTCACTGAAAGAAAGCAAACTCTGAGTAGCCCAGAATACCCCAAAGGCCCTAAAAGAAATCTGCTAGAACTCCTAAGAAAACCGGCAGCGTGGCCAAATACGAGACAGATGAAAAAGCTGGAGCTGGCATTTGTTGCAGTGGGTTCATCCCCAGCCTGCGACGCCAGCATCCCATACTGGAGCACTGTTTCAAATCCCAGCGGCTCTGCTTCCCATCCGGCTCCTGCTAATGTGCCTGGGGAAGATGACCCAGTGCTGTGCCCCTGCCTCCCCTGTGAGAGACCCCGATGGACTGCCAGGCTCCTGGCTTTGCCTGCTCCAGCCCTGGCTGTTGTGGCCATTTGGGGAGTGAAGCAGCAAATGGAAGACGTTTTTCTGTCTCTGTCTCTCCCTGTCACTCTGCCTTTCAAATAAGTAAAATAAAACTTAAAAAAATAAGTAAAATAAAAAATTGTTTACTGATGAGAGAGACCTTCTATCATCTGGTTTACTCTCCAAGTGCAACAGCAGCAACTCCCAACAGCCCAAAGCCGAGAGCCTGGAACTCAGTGCAGGTCCCCATGTGGGTGACAGGGACCCAGTTACTTGAAACATCCCCTGTGCCTCCTAGGGTGCACATTAGCCAGAAGCTGGATCAGAAGCAGAGCCGGGGTTTGAACCAGGCACTCCAATATAGGATGCGGGTATCCCAAGCAGCAGCTTAAGCGCTATACCAGATGCCTGTCCCAGGACAAACGTTTTTTTAAATCAGTAGCTTTTCTCCACATTATCACAAATATCTACAAATTGAAATTTAAAAAAATTTAATTTGCAAGAACAAGCATAAAATACCAAAGAATGAATGTTACTGGGTAGTGACAGATGGTTGCTTTACCTGCTCACTACAACACCAGCCAGGGAAATATTTCAATGCAGAGGCAAACGAAAGTCTAAAGTTGAGAATAAAGAAAGGATTTACCAATTTCCAAGAAAAAAAAAAAAAAAACACAAAGAATGTGAAAAGCAAGGGATAGGAAATGAAGGTTCCCAGGGAAATTCAGGAGCGGCACATCTAAAGATACTCAAATTCCAAAGTAAACAGATAAATGCAGATTCAGGAGAAATAACCTAAGGTTTATGTAAAAGAGCCCTGGCACCTGCTCCTAGTGGGGCCGCTTAGATGGAGGTGAAATATTACAGTTCTTTGGGAAACAATCTTGCAACCTCTGTTAAACTCTAAAACACAGGTACACTTTGACCCAAATACCCTGATTCTGGTACCCAGTCCCATGACATAAAAATGCTAGTAGTGGCTGGCAGTGTGGCTCAGCGTGTTAAGCCTCTGTATGCCATGTTGGGTTCCACGTCGGAACACTGGTTCTGGTCCCCGCTGCTCTGCTTCTGATCCAGCTTCCTGCTAATGTGCCTAAGAAGGCAGCAGATCATGGCTCAAGTATCGGGGGCCCTGTCACTTGTGTAGAGCTCTGAGGCTCCTGGCTTCAGCCTGGCCCAGCCTTGACTGGTGTGGCCATTTGAGGAGTGAACCACTAGAGGAAAAATCTTGCTCTCTTTCTCTCCCTTTCTGTCGCTCTGCCTTCAAATAAATACATAAAACTTAAAAACCAGAAGCAGTGCCAATGCAAAGCCCATGTGCTGGAGGGCCTGGGGGGTAGAATTGTTTGTGATGACAGTGAGAAACTGGCCAGCAGCGTGGTGTCGTGAGGTAGACTGCTGCCCACCTCCAGCCCACATTGGCTGTCCCACTCCCACCCAGCTCCCTGCTAAAGCAGCTGGGAAGGCAGGGGAAGATGGCTCAAGTGCTTGGGCCCCTGCACCACATGGGAGACCCAGATGGCGTTCCAGGCTCCTGGCTTTGTCGTGGCCATTTGGGGAGCGAACCAGCAGGTGGACGATCTCCGTCTCTCAGTCTCTTGTGCTCTAATTCTGCCCTTAAAAAATAAGTAAATCTTAGAAAAACAGCTCACCTTGGGCTAATGGACATAGCTGGGAGCTAAGAAAAATTGCTCTGTTTTTAAAAACTACATTTATTACAATTTGACCTTATAGATATACTTACTCTCTTACAACTCAAGCTGTGGGAACCTGGGAACCTTTTGCTTCCTGTGTCTAATGCCTAGATCAATGCTTGGGACATAGTGAACTCTTAGTAAATGTGGGATCAGTTAGTAACTGGGTGAATGAGGAGAGAAAGGAGAATGGAGTAGAGACTGGGATGATAGTTTGCTGTGAACCCAGGTACTGTGGCTAACTTGTCTCTTACCTGATTCAAATTAGACGTGGAAGAGATTTTGTTTAGGTGATTAGATAGGTGTTTATTCAAACTTTTTTTTTAAAAAAGTCAGAAGTTACACAGAGGAGAGGAGAGACAGAAAGAGAGAGAGAGATTGGTCTTCCATCCACTGGTTCACTCTCTAGTTGGCTACAATGGCTGGAGCTGCACCGATCCACAACCAGGAGCCAGGAGCTTCTTCCGGGTCTCGCACGTGGGTGCAGGGGCCCAAGGCCTTGGGCCATCTTCTGCTGCTTTTCCAGGCCATAGCAGAGAGCTGGGTTGGAAGTGGAGCAGCCGGGACTTGAACTGGCAGTCATATGGGATGCCGGCACTACAGGTGGTGGGTTTTACCTGTTACACCACAGTGCCAGCCCCTAAAGCTCTTGTTCTATTTTTCTTCTAAAGATTTGCTTATTTATTTGAAAGTCAGAGTTACACGGGGGGAGGGGGGTCTTCCATCCTCTGGTTCACTCACCAAAGGCTGCAACATCTGGAGCTGAGCTGATCTGAATCTAGGAGCCAAGAGCTTCCTCCAGGTCGCCCACACAGGTGCAGAGGCCCAAGCACTTGGGCCAGCTTCCACTGCTTTCCCAGACCATAGCAGAGAGCTGGATCAGAACTGGAGCAGAAGTGGTCTTGAACTGGCACCTACATGGGATGCCTGCACTGTAGGCGGTGGCCCCACCTGCTACACCATAGTGCTGGCCTTAAAGATTAATTTATTTATCTGAAAGGCAGAATCACAGAGAGTGAGGAAGAGAGAGAAATCTTCATCCACAGGTTCAATCCCTAAATGGCTGCAACGGCCAGGACTGGGTCAGGCTGAAGCCAGGATCCTGGAATTCTGTCTGGAACTCCATCTGTCTCCCACATGGATGGCAGGGGCCCAAATATTTAGGCCGTCTTCCTTGCTTTCCTGGGCACATTAGCAGGGAGCTGGATCAGAACTAGAACAGCTGGGACACCAACCAGTGCCCATATGGGGATGCCTGTGTTGCAAGCGGTAGCTTAACTCACTGCACCACAGTGCCGGCCCCTTCCCATTCTAATATCAGAAACAACACAAAAACTTAGCCGGCACTGCGGCTCACTAGGCTAATCCTCCGCCTTGCGGCGCCGGCACACCGGGTTCTAGTCCCGGACGGGGCGCCGGATTCTGTCCCGGTTGCCCCTTTTCCAGGCCAGCTCTCTACTGTGGCCAGGGAGTGCAGTGGAGGGTGGCCCAAGTGCTTGGGCCCTGCACCCGCATGGGAGACCAGGAGAAGCACCTGGCTCCTGCCATCGGATCAGCGCGGTGTGCCAGCCACAGCGCGCCAGCTGCGGTGGCCATTGGAGGGTGAACCAACGGCAAAGGAAGACCTTTCTCTGTCTCTCTCTCTCACTATCCACTCTGCCTGTCCAAAAAAAAAAAAAAAAAACACACACACACACACACACACAAAAAAGAAACAAACAAAAAAACAATGTCTTTCAATTCTAAATGATAGTCTTCCAATCTAGAATTTTCTACCCAGCTAACTAGTTATGTGTGAATGTTGGATAGTGGCCAAAGATACGAGGTGTGAAAAACTGTCCTCTGGTATTTCATTTCTCAGAAAGTACTAAGGGATGCTCACTGTGGAGAGGCAGTAAACTGAGACAGAGGAAAACAGAGCTGTGGCCCTGGAGCAAGGCAGAGGGAGTGTCCCAGGACGACATCGAGCAGCCCTTTCAGAAGGACAGCTGCCCACAGGCCTGGAGAGAGACGGTCCAGGCTGAACTTGGGGCAGAAAGCTCCAGGACAGAAGTTTCCAGCAAAGTGGAACCTGGCCTAGGCTTGGCTCTTCTGCTTCCATTCCAGCTCCCTGCTGATGTCCTTGGGAGGGAGGAGGTGATGGTCTAAATGCCCTTGCCAGCTGATGTCCCTGGGAGGGAGGAGGTGATGGTCTAAGTGCCCTTGCCAGCTGATGTCCCTGGGAGGGAGGAGGTGATGGTCTAAGTGCCCTTGCCAGCTGATGTCCCTGGGAGGGAGGAGGTGATGGTCTAAGTGCCCTTGCCAGCTGATGTCCCTGGGAGGGAGGAGGTGATGGTCTAAGTGCCCTTGCCAGCTGATGTCCCTGGGAGGGAGGAGGTGATGGTCTAAGTGCCCTTGCCAGCTGATGTCCCTGGGAGGGAGGAGGTGATGGTCTAAGGGCCCTTGCCAGCTGATGTCCCTGGGAGGGAGGTGGTGATGGTCTAAGTGCCCTTGCCAGCTGATGTCCCTGGGAGGGAGGAGGTGATGGTCTAAGGGCCCTTGCCAGCCGTGTGAAGCTCAGGGTGGAATTCCTGGATCCTGGCTTTGGCATGGCCTGGCCTTGCCTTGCCTGCCTTCGCCATTTGGGGTGTGAAATGGCGATGAAAGATCAATCTCTGTCTGCCTTTCAAATAAATAAATCGATATTTTTAAAGAAAACAGATGGAACCTGACATCTTTGGCTTCTATTGAGGTGAATTTTTTCTTACGCAGCACATATAGAGGTGAACTTGTGACACCTTCAAATTTAAGAAAATGCAAAAAAACAAAGCTGCTGTTAATTTCAGGGGAACCACAGTTGCACAAGAAAGGAAGTGTAATCTTGGCAAGTGTAAAATACCATCATGTGGTTTAGTGCTAAGCACTGTCGACATCGTTGTATAAGGAAAATACTGATTTCACAAGAAATAGCAATATAGACATATTAGGAGGGTGGAGGTGGGGAAGGACGAGTCACCTTCCAAAAGCAGAAAGGCCTGTGAATATCTCAGATAGCCCTGCCTGTTAGACTTTCTTTACTTTTCTGTCCTTTTTTAAATTCACAAATTTTAAAAGGAAAATTTGGCAAATAAAGAGTACAACAAAGCCAATGATATGTAGTTTCACCGCTCATGTAATTGCTATAACAGTTTATTTTTGTTAAGATTTATTTTTATTTATTTGAAAGACAGTTACAGAGAAGAGAGGAAGAGAGAAAGGTCTTCCATCTGCTGGTTCACTCCCCAAATGGCCGCAACGGCCAAAGCTGCATGGATCCAAAATCAGGGGCCAGGAGCTTCTTCAGGGTCTCCCACGTGGGTGCAGGGGCCCAAGGACTTGGATCATTTACTGTTCTCCCAGGCCATAGCAGAGAGCTGGATGGGAAGAGGAGCATCTGGGTCTCGAACCAGCGCCCATATGGGATGCTGGCGTTTCAGGCCAGAGCTTTAACCCACTCTAACAGTTTAGTATATGTACGTAAACAGGTTGGTGTTAAGTACACATCCCCAGGCATGTGTTTAAGGTTGTTAAGTTAGATTGTGTCAGGTAGCTTTCCAGAGGCCAGTCAACACACCCTTTGCATGCGCGTCATCTGGGAAGCTCCAGACCTAGAAAGTTGGATTCAGCTGTCTGGGGGCTCTGATGTGTGGTCGGGTTTGGATTTGCTATTTTGTTGTTGTTGTTGTTTTAAGATGTATTCATTTATTTGAAAAGCAGTTACAGAGAGAGGGTGACAGAGAGAGAGCTTCCATCCCCAAATGGCTGCAATGATCAGAGCTGGGCCAGGCTGAAGTCTAGAGCTAACCCATTTCACTGCAGCGCTGGTCCTGGCGACAGTGTTTATAGATGGTTTTCTTACTGTCATTTCACACTTCCGTTCTCATTGCTTTCGTGGCTACAAGGTAGTCCGCTTCTGTAAGTCTTGCTGAGTGGGTGTCTTTTGTCTCCAGGAAAAGAGAGGGAACAAAGCATCTGACAAAGCCACTCTCTGTGCCTTTGACGCCCTGGTGACCTTCTGTGAAGAACAGGGGTGAGTGACTCCTTCGATATGTGGGTCAGAGTGTCACTGGGATATACTTCCTCCTGCAGCACCCACCAGTTAACCAACACCTGTGAGACAGCCTCTGGACACTCAGGGGTCTGGGACGGCCGCTGGAAGCCAGAACCCTCCTCTTCCTCTTTGGGAGACCCTGGAGATTCTGGCAGTGGCATTTTGGGCAGTCATCCCTCCCCGCCGCTCCACTCCCTTCTGGGATGGGTGGCCCCACAGGCAACTCGGCGCTGAGTAATGTGGCCAGTTCCGAGCCATTGGCATTGTGGTTATCACGAGCCGTGAGCTGAGACTTCTGGCTTCTCTTGGGTACTACTCACTCTCATCCAGGGTACGAACAGGCAGGCGACCCAGCTTATCTCCTTGGGGGGAGTCGTGTCATGTGCTTTGAGAAGTCAGTCTCTGGGACTGAACACCAGCCTGCGCACGTGGAACCCACATACCTGTTTTATCTGTGTCTGCCTGTGACAGCGCCAGGGCCACAGAAAGAGCCAGGTAGCTGCTGCGTGACAGACAGGCTGTAGCTGGACATGCCAGCTGTGAGTGCTCACGAGAGGCGTACTCAGGAGGACTCGCTACGCTTTGGTCTGAGCAGCTCTTGGATTCATCTGATCTCAGGGAAGAGTTCCGTGGAGGGCTGTGCAGAAGTGATGGCTTCAGACTTAGGAGCCAGCCCTGACCCAGAGAGGGCACCGTCACAAAGTCACGGCAGACAGAAGCCACTAAAACCAGTCATGATTTTCAGTGGAGTGTTCATTTCACACACCTGTGCCCGCCTGGCTCTTGCAAGACTGGAGTTTGGAAGCACAGTGCTGGGAAAGCCCGCAGTACTGGCAGCTAGCGAGGTCTGGGTCTCTCCTCCGGAATCCAGGGAGACCCTTATTTGCCCCCTGCGTGTTGATTCCCAGCTCCCTCCCACTCACCAATGACTTGGTGGTTCGTGGACTCAAGCTATTTCTAGCTCCAAACAGCCATCTCTAATTTGGCCTACGTGGTAAGCCACGCCCAGCACAAGTGGTGGGCTGCAGTGCCAGGCCCACCCTTGCCTATGGCCACAGACTCCTGGGCTCTTTGCAGGCACTAATACAGGGAGTTGCTAAATTGAGCTTCTTAGACTCCTTGAGCCGGGCTCTAATTTCTGGTGAGGAGAGAAAGAACCTAGTGTTGTTGCTAATTTTCAGAGTCCCCTGTGCTGGAAGAAACCCGCTGGTTCTTGTCTGTGGCTGTATCTGAGGCCCTGGACTGCTCTCGGGGGGCTTAGCTCTGCCACATCCCCAGCCCACCAGGCAAGGGGACAGGTCTTCCCCGGAGCCTCTGCCTTTATTTCTCCTGGTTCCAGGGAACGGACACCAGATTCCATCAGTGAGCTGCTGGGGTGTGTGTTGGGGATTTGGGCATCTGTGGCCCAAGGAGCCAGGTGCTGCCTGTGTCCACGTCATCCCTTTGTCTCACTGGCTGCATGTGAGGGCTCGGACCCCAGGACCCCAGGGCCCCAGGACCCCAGGGCCCCAGGGCCCCAGGGCCCCAGGCTGGAATAAGCTCTGCTGGCCGTTGTGCTTGGAGTAAGGGAGGGTTTTTGTAATTGCATAAACGGTGGATAGCACGAAGAAAAAGCTCCTCTCCCACCAGATATTTGTGCCGTTTCTAAGAATAGTTCTGGCTTGAGGGTGAGGTTGGGGCACCCATTTCTACCAGTGATCCCTTAGGGCAGGCACCTGGGAGTGAGGGACCACGCTCAGCAGAAGTGGGTCCATTTCTACAAAGGAAGCTGTTGTGTCTGGGGTGGGTGGGGATGAGGGGTGTGATGGGATTGGAGGCCAGGACCCACAGAGACGTGCTCGGGTCAGCAAGGTATGAGGCCAGGGTGTGGCAGCCAGTGGTTTTTCCTTTTCTTTTCTATATGAAGCAACTCTATCTGAGTTATAGCCATGAAAAAAAGTGTTTGATTATTCATGACAGAGCCTTTTATCTTTGAGAGTTGCAGGGAACCATCGTTAGGTGTGTAGCAACCTCTGGCCTGGCGGCCTGGGCACCTTGAAATAGAAGAACAGCGCTGTATTTGGGCCCAAGTTGGGCTGGGAGAGCCCAGAGGCCAGGCCTGTGGTGCTTAGTCCAGTGAAGAAGCAGGCAGGTACCAGATGATCACATAAGGAGCACAGAGTTCCCGTTAAAGTGTTTTGAAGGAAGGCGCCTGGGGTTTGGGGAGTACATGTAACAGGTGCTCTATCCCCGTCTGGAGGTTTGAGGTGATCACCTGAGGAACTCAGGATTAGACTGAGAACTGAAGAACAGGGAGCAACTAAGTAGGCAAAGGAGGGAGAGCATTCCCGTCAGAGAATGTGTGTGCGGAAGCCCTGTGGTCAGAGACAATACAGCAGCTCGAGAGCTGAAGTCATGCTGGCGAGACCGGTGGGGCCGGGCCACACAGGGCCACACAGGGCCACACAGGGCCACACAGGGCCTTGCAGGCCCCAGGGAGACCTTGCTGGGGAAGCTTGCTGTGGCGGAAAATGAATCTGCCAGGCAGAAAAGGAATCTCTTTTTTAAAGGAAAAAAAAAAAAAGATGAACTGTCACCAGTTAGCAGATTTGAAAAGGAATTTTTACTTCGTCCAGGAGCTTTGTGTCCTTCTCTGTCAAGGATTTGCCCGTCGTTTGGCCGACCTTTGAGCCTCTCGGAGGACCTGTTGGCCATGGCTCCTCTCCCGAGGCTGGGACAGGCCCTCTGCAGGTTCGTGCATGGACCTGGTGGCAGCAGGGTGGGGACGCCCAAGTGGGTCTCAGACCAACCCCCAAGCCCAATCCAGCATTTGACTGGACTCTCTCCTGATGGGAAGAGAAGACACCAGGGCTTGAGCCCTGGGCCAGAGGAGACTGCAGAGGGACCCCTGCCAGTCTGGAGTGAGGTTAGCCCTCCTGTCCCGCTGCCTTCTCGCCCCCAGGAAGCCAGGTCAGTCCTCTTCACACTGGGTCCTCTCCATTGGAGGGAATAAGCCAAACACAACAGCAAACAAGATGAAAAGCAGGACTGTGGTGGTGAATAAACCAATCACAATCAGGCCCCCCTGGTCCCAGGGGTTCTCCCAGAACTCATCACTCCACATTTCCTTCAGCTGGTTCATGTCAGCCTGGAAAAGAGGGGACAGAGGCCCTGAGCTCAGGAGTACCGCAAGGCCCTGGCCAGGCACTGCCCCTCACTCCCCCAGCTTCGGCCTCTGCAGTGGTCTCAGTGAAGAGCCAGCCCACCTCTGTGCCGCTGGGCCCTGTGGGGAGGAGGAGCCTCTGGGCTTGATGCCTCCAAGAAACAGTGGAATTCCCTCCTCTGTAGAAGCAGGGTGAGGATGGCACATGGGGGGACCCCTGGATCCTTCCGGGAGGCTGCCTCCAGACCCCCCTGTCCTTTTTCCTGCATAGCCCCAGATTGAGCTAGGGCTTTCACCCTCTACCCCTGAGCACTATTCAGCTAGAGCCAAAAAGCACCGCTGTAGCTCCTCCCTCTATTTTTTCTGTCCCAGTTTGGAAGCCCTTCTGGGAAATCAGGATAGGAAGCAAGTGACCCCAGCAGAGACCTCAGTAAACATGCATGGAGGACAGAGCTGATCTCGGCGGGGAGCCTGGGAGGAGGAGGAGGGAGGGGTCCTTACCTACTGCTGTTAGCTGTCCTGTGTCCTACGAGGGTGGGCTTTCAGGCCCTGCACTTTGTGAGGGGTCCACTCTGAAAAGGCCTCCCGGTAACCAGGGCTGTTGGGAGGAAAAGGAGTTAGCATTACCAGGCGGTGCTGACCAGGCGCACAAAGGTGGGCTAGGGCCAGTTGCCTAGCAACCACGGCTCTCTTTCTGCCTTCCGCATCTGCCCCCAGCTGTGTTCCGCCCTCTTGTGATGTCATTTGGGGGCACTCAGAGTCCTTCCCAGAGAAGTCAGACTGTGGGGAGAAGAGACTGGTTTGGGGCCTATACCCCAGGCCACCCATCCACCTCACCTGTTTGCAGCTGAGTCTTGACACTCTTGTCTGTCTAGACGACTGGTCCCCTGTGAGAACCTGCCCAGGGCTCGGGGAGTCCTGGGGCTGGGGCTGCCCCCTGGGCCTCACAATCTGTGTGTGGGGTGAATGATTAACTGCAGCTTGGGCTGGCGCCTCTGGGAACCGGTTCTGGGGTGGATGTGCTTATCACCCGGAGCCTGGCTTCCCCTGGCTGCCTTTGTCAGCCTCTCGGCGGGGGCCTCCGTGCTTCCGGTCTGTGGTGCCGCAGGAAGCTGGAAAAGGGAGGAAGCCTGTGCTGTGGGCTCCTTCCAGAGCTGGACTAGGCCCAGCACCGCACGTCCAGAGGTGAGAGGAGAGGTGGGCCCGCCCTCGGAGACCTTGCCTTCCAGATCTCAGCTCCTCACCCTGGCAGCTTTTTTTTTTTATTATTATTATTTTATTTTTTTATTTTTTGACAGGCAGAGTGGACAGTGAGAGAGAGAGACAGAGAGAAAGGTCTTCCTTTGCCGTTGGTTCACCCTCCAATGGCTGCCGCGGCCAGCGCACTGCGCTGATCCGATGCCAGGAGCCAGGAGCCAGGTGCTTTTCCTGGTCTCCCATGGGGTGCAGGGCCCAAGGACTTGGGCCATCCTCCACTGCACTCCCTGGCCACAGCAGAGAGCTGGCCCGGAAGAGGGGCAACCGGGACAGAATCCGGCGCCCCAACCAGGACTAGAACCTGGTGTGCTGGCGCCGCTAGGCGGAGGATTAGCCTAGTGAGCCGCGGCGCCGGCCACCCTGGCAGCTTTTACAAACGTCCGGGCCACACTTTGTGCCACTTGCATCAGTCTCTGGGGATGCAGGGTGCCAGGTTATTTTATTTTACTTTTGTTTATTTTGTTTATTTTGAAGATGTATTTATTTATTTGAAAGGCAGAGTTACAGAGAGAGACAGGAAGAGACAGAGATCTCCTATTTGCTGGTTCACTCCCCAAATGGCTGCAAAACTGGGGCTGGGCCAGGCGAAGCCGGGAGCTGAAAACTCATTCATGTTTCTCACGTGGGTGGCAGGGGCCCACCCACTTGGGCCGTCCTCCACTGCCTTCCCAGGTGTATTAGCAGGGAGCTGCAGCTGAGACTCGAACTGGTGCCCATATGGGATTATGGGATGCTAACATCACAGACAGTGGCTTAACCGTGTGCCACAATGCTGGCCCCTTGTGCCAGCTTACTTAAAATTCCCAAGGTATAGCTCTAGCTGGGGCTGTTGACAGATGATGAACAAGTTCAGTGAAGTTGTTCTTCACCTTGGGCTTAATTGGCCCCTGGCTTACCTGGCTTGCATTGCCCTGTGTAAAACCTGCTGACTAACGCCCTTGGCATGCTGAAGGCTCACAGCGGGCAGCTGGTCTCCCGCACACCCTTGCTGGTCTGCTCCAGCAGGGCTCAGCAGGCCTCAGCTGTTTGCTCCCAGACCTGTTCGTGGTGATTATCCTCGTTACTGTAATTACAAACCGGAGTTGAACATCACATGAGCAAATGAAGCAGCAGTTGTAAGTGAAACTCCAATACAGAGGAGGGAGTAAGGCCCCCAGCTGCAGTCCAGACCCAGGGGTACAGTCGGGCTCAGACGTGCTGTGCTGTGCCTCACAGGGAGGGAGAAAAAGCCTTGTTGGCTCTGGAAATACCTGTCTGACCACCTGGAACGACTTTGGAAGCTCTCAGATAGTACTCCTGTCAAAAAGGACACGGCCATGATAAACCAAACACTGGGGCTGTGTTGCAAAAATGCAGAAGGATTTCCCACTTGCATTCCTTAAGTTCTTGTTCTACTTTAAAGAAATGCAAACTCTAAAACAGATAGTACAGGAACTCAGCACAGTCGGAGCAAGGACCCTGGCCCTACACCAAACAGGCTGGCCTGGGAATGTGTCTGGGTTTCACCTTGAACTGTGGCAAGAACAGGTGGGTCACATGCGTGAAAGGTGCTCTAACCAGCTTGTTCAAGTGACTGCTGGCCCTGTCGGATAAATCTGCTGTGCTGGCTGGAGAGAATGCGGAGCGGGGGAGGGGGTAGAAGTGCAGGCAGCACAGCCTGGCCTGGCACTGAGGGAACTGAGCTGGGACAGAAGGACTGTGTAGGAGTCGGGCTCAGGGGCAGTGTCCCATGGCAGGGAACAGGCCTGAGGGGAGGAAACGTTTAAGTACACAATTGGGCCAGTGCTGTGGAGGAACAGGTTAAGAGTCACCACTGGCAGTGCCGGCATCCCACATGGACGCTGGTTTGAGTTCCAGCTGCTCCACTTCCTATCCAGCTCTCTGCTATGGCCTGGGAAAGCAGCAGAAGATGGCCCAAATCCTTGGGCCCACTGCACCCATGTGGGAGACCCGGAGGAAGCTCCTGGCTCCTGGCTCTTGGCTTCAGATCAGCTCAGCTCTGGCCGTTGTGGTCATTTTGGGAGTAAACCAGCAGATGGAAGACCTCTCTTTTTCTAGCTCTGCCTCTCTATGTAACTCTGTCTTTCAAATAAATAAATCTTAAAAAAAAAACACAATGAGTTTGTCCTCATTTTTTTATGATTTGGAATTTGTATTACCCTTAGTAAATGTCTTTATGAGGGTTTTTATTGTAAATTGCTCAAATATGTTAATGTTTGAGAAAACGGATTTAGGGGAAAACTGTTTTGTGTGCTTTCTGCCAGTTTCTACTAGTGAGAGTCTTGTCTCTAGGCTTTCTTCTCCTCCTCCTTTTTTTTTTTAAGACTTATTTATTTTGAAAGTCAGAATTAGAGAGAGAGAGAGAGAGAAATCTTCCATCTGCTGATTCACTGAGCCGGGAGTTTCATCTGGGTCTTCCACATGGGTAGCAGGGGCCCAAACACTTGTGCCATCTTCCAGTGCTTTTCCCAGGCCAGCAGGGAGCTGGGTCAGAAGTGGAGTGGCCCAGACATGAACTGGCACCCGGACGGATGCCGATGTCACAGGTGGTGTCTTCACCCACTACACCACAGTGCCAGCCCCTTGATTGCCAGTTCTAACTAGGAGTAAGGTACAGAGGGGAACGCGCCCATCTCCACGGCAGCGCGCAGCTCTTTTGAGGAACCAGGAGCAGATGTGTGGTGGCACTGAGGCTCATGAGGTCATTGTAGAGGCCTCCTGGGACAGCTCCCATGGTCCCAGGCAAGCCTTGGTGGTGGTTTGAGATGGGAACAGAGAGCTGGTGGCCAGAGTCAGACATTCTTTTTTTTTTTTTTTTTAAGATGTATTTATTTGAAAGAGTTACACACAGAAGGAGTGGTGGTGGTGGGGGGTCTTCCATCCGGTGGCTCACTCCTCAATTGGCCTCAACAGCTGGAGCTGCGCCCATCTGAAGCCAGGAGCCAGGAGCTTCTTCCAGGTCTCCCACGCAGGGGCAGGGGTCCAAGGACTTGGGCCATCTTCCACTGCTTTCCCAGGCCATAGCAGGGAGCTGGATAGGAAGTGGAGCAGCTGGGACTCGAACCGGCATCCATATGGGATGTCAGCACCACAGATTGTGCCTTTACCCACTACACCACAGCGCCAGCCCTGAGTCAGACATTCTTAGAGGGTAGTCCCTTCACGGCCACAGCCATCTTTAGGCGTCCCAGGTCCACGGCATCTTTGTTCTGCCCTACAGCGGGGGACCATGGCCTCTTCCTCCAGCCCACCTTCCACAGAGCAGATGCACAGAGGAGCTGCCTGCCTGGGGATGCGCCAGCCGCCTTGCGCTGGAGTGTCTGGCTGCTTTGCTCACCTCAGCGGGACCGGCTTGGCTGCCGGGGAGCAGCCGCAGCAGGGCTCAGTGTGTGCCACCTTGCTGTGGAGCAGGGAGGAGGGAGTGCTCTGTGGGCAGGGATGACGCATTGTTGACTCAGCCATTTGTCCCGCTTGGCACGGAACAGAGAGCAGGGAGGGAGGTGCAGGTGAGCCAGCCAGCCAGCCTGTCCAGCCCGGGCTATTCCGACTGCTCCTCTCAGCAGCCGATTGGGAACCAGAGAACCTTCCACCAAGCAAGCAGGGCTCTCCCTGACGCTGAAGGGGAGCCTTGGGGACCTGCACTGCTCCACGACCGTGTTTGTCCTGAATCCAGGGTTCTGGCCCCTCCCACCTCCCTGCCTCTGTCCCTCTGTCTTCTGGGAGGGACACCTGTTGGGCACTTCCCAGCTCCCTGCCTCTGTCCCTCTGTCTTCTGGGAGGGACACCTGTTGGGCACTTCCCAGCTCTCCACCTGCCCATTATCTGAGACAGTTCAGGGCGTGGCTGCTTGGGAGAGGATAAGAGAATCTAAGAATCAGAGCCTTATCTGTCCTGCAGCCAGGAGGCCTGCAGCCCTGGGTGTGGTGAGCCAGGCCCCGGAGCCAGACGGGCTGGACCCAGAGGCTTTAGACCCAGAGGCTGGCTGGGCCAGTTTTCAGCTGTGCACTTAAGACACCTGTTGTCACGAAGGCTCAATTTCCTTGTCTCTGAAATGGGGATAATGATGGTATCTGCAGCACTGCGGTATGTGATGATTAAATGGGTTTAACTGTCAAAACACAGCAGAGCAGTGGAAGGCCTCAGTGGGCTCCAGTTGTCTTTATCAGGATCATCGTCGTTGCTATCATTTATGATGATGATGATGATGATGGAGAATCTCATTCCTTGAGGGAGCCCAGACAGGTGGATTCTTGAGCTGCTTCTGCTAGAACCACTTCCTCTCCAGGTCTTCAGCCCAAACCTGTCAGGCAAGTCCCATGGACACCAGGAAGTGAAAAAGTTAGCGCTTCTGCTGCCCCTGACTGTGGCCAGGACGTCTGCTGGAGGTGGCGGGGTCTGGTTCCCCTCTCCACAACCTGTGTTCTCAGTAGACAGGGCTCTGCTCCCAGACAGCCGGAGCGTGGACTTCGTGGGCCCAGGTGCGCGAGCACATGACAGATACGCTCTTCATGACCTGGGGAGCTGCTGCATCCTGGCTGCTGGCATTCGAGTGCCTCCCTTGACTGCTTCCTGGGTGCCTTGCTCTCCCTGGAACATCGTCCAGAAGCGAACACTGAAGGGGGAGGCAGGAAAGCTGTCGGGTTTCAGCAGGGCCATTCTGTAGAAAGGGCCTGGTGCTCTGGGCCTCTGTGGCATCGAGAGGGCGGAGTGACAGTTCCTATTTGTGGAGCTCTTAGGTGTGCCCAGCGCCATGCTACGTGCCAGACGCGGGCCGCCTTAGCATGTCCTCACGGCATATCCCAGAAGCAGGGGCGAGGATGTGCCCCATTTCCCTGGTAAGGGGCAAGAGTGGGTGTGAGCGCAGTCAGTGGGCCCCTGGGGAAGTGGCCCAGAACTGGGCTGCAGATTATAGACAACACTTGCGTTCTAACAGCTCTCTCTGACTGGATTTGGGAAGATGCAGTGGCCCACGCGTGCTCATCTGGGGAGTGAAGACAAAAGTTACTGGTGGTGGAAACGGGCACGTGGCGTTCCTGAGCCTGCACCTGCCAGGGGGCAGCCTCGGCCGCTCCAGCCAGAGCTGACCCAGTGCGTGACAGGAACGCCACTGTGCCCTTCACTGGCTCTGTGGCATGAGCACCTGCATGGCTCTCCACCTCACTCGCTTTTCCGGCTTCCGTGGGCATGGGGAGAGCGAGGCCCAGAAGGGACAGTCATTAGCCACACCCCTGGAATCTGGCACACTGCCCTTCCGATGCACAGCCCAGGCAACCTCAGGGAATCTGGTCTCACAGAAACACACAGCGAACAGCTTTTACTTGGAAATAAACAGGCAAATCCTGGGCTAGAATCCGGACATGCAGCCCTCGGCTTCTGGTAGCTGCTGCAGCGTCCTCTGACCAGCTTCCTCTCCTTTGTGTGGGGCTGCTGAGCCCCGAGGGCCTGCTCCCGGAGGTGCGGGACCGCTGCTGCTTTGCCTTGTTGAAAAACACAGGGAGGCCAAGGACCTGTGTGGTTTACTCAGCCTTTAGTTTTGTGCCTGTGCCTGCCTTTGTTTCCTTGAAAAGGCTCTGGTGTCAGCGTCCAGGCACCAGGGCAGAGCCAAGCTGAGGCCAGGGGGTCCTTGTCTAGAGGGACGGGGTCCGCGGGGCCTGGCTGACAGCTGGCCATGGCTCTGGCAGTCTCCTCTGCAGCTTCTCAGTGCGTCACCGCCCCTCACGGGGCTTCACGGGCTGCACCTGGACCCGCCTGCCCCTCTGCTCAGGGCAGCAGCAGCGCACGCAGCAGTAGCTGCAGGCCAGCACCACCAGCAGCAGGACAGTGCCTGGAGAAGAGAGAGCACAGGGCCTCAGACGTGGGGGTGGGAGAGGGAGGACACCCACCCCGTTCCCAGAGAGGCCCCCCCCTCCACGGTGTGCCTGGCCTTTCCCCAGTGGTCTGGTTCACGGTCACAGACAGAAGTGTCGACCACGCTGTGGCAGTCCCAGGGCCCTGCCTTCCTCCCTGCTGTGTCTCCTCTGCTGCCCACGCCTGGCTGTGTTCTGTGGACCGGGGCCTGGGGGTGCCATTGGACCAGTTTCCAGCCCTGCCTGTCCTCCAGCAGCAGAGTGTCCAGGGAAATCCCATGGCTTCCCCCAGGAGACGCCTGCCTTCCCTCCGTGGCCTAGGGGATGGACTGCTGGCTGCTGCCACGGTCGGGTCTCCTGAGCCTGAGCACCCCGCTTACCTATGAAGATGACGATGATTGAGAAGGCCAGGAGCTCCACGGTGTCAGCCTGGGGCAGCCTCTGCAGCTTGACCAGCAGCCTCTCACCCACAGAGCGCATCTCCTGCACGAAGCTGGCGGCTGCCATGCTGTGCTGGGCTCCGACCAGGGCGCCTGCCGGGCTGTGCCGAGGCAGAGTGAGCACCCGGAGCCTCCTCACGGCTGCTCCACACTCTGCCGCAGCACCAGAGATCCCCCGCCCTCCGCCCGCAGAACAAGTTTGTCGGGTCTCACCCTCTGCACCTCTGGTGGCTCCCCAGGGAGGAAGGCGGTCTGAGGCCGACCTCAGCACCCCTCCGCTGACCCTGCCCAGGGTGAGGGAAGCCAGTGTTGAGAGGCTGAGGGCCTGCTCCAGAGGCTGCTTGCCAGCCAAGGCCGAGACCGCTGAAGGAGTCTGACCAGGCGGTGGAGTGACCACTGCCCCGTTCCTTCGTCTGTCTCGAGGCACCGCTCCTAGACTGGGCCGGGATGCTTCAGGTGCCACAGCTGCCTCGCCAGCTCCTGGTCCTTCAGAACATGGGTGCCTCCCCCAGGTCTCCTGGGGGTGGGGAGATGGCTTCAGGATTCTAGCGTGTGTGGGGCAGGATCGGATTTTCCCAAGGACAGATCCACATCTGGCCAGAGTCAGCCGGGATAGAAACTGATGGGGAGAGGTGGCCCTGGCTTGGGGGAAACCAAGCTGAGTCCCTCAGGCACCCCACCTCCCCTCCAGCCCAGTTCCTTTACTCTCATACCTTGTTCTCCCCTGAGGAGGAAGAGGTGGCCCTGGGTCCCTCCAGTTTTGCCAGTGGACCCTCCCTGGGGGATGGGATCAGGCGCCCCAAGGCTGGGTTAGCCAGCCTCTTCCCCTGCTCCTCTAGCCTGACCAGGAGAGTCCCCTCTGCCCCACGCTGCCCAGGAGAGCTCTTCTGGTCTCGGGTGCCCAAGAGGCGCGAGTGCAGCTTCAGGCTGGGTACAATCAGTACCTGTGGCACGTCAGCTGTTTCACCTCCCGGGTGGACATGAGGGAGCTGGTGTCTCTTGAGCAGGGGACCAAGGACAGCCTTGGGCCATCCCAGCCTGAACCGGTTCCCGAAGGCAGTTGCTGTACTGGGGGCAGGGGGGGCAGCCAGGGGCTCGTGCCCAACCTTTGGCTGTAATTATTACCGAATTGTCCCTGATTCACCTGGGCAGGCAGAACTCTGTTGTGGTTCCCCCAGGACTGCTGTACCTGTGAGGCCGGTCACTCCTGGTACTGTGCTGTGGCTGGTTTCAAACCACCCGCGTCACCTAATCAAGCCTCTCCCCTGTGCCTGGCGAGCTGCCCTACGGCCGTGCGGCCTTGGCTTGCGTGCCTCTGATGGCAAGGAGGCCCTGCTCACAAAGGCCCCTGCCCTTGGCCAGTCCGACCCCCTGCTGGCCTCTTGTTAGTCCTGCGGTGGTCACTCAGCACCTGGAAGGCAGCTGGTGTGCACCTCCCGTATCTCCCTTCCTACGAGCTGACGCCTCTGGGTTGCCAGCTGCTGCCCCTCCTGCAACACCGATTCATCCTGGCCTTGAAGGCTGCCCCCTTCCTCCTCTCGTGACACTGACAGGTGCCCTCATCTCTGCTGTGGCACGGCGATGCCTGTCTTGGGACAACTGGCCTGTAGCAGTGTGTGGTCAACAGTAAACAGCAAGTGCCTGGCAACTGGGTGGGGTCTGACCAGTGCTGGGTCTCACCGGCCTTGAGGGCCGTCACAGCGAGCTCCTCCCCAAATGCCTCTGGGGAGTCTCATCTGTCCTCGCACAGTGTATGTATTGAGGCAGCCACGCTGGAGGTGGGAATAGCAGGCAGCTGATGACTCCACGGGAAGGCAGGATTTCCTGTCGAAAGTGGGAGGTACCCGAGGCCCATCCTCCCAGCATCCCTCATGCCTCACCCTGGGTGAGTGCATTTCTCACATGAGCTGGGAGACACAGAACCCTGGAATGCCTCCTCCCTTTTCCATGTGGGGAAACTGAGACCTGGCGTCTGCAATTAAGCAGGACGGGACAGCCAGCGCTCCTGCTTCCTGTGCTGTCAGTCCATGGAGTCCTGTCCCGGGCTTTGACCAGCAATGAAGTCAGCCCCACCCCCGGACTGGCGGGTGTGGGACCCCACTTTTACCAGCATACCCCAGATCTTGTGTGTTCTGCTAGTCCGAGCACATGCTGCCCACTCTGAGCGGGACCCTCCCTCTGGGCAGGCAGAGCAGGCCTACGCTTAGGTGGTGGTCTCCTGTCTTTGTCCTGGGCCTCTGTGTCATCCCTACTCCCCAGGTGCCCAGGGTCTCGGTCACAGGAACAGTGGCACCAACAGATGCCTCTGGGGACAGTGTAGCTCAGATGCTGGGCTGCCTTCCTCCCCTCCCGCTTGGTCTGTACACGTTCTGCCTTTTCCAACCTGCTTGGCACCACACCCACATTGCCTAATGTAGCCAAATGGAGACACTCCTTAAAAGAGGAAGTAGACAGGAGAGCTTTTTCACTTGTGTGCCACACCCAGCACCCTAGAGAGAGGCTGTGAGCCGGAAGCGAGCAGCAGTATGGAGACCCTGGGTGCCGTGATCTGCAGAGCAGGGAGGAGGCCGCTGGGCTGAAGCTGACTTTGGCGAGGTTTGTTCATCAGAAGCTTTGCCCACCAAGCCAGCGTCCTGTGGGGGCCATGCAGTTGGGAAGGTACCCTGTGGGCCCAGTCCCACCCTGCTCTGGGAAGTACCTGTCTATACCAGTGGCAGCCGTCAACATGGACAGTGTCACAGCTTTGCACCCAGGGTGTCCCTCAGGGTCAGTGGGGAGCTGGATGAGCCGCCTAGACTTGGCCAGCTTCACCCAACCCAGGGGTCTGACCTGGGCCACTCCCTGGGCCCTGCCTGCAAAGTGAACAGAAGTAGGGCCACTGCCCCCAGAGTTGAAGAAGCGCCCTCTCTGCTTTGCACTTGATAGCTTGTCACTTCAGGCCCAGGCCTGTGACAGGGCACGTGGTGGAGCCCAGGGGGTCTTGTTCCCCGAAGAGGAGGGAGCACATTCCAGCTAGTCCCCAGGCAGCCTTGGCAATGGGCTATTTAAAGTGAGGCCAAGGGAGTGCCTGACGCCTGCTGCCCAATATAACTGGCAGCCGTCAGGTGACCGTGTGGCATGTGCCCCAGCCGTTGCTCTGCAGGGAGCCCTCACATTCCCAGCTGCAGCTGGGAGACAGAGTCCTGGGGCCCGGCCTCCTTCGGACCCCTTTGCCATGTCAGGTTTGGGAGAAGGGAGCAGGGCAGCCCGCTAGGGCTGGGATCATTCTGTATTTTTCCAATCTTTATCTCAGGTTCACCAAACTCCTTCCAAACCATGGTTCCTGCCTGTGAACCAGGGAGGGCAGAGTCTTCCCAGCCCCAGGCCTGGGAGTGCCTCGATGGGAGACTTCCAAGGGTCCTTTGAGTAACAGCCAGAGCAAGTGGTGGCTTGCTGACCCCAGAAAGGGCCAGCAGCCCGGCTGCCTGTGCAGCCCTTCTCGGAGCCCTTGGAGGGTGCTCCCCAGCCAGAGTGGCAGCCAGTGGGGAGAGAGGCAGAGGAAGAAGAGGAGGCTGGCAGAGCTGGAGAGACTGGGCCGCATGCCTTTGTGTGGCATCTCCTGGCACAGAGAGCAGGCGGGCATCCTGCAGGCCAGACAGCTGCCACTCGGCACCAAAGCTTCCCTGTTTCTTTCTCACCAAACTGATAGTCCAACTCCGGGCTCCCCGTGTGGAATAGGGCAGGCGGCCTGTGTGTGACTGATAAGCCCAGTGTGCTGACAGTTGGGTCCCAAAGCGCTTCTTGCCCTGCCCTTTTGTTGTGGTGGGTTCCAGCCACCCTTGCCTTGCGGGGCACTGTCTGGTTTGAGAAGCAGCCAGAATGAGCATAACCGACAGTGCGGGAGACGTGTGGAGTCCAGAGGTTCACCCTGACGGCGGAGACGCCCACTGCTCAGTGCTGAGTGTGGGGACCACCCCTCCCTGCCTGGCTCTGACCAGAAAGTAGGTGCTTGAACCTCCCAGGGTTCCTGGTCCCCAGTCCTGTGGCTTTCCTGGCTGGGAGGGGCCACTTCCTGCTGCTGCTGACAGTTAGGAGTAGTTCCTTTCTGCAGCCCCCAAAGCGGGGCAGCCTCCTCTACCCCAGCCCGGGGCTGTGTAGCAGGCCCTGCCACCCGTGTTCTGGGCACACAGGGACGTGGGTCCTCGCCTGCCTGCCTGGGCCTCCTCTAGATAGGGGGTGGTGGTGTTTCTTATCACTGTGCCCCTTACCCACCTGGCCTCGGTCCTCTCCCTTCCCTGTGCTGTGCACTTGTGACGCCTCAGGGTCAGCCTCCCCAGCCACCAGCCTGGACCAGAGACCACAGCCCCTGCCGAGCCAGGACACTTGGCCTGCCCTGGTTTCCACCTTCCCCTGCACCTTTGTTTTTCTCCCTTACTCTGTACCAGCTTGTCTGTCCTGAGGAGAGTATCTCAGGCAGGCGGAGCATGGGGTGGGACTTTAATCCTGGTGTGAGGACTGGGAGGCTGGAGGCGTAGGCAGCCCTGGCTCAGGGGGTCCTGCCCCGGAGGGTCCCTCTCGAGGCCGCCCAAAGTAGCAAAGAACCCCAGAGCCCTCCCCACGGCCAACAGTGCGGCACAGGCCCGGGGTCCTTCCCCACCCCGCCCTGGGGTTAGAGTCAGGCATGCGTGTTCTTGGCTCAGCATTCAGGCTCGCTGCCAGGGGCCGAGCTCAGGGGAGGAGACCTGGGCCAAGTCCTGAGCTAAGACAGAGCAGTGAGCAGACTGAGCCCCCCAGGGATGGCATCTGCTGTTCCCGTCCAGGACACAGGTGAGCCAAGCTGCTGCTGGCCCTGTTGCATCCTGGGGGCCTGTGAGCCAGTGGGGCCTTCTCTGCTGGGGAGAAAGCAAGGACAGGGAGGGCCCGGCCCTAATCCTGGGAAACAGGGAGGCTCAGCTGGCTGAGGACTGTTCTTTCCTGAGGCGGGACAGTCAAATCCCTCTCTAGTCGCTGAACAGAGAAAGCTTGAAGTGACCTGCACAGTAAGCGATGTGCTTGCATGCCCCTCTGCATGCAGTCAAGGAGGGGTAGCACGCTGAGCAGAGTCCACACCCTGCCCCTAACACACTCACACACTCACACACACACACACACAGCGCCGCTTCCCTGGCCCAGGGCCCCAGGGAGGGATAGCATGCTGAGTAGAGTCCACACCCTGCCCCTAACACACACACACACACACACTTACATACACACACATACACACTCACACAGCGCCGCTTCCCTGGCCCCGGGTCCCAGGGAGGGGTAGCATGCTGAGCCGAGTCCACACCCTGCCCCTAACACACACACTCACACACACACAGCACTGCTTCCCTGGCCCCGGGTCCCAGGGCGGGCACAGGGATGCACAGAAGGACCAAGCACAGCCCCTAAGACCGTCCCCTCAGTGTTCACTTCCAAGGGTCACTGTCCACCCTGGGGGCAGGAGAGCGTGGCTGCCCCCTTCCCTTCTTGCCCCCCCCCCCATCAGTGGCCAGTGCCACTTACCTGGGAGCTGAGCGGGAGTGTCCCAGACTGGAGCCGCGAGTTCCTCTCCCCAGCCAGGCCACCACCTTGCACTTCCTCCGTGGGCGCCGCTCTCCTGCCCAGCCGAGCCGCGCTGCCCTGGGTTCCGCACCACTGACAGCCAGCTGCCGCCCCAGCCTTGCCTTTTTGTTGCTGGTCGTCCTGGATAGCCAAGTGTCAAGTTACCGTCGCCAGAGGGAGCCCTTGCTGGGCACTTGTCCTGGGACTTCGGCACCCAGTGCCTTTCCCTGCCCTGTGAGGTCTGCTTGGGGCCAAGCTCCCTCTCTTCCTCCTCCTCTTCCTCGGTCCTTCCTCTTGCCCTGTGGGCTGGGCCCGAGCTGAGCTGATGAAAGAGGAGGTGGCCCCAGGGAGGCTCTCCCTGAGCTTGGGGAGGGTGGATCGGGGCAGTTCAGGACAGATGCAGCCCGGCCCACCCTGCCCCTCTGGCTGCTCCCTGGCTGGTCCCTCCCTTTGGCCTCTCTCAGGAAGGAAAGTAAATAGTGGGGGAGCTGCCAGACCACCCAGGCAGAGCAGCAGGCTGTGCAGCCATCAGCATCCAAAGGTATTTTTGGGGGAGCTTAGGACTCCCCTGGAGGCCCAGGGGTGGTGTGTTTGCCTCCTGTTCCTCCAGTCCCCTGCTGCTGGGGCTGTCGCACTGGGGGCCTGGCTGGCAGGGAGGGGTCTAGAGGCCAACGGCTGGGCGCTTGGAGATTTGGCTGGTCGTGCCACCCAGCAGACCAGGCTGCAGGGAGAGAAACCCGCCCCAGTCCTGCTGTCAATGGGGTTCTTTGAGTCTGAGCACAAAACCCCAGTGAGTCAGGGTTTGGGGAGGGCAGGGAGTAAGAGGCCAAGCGTGCGGCTGCGCCACTTGGATGGCGAGCCTCCCCGGGGCTGGACAGGTGGCCACTGTGTAAAGGCACAGACTCCACGGAGGGAACATTTGTCACCTTTGTTCCGTGGGCTGCAAGCAGGAGCCCTCTGGTGGCTGCCTCCACTGTCTCAGCCCATGCCCTGCGCCTGTTCCAAGGGTGACAGTAACCCCCAGCCTGGCGATCAGAGGAGTCCTAGAGCCTGCTGGGCTGCCCCCTGCACAGTCTGGGCAGACGCTGGTCACCCAAGATGGGGCCGAGGCTGCGTCCCCCTGACTAAGCACACTCAGTGCTGACCCTGCGCCGTGCCAGCTCTTAGAGCTGCTGCCAGCCTTGAGCTGGGTGCCCTGGGCCGGATAGGCTCGTCACAGCCTGTGGGGAAGGGACCACCGAGAGGCAGGCACACGGCAGAGTTCTGAGGCCAGGGCAGGACCCTCTGCTATTCTCTCCTGCCCCCAGAGTCCTCATGGTCATCATATTGGTAGACAAATGTGCTCCGAGCACGGCCTCATCTGGCTTCACCCAGCCTGTGAGGCAGAGTCCTCTTAGCCGTGTCACAGGCGAGAGGCGCAGGCTTCTGGGATGGAAGATTCCCTGGGGTCAAAGCCTCACTGGCAGAGCCAGCATCTGTGCCCAGAGCATGCGTCTCTTGCCAGGGAGCCCTGCCGTCAGGACAGGGGAGGAGCTGGAGGCGGGGTCCAGCAGGGTGGCTGGACAGAGTGGGGGTCACATCCTGTTCCCAGGAGCCCTGGGTGTTAGCTGACCTTCCTGCACCCTGTTTCCACTGGCCAGTGTGCAGTGCCAGCTGCTGCCTTGTGAGGCTTCAAGAGAGGAGGCACGCGAGGCACCCAGCATGGTGCCAGACACTAGCAGTGCCCGGCTGGTGTCTGGGGCCTGGGTGAATGAACGCTGCCCTACCAGGGCCCGCACCGCTCACCTCTGCCACACTGCCTGCTGCAGGTGCCGCCACGCTGCCATTGCCAAGTACTTCGGGGATGCACCGCCTGCCTGCAGCAAAGGCTGTGACCATTGCCAGAACCCTGCAGCCGTGAGGAGGCAGCTGGATGCCTTGGAGCGCAGCAGCAGCTGGAGCAAGACCTGCATCGGGCCCTCCAAGGGGGATGGCTTTGACCCTGAACTCTACGAGGGAGGCCGCAGGGGCTACGGGGGCTTCAGCAGGTGACGGAGCACGAAGACAGGGGCCCCTCAACCCCCTGGAAGTAGTCCATCACTTCCCTGGTGCTAAGGCCAGAAGAGAGGCAGCACAAAGCGGTGGTCCGCCCCCTGCCCTGCCAGCCATGCTGGGGCCCAGGCCCGGGGCTGCCGACACCCGCTCTGTCCCCTAGGTATGACGAGGGTTCTGGAGGCAGCGGGGACGAGGCCAAAGACGAGGCCCACAAGCGGGAATGGAATCTCTTCTATCAGAAGCAGATGAACCTGCGTAAGGTGAAGGGGCGTGGGACTTAGCTGGACCAGGTGGTTCCCCCGCCCACACCCTCAGTGCCTTCCAGCAGAGCTGGGAGCCTCACGGGCCTTCATGTCACCTTCCAGGGCAAAGACCCCAAGACAGAAGAGTTTGTGCCCCCAGGTCAGTACGGACATGCTCCCAGGGGCTGGGGGGCTGCTTCTGGGGGCATGGATAGAGGTTGCCTTCCTGGGGGCGCAGGCGACTCCACAGCCAGCAGGAGGTCCAGCGGGTGGACTCCCTCTTCCTCCCCCCAGATGAAGACTGTCCGCTGGAAGAGGCTTCTAGCAGGAAGATCCCCAGGCTCACTGTGAAGGTAAGGAGGGGCAGCTGCTCACCTGCCAGGACCCCGGCCCAGCACGGTGGCTGTGTGACCCACTCCTCTCTGCTGTGCAGGCCCGTGAGCACTGCCTGGGGCTTCTGGAGGAGGCTCTGAGTAGTAACCGCCAGGCCACAGGGACCTCTGATGGGTGAGTGTCCTGAGATCCCGGGGCTGGGCCTAGAGGCATCTGCCCAGGCTGGGGAGGCTTCTCCAAGCTCTTGTTCGTTGGAGATGGCAGGAAGCCCCGCGGCCCCTGAGCGGGCAGCCCCTCCCTAGATTATGACCCCTCCTACTCTGGGGCACGCGGGGCGCAGGCCTGGCTGTTGGAGGATGGAAAGCCCCAGGTGTCAGAATCCCTGGGCCCTGAAGCCATCCCCAAGGGCCCCCAGCCCGCCTATTGCCTGTGTTCCTTCCTCCCCACAGAGCCAGCCTTCTGGCCAAGGCTGTGGAGCTGGAACACGAGATGTTCCGAAACGCCAAGATGGCCAACCTGTACAAGGCCAGTGTGCTGAAGAAGGTGGGCCCTGTGCAGGGGAGAGGCGGGGGCTCAGGATAGGAAAGGGCAGCCCCCCCACCCCAGGGCTCTGCCAGCCGCCTGGCCCCTGGAGCCACTTACGGGGTAGAGCCTGCTCTCGGCGCTGGCTGTTTCTGGCCAACCCCTGAGGACAGAACGCTCCCAGTGCCCCTCTTACACAAAGGAGAGGAGGCCCGAGTGCGGCTGTCGAGAGGAGCTGCGAGCCGCACGCCCTCCCTGTGTCCCTGCCTGTTCCTGCCAGGTAGCCGAGATCCACAAAGCCTCCAAGGATGGGCAGCTCTATGACACGGGAGGCGGAGCCAAGAAGCGCAGTGCCCAGGCCGAGCCCTCAGAGCCCAGCGAGTACGACATTCCTCCGGCCTCCCAGGTGTACTCGGTGAGCGGCTCTGGGCGTCCTTCCGAACCTAGGTCTGGGAGAAGCTGCACTCGCCCTGCGGTAGGGCACGGCCCTGGCCCTGGGGCGCCCTGGGCAGGCCCTGGAGCTTCTCTGCTTGCTGCCCTGTCTCTGTGGCCTGAGGCCTCCGGCCCCTTCAGCCTGCCCCCGAGGGGCGTCCTCTCACCTCCCACGTTCCTGCAAGCCCCAGCCCCGAGCAGCCACGGCACGAGCAGCCGGCCGGTGTCCCCACGCGGGGCTGGAAGTCTCAACCTTCTTTCTTCCTCACAGCTCAAAGCCAAGCGGGTGGGAGCTGGTTTCCCCAAGGGCTCCTGCCTCTTCCAGACGGCCACTGAGCTGATGGGGAAGACTCAGCCCCAGGACGGAGCCCCCCAGCCCGTGCAGAGAGAGGAGCAGGAGCCCCCCAGCCAGCCCTGTGCTCTCCAGGACGAGGGCTGCAGTGAGCCCCTCCCTGGGCCCAGACCAAAGGCCTCTGGAGGTGGTGCCCACTGTGGGGGGCCCTCCCCCGAGAAGAAGGCAAAAGGCTCCCCAGGGAGCCAGTCTGTTGCCAAGACGTCGGCCAGCAAGAAACAGCAGCTCCTGGCCGCAGCGGCTCGCAAGGACTCTCAGGACATCACCCGCTTCTTCTGCCAAAGGGCGGGGAGCCCAGCCCCGGGGGCGGAGGATGCCAGCCCCGCCTGTGGGGGGGTGCAGGAGACGCCCCCGGAGAAGTGTGCGGAGGAGGAGGATGGAGCCCGAGCCCAGGGACGTTTGCCTGCCCCTCTCCAGACTGAGGAGTGCCCTGGGGCGGGGCCGGGGTAAGGGGACAGCGAGCCACGGAACCCGGTGGGATGCCGCCTGGGCCTCCTGGGACAGGGAGCAGCTGGGACCCCAGCTCTGATGCCTGCTCTTCTTCACTTAGGAGCCAGGGGCCTCCAGCATCCCATCCTGGGCCACCAGAGGAGACACAGCGGGGCAAGCGGCCCAGACCCCAACAGGTACTGCCAGGGTTGAGGCACAGGGAAGGGAGGAGGCCTGTGGAGGGGACCCGTGGCTGCTGCCATGGTCAGGGCTTCAGGGGACATCATGAGGGAGCCCACCGCTGAGGCCCAGTTGTCTAGTAGGAAGGGTGGGGTCAGTGGATGAGGGCCCAGGAGTGACTGCATTTGTCCCTGCCCAGGATGACCCAGAGAGCCAGGCTCAGAAGAGGCCGTGCCCGTCAGCCAAGCGCTCTGTCTCAGCTGAGGCCAAGGGCAGCATCCCGGCCAGTGACCAGGACAGCCGGAACCCCACCGCCCAAGGCCCCAGCCAGCTGTCAGCTCCTGGCATCCCCCTGAAGGAAGCTGCGAACATTGTGGTCAAGTGTCTGACACCTTTCTACAAGGAGGGCAAGTTTGCATCCAAGGTAGGGTGAGCGGGCGGGCTCCAGCCAGGCCTGGCGCACAGGGAGCAGTGGGGGCTGGGGACACAGAACGTGAGCCCCTGCAGGCAGAAGCGGCTCGGCCCTCCCTGGGGTCCGCCTCGCCCTGGCTCAGGACCGGGCCCTGCCCCCTGCTGCTCCTTTCCCTGTGCCCTCCAGGAGCTGTTCAAAGGCTTCGCCCGCCACCTGTCCCACCTCCTGACTCAGAGGCCCTCTCCCGGAAGGAACGGTCAGTGCTGGGGGAGGGGGCGGGGTGTGCAGGGAGGAGACGGCCCTCACCTCCTCACATCCCCCCCTCCCCTGTAGTGAAAGAAGAGGCCCAGAACCTCATCAAGCAGTTCTTCCACGGCCGGACCCGGTGCGAGAGTGAGGCTGACTGGCACGGCCTCTTTGACCCACAGAGATGACCCCGCCTGACTGCCCTCCCAGATGCTGCCGCACACCAGCCTGGCCTTGCTCTCCAGCGGGGAGGCCGGCGGGCTCGCTGGTGCCAAGGGCATTCTCAGGGTCTTTGCTCTGTCTAACCACAGCTTGCTTTGGGGATGGCCCCAGACACCTCCCAAATCAAGATCAGAGGCCAGGGGTCGGCCCACCTTCCTGCCTCCTAAGCCTGTGGTCCCGTCTCGCCCCCCCTGCCTCTCCTGGCTCCCAGGGCTTGGTTCTCTGGTCAGACGCCCAAGCTAGAAGGTGGGTGGGTGGCTGGTGTGCCTGCCGCTGGGTGGGAGGGGGGGTGGCCCCTCCCTCTCTCGTCAGAGAACTGTAAGCCAGGGTGAGGCCCACCTGTCCAGGGTGCTGGGGCCTGCTCAGGGGGAGCCCTTGCCAGGCCCCTTCCCTGAGGTGCCAGCCTCACCCCAGGCGCAGAGCTTGTGGGAAGGGGGGCAGCAGCCGGCCCTGCTCCCTCCCCCGCTGCTGGTAGGAAGGCCAGGCCCCACCGAGATGTTTACAAGAGGAATAAAGTCCCACGCGTGTGTCTGGGTAAACACGTGCGCGCACACAGCCCTTTTCCTCGAGCGTTTTATTTCCTCAGTAGCCATGTGCCCCAAACCCGGGCTCCTGCTCCCTGGGGGCCTGGGCGGGGCCTGGGACCTGGCAGGCATCTCCCAGACCTGGAGCCCACCCCTGGGGGAGCCTGGCTCCTCTCTGTCTAACAGCCCCCACCTAGTGGTGTCCACTTAGGCCTGCTGGATTCCAGAACACAGCCAGGTGTGAAATCCAAGCAGAATGACCTGGGGGACTCGGGCCGCGGACAGCCTCTAATCCATCTCCCCACGCCCCACCCTCAATGGAGACCTGGCCACTGGGCCACGGGCAGGCTGCTGTCCAGCAGGAAGACGATGGTGTACAGCAGCTCCTGGGCCTGTCCAAAGGAAGCACGTCAGTGTGGGGCCCCCAGGCCAGCCCCCGCCCCGCCCCCACCACTGCTGAGCACGGCCCGTGGGCCCGAGCTCCTGCTGCACCCCAGTGGCCACTCACCTGCGGCAGCTCAAGCCACATGGACTGAGGGCTGTCAGCCGAGCCGTAGTTGATCTCCAGACCGGGAGGGCCCCCCGGCTCCAGTGGGCTCAGCAGGTGCAGCTGCTGCAGGTCCTTCAGGTCGATGGAGCCACACGTTTTCTGGGGACAGCAGATAGAAAGAAGGCCGTGGCTCCCTGGGGTGGGGCCGCAGGGTGGTGGAGAGGAATGGCCTGAGGGCCGCCTGGGGCAGAAGCCCTGCCTACCTGGGAGCCGGGGTCCAGCAGGAGGAGGTGCTGGCGGTTGAGCCCCAGAAGGGCAGGTCCGGGGAGGGCCAGGTTGCTCACTCGCTGCACCACGTAGACAGTGTGGCCGAAGAGGGGCAGCTGGCTCGTGGCCTCTGGGGACAGGGAGGACAAGGCAGGAATTTGCTGGGTCCCTGGAACCTGTGTTCTGTGGCCCCCCAGGACAAGGGAAACGGAAGCCGCCTCAGTCTGCCGTCCACCCAGCCCTCCTGGCCCCCGACCCACTGATGAAGCTGATCTGGGCTTCTTGCGAGCTGTGTCCTTGCAGCTTCTGCAGCTCCTGCCCCATCAGACTCCTCACAGCGGCCACGTCCACCTGCCAGTGCAGCAGCTTCGGGATGTAGGTCAGCAGTTCCTGCCTGGGCACACAGCTGGGCTCAGTCCCGCCCACGACCACAGACCTGGTGCAGGGCTGGGCATACAGCAGGTGCCGGATAACCAGACTGCTGCCTGCTGGGGGTGCAGCGAGGGGGCCTGGGGTAGGGTGGAGGAGACAGGTCCTCGGCCCAGTGTGGCAGCCTGTCTGGTTAGTCAGGAAGGGTACAAGACCAGTGGCCTTGACCGTGGAGGCGCGCACGTCATGGGCTGGAGGACAGGTCCTTGGGCGAGTGCTGAGGTGGGGCAAGGAGTGATGGGAAGTACAGGGGCCAAGCTCTCACGCACTCTGACGGGGGGTTCTTGTCAGCCTTGCCAAGGTGCTGGAAGGCAGCCAGCCTGGCCAGCTGGGCGTCCGCCTGGGCGCTGACCATCAGTTTCCCCTGGAGGTAGTCCCGCAGCACCTGAGCAGGGAGGGCCGTGAGCTGGCGGCTCCAGGGCGCAAGCAAAGTCCTGCCGTCCCCCTCCCGCCTTCCAGCTACCACAGACCCACATCCTCGTGGGAGGGGGCTTAGAGGTAACCCAGGCGGGAAGTAGGGCACTCGAGGGCACAGCAGTCCAGGCGTGGGTGGGCTGACCTGGCTGAAGTGGGTGCTGATGTAGGTGGAGTTATCGAAGTGCAGTGGGGTCTCCCAGCCAAGCCGCCGGCTGTGCAGGCTCACTTTCTGGTGCACCAGCACGCTGTTGAGGTACTCATGGGGCCAGAGGGGCCGCACCAGCTCGCCTGCACAGGGAGCCGGGGTCCACAGCCGCCCCCTGCTCAGAACACGCCCTGCCCTGCCGCCACGGGCGGCAGGAGAGCGGTCCCAGCAGGGGAGACGCCAGCACCCCGGACCCAGCTGAGCCTCTGCTCCCTCCGGGGCTCACCTTCCCCTTTGATGAGGAAGAGGGCAAACTCCTGCAGTTCCTGGGGGTCACTGATGCCCATCTGCCCGCACAGCTCCTCCAGCACTTCCGCTGCCACCTGCGCACACGGGCGTCATGTGACAACGGGCACGCGGCCAGGGGTGGCCTCTGCCCGTGCACGGCCCCCAGTCCTACTCACCGTGAACGTCTCGATGTTCGTCTTGTAATCCACATTCCCAGGCAGGTGAATGAGAAGCAGGCGGGCCACCTGTCCCTTCTGCCGGGGCAGATGGCAGGGTCAGTCCACCAGCAGGCAGAGGTCCCGGCTCTGCACACTCCCCCCTGCCGGGGAAGTCCCAGAAGGCCCCTCCGCCCGCCCAGTACCAGGAAAGCCTTCATTTCACTCGGAGGGGGCAGGCGCCGGCGACCGCCGTATTTGACTGTGCGCTGCAGGTTCTTCTGGCTGCTCCGGGCCAGCTCTGCCGGCGAGCAAGGCTGCAGTCAGGAGCCTGTCCCAGTCCCTCCCCAGCCCGCTGAGCTCTCTCCCCTGCTCTCTGCCCCCAGAGGCACCTTGGCCAGGGCCCGAATCCTGCAGGAACTTGGTCACGTAGGGCATCAGCGTGGTGGACGGCGGGAAGAAGCCCGTGAGGAGGCTGAGGAAGCTCCAGCCTCGCGCGCAGCGCTCCCTGCCGGGCAGACACCTGACCTCAGGCCGGCCCGGTTAGGGCGCTGTGCTGCCCCCAGAGGTCCCCGCCACCCTCCAGTCCCCACTCACGGCCGGGGGTGTCCTGTGACCTGCTTGATGGCCTGGCAGTAAATCTCATCCCTGAGGTTCTCCTCACCGGACAACTGTGGGGATGAGACGGGCAGGTGGGCGGGGCGGGCCTGGGGCCGAGAGCCGGCGGGTGCGGGGGATCTGAGGTTGGGAGCAATCCTGCTAACACCAGCGGGCTGGGGCCCAGCCAAGGGGACGTCCCGCGGCCACCTCTCAGTCTCTGCCTGATACCCTCTGTCCCACGGGTCACTCCATCTTCACACACTTCCTGACCCTTCATGGTCATTGTCACTGGGTCTCCTTGGCCCCTAGGGGGCGCTGTATCCTGAGCCTCCGTCTACACTCCCCGTGGTGGTCTCAGAGGATCCCTGGCCCCCTTCCAGCCCAGACCCCTCCCCTCTGCCCCCTCAGCGAACCCTCCCGCTTCTCACCTCTGCCGCTGCTGCCCGCAGTCTCTTACCTGGGACCCTTGTCCTTAACCCCCCAGAATCTCGACAGCCAGGGTGACCCCCGCCAAACGCAAACCAAAGCTCTCCCCAAAAGCCTACAGCGGTTTCCCTCCGGAAACCCTACAATAGCCTGCGGAGCCTGCTGCCTCCCGGGCCCACCGTCCCCTCACTCGGCCTCAGCTCTTGTCAGGACTGTCACCACGCCGCTCCCTGCCCCCCACCCCCGGCCCGGACGCCCTGTCCCGTGCACACGCGGCTCCTTCCCCAGCTTTGCCCACTGCCTCCTCCCACGAGGTGGTAGCTCTACAGAGACCTCACCTTTAGGTTCAGAACCACGCCTCCCGCGTGCAGTAGGTGCTCAGAGAACGCTTCAGATGCGTTTGAAGGTGGCCAGGGGAGGGGGACCCCAGCCAGCCACTCTGGGCTCGTGGCCGCTGCCCACCTGCCCAGCCCCCACAGCGCTCACATTTTACCTTCAGCAGCTCATAGAGCAGGTTCACCGCGTCCTTGCCCCGGCGCTTAGACTGGTCCCCCATAAACTGCATCAGAGCTGCGGGCAGGACAAGACGCAGTGAGCTGCCAGCAGGCCTGGCCCAGCCCGAGCTGTCGCCACCCAGGGCCTGGCCCGCCACCTGCATGTGGCCCAGGCATGGCAGCTGTCTCCTGCTGTACCGACAAGGAAATCAAGTCCCCGGGACTAGCACATGATGCGTGGCGTGGACCAGACCCTCCCACGACCTCTCAGTCCCACACACCACAGCCCACGGCTCGGGTGAGAAGTGGGGGCACAGGAACCCCCAGCGAGCGTCACGGAGTTGGCAGACTGGGGCGGGGCCAGGCAGAGCTCAAGGAGAGAGGGGGGCCGTGTGCCAGGCTGAGGACCCAGTGAGATGGCACGTGGCGAGACTCAGCTCCGCCCACCAGGTGGTAGGATGGCAAAACGAAATGCAAGCCAAGGAATTGGTGCCAATCAGCTGGATCCAAGATGGTGCCTCACTTGGTCTCAAGTTGACCGCACTCTTCATCACGCCCGCATTATAATGCATTAGCATAAAGAATCATCCCCCAGACACCACGGTGGTTCACAGTTGCCATGACAACCGTGGAAGGAGAGAAGTGGGGTGGGTCCCTAATTCCTGGAAGCCGCCACCTCTTTCCCAGGACGAAGCTGCTCCTTCCACCAGACCTGGGCGTGCATGTGTGCAAGCCCACGCGGAGGTGCTGAGACAGCGCACGGGGCTGCTCTGTGGAGTCGCCTGCCCTTGGCCACTTTCCTTAATGAAAACGCTCTTCGCCGGCTGTGACGATGTCGCCCTCTCCCGGGAGCCAGGCACCCTCCTGAAGCCAGCGTGGCCCACACGGTGGCAGCCCCGGGACACGGCAGCCACTCACCCTGGAAGCTTGCCACGGCTTGCCTGCTCGTGTCCTCGTCCTTAAAGCTGATGAGTGACTCCTGGATGGGCACCTGCGGCCAAAGAGGCCGGGCTGAGCGTCTGGGCCCGGGGCGGGCAGGGCAGACGCGGCCGCCAGACTCGTCCCCGCTGGCCCTTACCTTGGTGTACTGCACCAGGCTGGCTCTGGCCTTCCCCTCACCTGTCAGGTCCAGCCTGTGGGGGCAGAGGGGAGGCCCTGTTTGACTCCCACCCTTGTTCCAGGGCAAGGACAGGCTGGTGACAGCCCTGAGGCCTCCGTGCACAGAGAGAGGCTGGCCCAGGGCACTCACGGGGTCTGCGGCTTCCGGAAGTAACGCAGGGCGAATTCCTGCATGGTGTAGTTGTGGGGGTCAGCGGACAGGGAAGAGTAGGCCACAGAGGAGGGCAGGCTGGTGGCCTCCGAGTCGTCGCTGAATGCCTGGCTCCGGCGATGTGCAGGGCGCTGGGGGCACAGGAGATCTGACGCCACTCAGAGACCCAGGGACCCTGCCCCAGCCCCACCCTCACCCCCGCAACAGCGAGGGGCCCAGGGCCAGCCCCTGCCTGCAAGGCTGGCAGACCAAGCGCCGCCCGCCACAGCCGGTCCCCCCTCACCTCCGAGACCCTGCTCCACTGCGCCAGCCCCGGCTCCCCCAGCGGCAGCTGGCTCTTGCGCCAGCGGCTGCTCCCCTGCTCCGAGAAGGAGAAGTCAGGCGCCGCAGCCGGCTGTACCAGGTCAGCAGGGAAAAGCCCAGAGCGGCCCTTGGTGGAGCCAAACTGCCAGCCTGGGAGAAGTCCAAGAGCAGAGGCTCAGCCCCCGGGCCCCTCCGGGGGCCCACCCACGCGCGGTGCCTCCCCCCTGCCCCGCTGCGGCTCCCCGGGGGTACCCGGTTCCAGAGTGGCCACCGGCAACAGCTTGATGAGGTCCCCGCGGTGGAAGCTGAGCAGGCTGCTGTCATCGGTGATGTAGCTACGCAGGGCGACGACATAGCCAGAGTCCTGCGGGCAGTGGGGGAGCGGACGGGCCTGGGACTCTATCTGCCCCCAGCCCCCACAGCTGGCCTCCCCGCTCCCGCCACGACCCCCAGCCCCAGGGAAAGCAGCCAGATCCAGCGCTGGCGCAGGGGAGCCCGCCCAGCCCCCCGTGGGCCAAGCTTGCCTTCTTGAGTTCACTCAGGAATAGCTCCACCATGGCCTTGATGGCCTTGGCCCGGGCCGAGCGCAGCACCAGCTGCTCACTCTTCAGCGACAGCTCCAGGCTGGAGCCGCCCCGGCACTCCACGCCCAGCACCTCGGCAAAGCTGCGCACAGGGTGCGGGTGAGCTGGGGGCCAGCCGGGCCCACCTGCCCAGCCCCGCCCCCTCACGCCCGCCCAGGCTCTGCGCACCTATAGGAGCAGAGTGTCTTCAGCTGGTCCAGGCGGAAGCTGGGGCCTTGGGTCACTTTGAGCAGCCTCAGCCCCCGGTGGGACACGCCCAGCAGCTGCACGTCGCTGCCGTTCCCACCCTGCCGTGGGGGGACACGAGTGGGTCACCGGCAGGCTCCTGAGTCCCACCATGGCCCCAGACACCCTGGAGCTGCGCTGGGTCCTCGCCCATCGGCAGAGGGCTCAGGCCTGTGCACACTGCGGTCCAGACTGCACCCCACGCCCTACCCCCACTGACCGAGACGGGGAAGATGCGGGAGAAGTAATTGGCCCAGTTGTCCCGGGCGGCCACCACGATGCGCTTCCTGACGCTGTCTTCGGCGGTGCTGAGGGAGTCCAGACCCACCTCCAAGTGTCCTGAGGGCGGGAGGGGCCCAGGCCAGGCTCAGGGTCCCCTGCTCCCAGGGTTCGCTCCCACGGCCGCCCTCCCCACCCCCAGCCCCAGCTGCTGCCCCAGGCCGGTACCCAGCAGGTCCTTCATCTTGGACCGCTCCTCCTGGGAGATTCGGGTGCAGGACTCGGCAAAGGTGTCCCGCAGGATCTGGGGGCAGAGCCGGGCGGTCATCAGCAGGTCCTGGGGTCAGGGTCTCCCCAGGGCAGCCACGCACAGGCACAGAGAGGCTGCAGAGGCTCACCAGGGCTTGGTGGTCTGAGCAGGGCCCACTGGGGCAGGGAGAGACCCAGGGCTCCCACACCCAGGGCTGAGTCTGCCCAAACAGCTCTCCTGTCTCTCCCCCTTCCCCCTGGGCTCCAGCCGCCTCCCTGCGCAGGGACCCCACCTCAGCTGCTGTTGGCTCAGCTGAAATAAGCCTCCCTGGAAGACGGGACGGTGGGGGAGGGGGGGGGGAGAGGCGACTGCAGATTTAGGGAACAGAGGTGCAGTCCTGGGAACACCCAGAGGTGGCAAAGTGATGACCACCATTTAAGAAGCTCCTACGCACCCCCCCACACACATTGGTGTTAATCCAGCCCAGGGGTGCAGCCAGGGCCCCATGGGCAGTCCGCCTGCCCCGGAGTCGCAGGTCGGCAGGTGGGCCAGGCTCTCACCTGCTCACAGAGGAGTTTGAGGCCGTAGGGGTGGCTGAAGGCCTCCCGGGGGTAAAACACCTGGCCCAGGAGACAAGGCAGGGCTGAGATCAGCAGGGGGTCCCCACCCAGCCTACCTCTGCCTTCCCCCAGGCCCCATCCTCTCGCCCACCTCCTTGCGCAGGAACAGCCTCCAGGGGGCGCTGGCGTAGGAGAAGCACACGCTGCCGGAAGGCACCAGCAGCCGGGTGGAGAACCCCTGGTCCCTCATGGGCTCCGGCAAGTCGCGGGGGCGGGGGTGGGAGGGGTGCGGGCCCTCAGGCGAGGTGACTGGGCCGTCAGGAGGGAGACCATCAGCCCCACGAGCCCCCCCAAAAGGCCCCGCACTCCGCCTCCAGCCACCTCACTCTGGCTCACGGCACCTGCTCCCGCCTCCACGTCCTGCCCTCAGTGGCCCCTGGTGATCCTGACCACGTCACCAGGGCCACTAAATTCCCCACGGAGCTGTCACAGCTGCATCAAGGACAACACCCTGTGTGTGACAGCTCCTCGGTCCCAGAAAGGTCCTGGGGGTGCCCGGCCCCCGCCCTGGGCAGGAACGAGGAAGCTGGACACCCCACCCCCGGCTCAAAGTCCGGAAGCCGGGGCCGCTGGCCGGGTGGGGATGACTTCAGCCGTGGGTGCCGAGAGCTGCCCTGGCGAAGCCCACCACGCAGGGCGCCGGGGTCCTCACCATGAGGCTCTGCCGCTGGGGTCCCGGGGTCCACAGGTGGAGGCAAGGGGGGTGCCGGTGGAGGAGGGAGTGCCTGGGCAGCGGGCAGGGTATGGCTGAACAGGTCCCGGAGGGGCTCCTGCTTCTCCCGGATGGAGCTGGAGGGCCCGGGCCGGGGGGCATCCTTGGGCCGTGGAGCCACAGCCGGTGGGGGCGCCTTCCCTAGGCTGGGGGACAGCGTCTGAGGGGTGCAGAGAGGACGTGCAGGCTGAGTCTAGGGACAAAGGCAAGCGAGCCCTGCCCAGAGCAGCCCAGCACCCAGACGGGCCAGACGGGGGTGCTCACCGAGGGGGGGGAGTGGGTACCGTTGATCCCCAGTTTGGCCAGAGCCTCGTCCTTGGGGTCGTTTTTCTTCCAGAAGGCTTTGGGGGTCCTTGCGGGAGAAGGAGTTGGTCACCAGGTGCACGGGGTGATTCCCTGCAGAGGGAGGCTGCCTCCACCAGGGAGCCCACCTGGATGGCTGTACGGGCACAGGCACCGGCCCCGGGCGGCTCTGGTACATCCGGATGATGTTGCGGATTTCCCTGCTAGGTTCTGGCCGCTGGGACGTGCCGTTCAAGTTGCGCACCGTGGGCCTCCTGCCCTGGGCCGGCCCCGCCTTCTCCTCTGGCTTTGGCTCGGCCTCGTTGGCAGCTTTGTCCCTGCCTCGTTGCAGGGGCTCCTTCCCTCCTGGGGGACGAGGGGGGGCCGGCCCCGCCTTCTCCTCCGGCTCTGGCTCGGCCTCGTTGGCAGCTTTGTCCCTGCCTCGTTGCAGGGGCTCCTTCCCTCCTGGGGGAGGAGGAGGGGCCGGCACTGACCGGAAAAGGAGAGACCATTAAACACAGCCTTGCAGAACCACAGGCGCCTTAACCCCCCTCCCCCCCCAACACACACCTGCTCCCACGTCCTCTCCTTTCTCCTCCTCCCCTTCCTCCTCCTCCTCCTCCTGCTGTGGGATCCGGATCTTGGCTGGAGGCTTCATGGTTTTCACCCTGATTTGCTCTTGCCCTGTAGGTGCCCAGATGGACTCCATCACCCATGATCCCCCAGGGAGCTGCCCCGTCCCCCGTCTGGGGTCCTGGAAAGGCCACAGGGACTCAGGGGAGCAGGGCACACCCCGCCCCAGCCAGCTCAGGGGCCTGAGCTGAGTTTCCGTGTGGGCTGCCACCCTGCGCCTCCTCACCCATCTTCTGGAAATAGTCCCGCTTCTGCTGGAAGCTCTTGGGGTACAGGGGCCCGTCCGGGGAGTCTTCCGAGTCCTCGTCCTGGCAGACGGAGAGAGAGCAGCCCCACAGCAGGGTCGCCACACTCCGCATCTCCCTGACTCCTGTCCTCCACCCTGTGTCTCTCACCCCTGCAGCCCTGGCACCTGCTGCCCCCACCCCCTCTGCCTGGCCTTGGCTTCTTACCCTCAAGCTGGCGCCCATGGGCTCCGGATCCCGCTTTGGCTCCACCCGGGGAGTAGGGGGCTTCTTGGGCTTTGGGGTGACGGCGGGGGGTGGGTCCTGGGCGGCGTCCCTGGAGGCCTGCGCCTGGCGCTGGCGCTGTTGGGCCTGCTGCTCCAGGGACAGGCTCATGGCCTGCGTGGTCATCTGCTGGGCCTGAGGGGGCGGGGCGGCGGCCGGGTGAGAGCCCTGGCGGGCCCGGCCCCGGCCCTGTGCTCCCCCAGGCAGCCGGGCAGGCCCCGCCCCTCACCAAGAGCATCGCCTGCTGGTTGATGAAGGTCTGCTGCTGCTGCGCCAGCTGCCTCGTGTCCAGGCTGGGGAGCAGCGGCTGCGGCTGTGGCGGCACCATCATGGCTGCGAGGGCACCCGTGGGCCGACCAGGTGAGCGCCACGGCCCAGCTCAAGGCCCTGGGCCCACTGTGCCCTCTGGGCTCCTGGCAGGGCCCTCCCTCCTGAGAAGGGAGCCGGTGCCCCCAGCCCAGTCATACCTGGCATGGTGGGGACTGTGCCCATCGCTGGCATCATGGACAAGGGTGCAGGTATCATGGCCGGCTGGTACCCAGGCATCTGCACCACCCCTGGGTACACTAAGGGAACAGGGCCCTCCTGGGTTAGTCCCGGCCTGGGCCCGCACGCCGCCTCCCTCCCAGCCCCAGGTAGGACCCCAGCTGTCCGACGGGTCCCAGGCCATGCCCAGGAGGCCCTGTGTGAGAATCAGCCTGGCACTCACCGAAGGGGTAGGCTTGCTGCGGGGTCCCGATGCCACCCCCTCCCTTCATGCGGCCGCTCAGAGCCCAGCCTTGCTCCAGGTCCTGCAGGGGCCGGGGTCACAGGTCAGAGCCGAGCCCCGGAACAGTGGAAGAGGCAGCAGAGGCCCAGGGGCACAGGCCAGGGGCAGGATGCGGGCGGGGTGGCCGCTCAGGACACTCACGCTGCCTCCCGGGGAGAAGACCGGCTCGAAGAGGTGGTCCAGAAAGCCCTCCAGGCTCCCCGGCGTCCGGGCCTCCCCTGTGGGGCAGGGAGAGGGCTGTGTGAGAGAGCCTGGGCGAGGGGCTTCCCGCACCCCATGCCCCTCACTCTGCCAGTCCCAGAGTGCCCAGGTCGGCCTCACCTGCGTGTCCCGTGCCGGGCAGTGTTGGAGCTGGACCTGGAGGGAGGCCTGGGGGCAGTGTGGGGGCCTGGACACCAGGGGCAGGGGGGATGTCCTCGGCTCTGCAGGAAACAGTGGGTCTGGCTAAGGGGGCGGTGTCCAGGCCAAGGCCAAAGGCTGAAGCTGCTATGGGGGCAGGAGGAGGCTCGGCTCGGAGGGCTGGAAAGCACCGAAGGGTGGCTGTGGGTGTCACCAGCAGGGGCGGGGAGATGGGAGAAACTCACAGGCCAAGGGGGGTTATGGGGTAGCCTTGGGGTTGGGCTGGGTCCCCCAGGTCCTCGGTCTGGCCGATGAGGTCCAGCACAATGTCGCAGCCAGCCAGGTCCTGCCAGGTGTCCCCAGAGTGCAGTGACACAGACCAGCCACGAGGGGGCGCCTCCAGGCCTCTGCAGGGGACAGGGGTGTGCAGTAGGGGTGGTCAGCAAGGCCCATGGCCATCCAGAAGGGACAGGGACCGAGGGCGGGCCAAGCTGCTCCGTGTGCCACTTGCGTCCTGTGTTTATACTGAACGGGGCGGGCTTGATGGCTCCCTGGTCATTAAACATTTTTAAGGACCTCCGTGGAAGGGCAATACCGCGGGCAAGATAAACTTGTGCCCTGGAGCCCCTCCAGTTGCAGGCACCCGCTCGCCAGCAGCAGGAACACCCTCAGTGGGTACCTCGTGGCTCTAATGCTCCCACTTATTTGCGGACCTACTGAGTTGGAATCTGGGCATGGGTGCTTACTCCCCTTTATAATCACAGTCTGGACCCCGGCCTCTCACCTCACACCTCCCCTGCCCCTGGCCCTTGTGGGCAGCCGAGGGTGGGGGACAATGCTGGGGTCTGGCCGTCCCCCCCCAGACCCCACACCTGTTCTGCAGGATCCACCCAGCCAGTTGCTCCCCTGTGGTCCAGGACTCCACCTCGGCTGAGTAGCTCTCCTCTGTGGGGCGGGGGGCGCAGAGAGTGAGGGTCAGCCGGGCCCTTCCTGATAGCCAAGGGCTGCGGAGGGGAGATCCGGGTCCCAGGGGAGGGGTAGCAGGAAGGGGTCCCGGGAGGAAGCGCCCCACCCCGCCGCGCCCCGGGTCTGGGGAGGCCTCTGCAGGAGGCGGCCATCACCACTGAAGGTGAACACGTCCAGCGCCATGCGGCCCCGCCGCCATCCGGCCGTCCACTCGAGCTGGGTAGGGGGATGGGCCCGTGCGGCCCCGGGGGCCAGCGGCGTCTGCTCCAGGGCCCCCAGGAGCTTGTGCTGACACAGCGCCGCCATGCCCTGGGGGGCCTGGTCAGACACGAACCTGGGGGAACAGCGCGGGCTGCTGTGGAGGCGGTGGTCCCCGACTCCCCCTGCCCCGGCCCGGCCCCCACTCGCCAGCCCCCTTACTTGAGCAGCGGTTTCTGCAGGGCAGGCGTCGGGGGGAAGGCACTGAGCAGGACAGCCATGAGGGCCCAGCCTCGCTGGCTTTGCTGCTCGTCTGGGTTGTGCCAGAGCTGGGCCACCAGCTGGCTGAAGAGCTCATCCCGGAGCCCTGGGCAGCGCTGGCCCTGCCGCACCAGGTACAAGCCCATGGCCTGCTCCTGCCAGGGGGGCAGGGATCCGTCCCCCAGTAGCCGCAGCATCTGTGACACAGAGCCAGGCCAGGGTGGAGATGCAGGGCTCCCGTGTGCACGCACGTGGCCAGGCCCCGCCTGTCCCCTCCCCGCCGTGTCACTCACCACCCTGTTGATGTCCAGGGCCGGCTCAGAGTTCTCAGCATCCAGGCGGGTCAGGGGCCTGGCCAGTGGCTGCCCTGGGCTGGGCAGGGACGGCTCCTGCGTGAGGGAGGGGGGACACGGTGCCTGGGCACGTCCGTCGCACTGACAGGCAGGAGGACGGTCCCCGGGGAGCCCTACAGGAGCACACAGCCTGGGGGGAACGGCTGGCCCCCAGCTCTTTGATTAGAAAATTGATAGAACTCCGAGAACAGTATAATGAAGATAATGACCCCACAACTAACATCACCCTGCCAGCGAGAACACCATTTTAGCTCCTATTTCTGGTCCCACTTTTTGTGCACTCATTCTAGAACATTCCATGCACTCCTCCCCCAACTACCAGTTTTGTTTTGTTTTGTTTTGTTTTAACAAATTGATTTCTTCCCTTCCATTCTCCTTCTTTCTCTTTTCACCTTCCCTCCTTCTTTCCTTTTTTTTTTTTTTTTAAGATTCATTATTTATTTGAAAGGCGGAGTTACAGGAAGAGAGAGAGGTCTTCCATCCGCTGGTTCACTCCCCAAGTGACCGCAATGTCCAGGGCTGTGCCAGGTCAAAGCCCAGAGCCAAGAGCTTCTTCCGGGTCTCCCACGTGGGTGCAGGGGCCCAAGCACTTGGGCCATCTTCTACTGACTTTCCCAGGCCATAGCAGGGAGCTGGATCGGAAGTGGAGCAGCTGAGACTCGATCCGGCGCCCATATAGGATGCCGGCACTGCAGGGGTCAGCTTTACCTACTACACCACAGCGCCGGCCCCCAACCATTATTTTTAAGCAAGATCAAGAAGCTGCTCCGTGTGCCATTTGCGTCCTGTGTTTATACTGAACCGGGCGGGCATGATGGCTCCCTGGTCATTAAACTTTCTTTAAGGACCTCCGTGGAAGGGCAATATCGCGGGCAAGATAAACCTGTGCCCAGGGGCCGGCGCTGTGGCGCAGCAGGAAAAGCCACCGCCTGCAGTGCCAGCATCCCATGGGGCGCCAGTTCAAGTCCCGGCTGCTCCACTTCTGATCCAACTCTCAGCTATGGCCTGGGAGGGCAGTAGAAGATGGGCCAAGTCCTTGGGCCCCTGCACCCGCGTGGGAGACCCAGAAGACGCTCCTGGCTCCTGGCTTTGGATCAGCGCAGCTCTGGCAGTTGAGGCCAATTGGGGACTGAACCAGTGGATGGAAGATCTGCCCCCCTGCCTCTTCTCTCTGTGTAACTCTGACTTTCAAATAAACAAATAAATCTTGAAGAAAAAAAAAAAAAAAAAAACAACCCTGTGGGTGGAAAGAACCCTGGTGTTGAAGCTTTTCCGCTTCACAGGAATGTTCCCAGCAATACAGCCGTGTCCACCGGCCGCTGACCGGCCAGAGAGGAGGCGGAGTGGAGGACGGCGGGGGCACCTGTCTGCCCGGCAGGTGCTAAGGGCAGGGAGGGGCTGGGCTGGCAGGGAGAGGCCGGGACCCACCTGAAAACTGGTGGCGATGAAGCTGGAGAAGGGGAACTGGTCGATGTCCGGCGGGAGGGCCAGGCGGGGCCGGGCAGGGACTTCAGGCGGCAGGCACTCCGTGATGCTCCCGGCCAGGCCGGCCAGGTGGCCTGGGAGGGAACACCGGGAGGCAGCCAGTCACGCCCCACCTCCACCCCGCGCCCCTGGTTCACAGGCAGTGGGGCGGGAGCTGGGGGGCCAGAAGCATCAGAGGGTGGGACCACAGGACAGACCCCCCCCACGGGGAAGGGGCAGGCAAGAGGACACCCGTGACTCACCTTTCGCTGTCCTCAGGGTGGCGGCCAGCTCAGCCGGGATCTCCAGCCGCCCTAGCTCCTGGCAGAGACAGAACAAGTCACTCCGGGGTGAGGGGAGGGGGCCCAGGGCCCCAGTGTCCCCTCGGCCCTGGGATGATACACATCCCCGTGGAGACCAAGAGCTCCAGGGCCCGCCATGACACAGTGAGTTAAGCTGCCACTTGCAACACGGAGTCCCATCTGCTTCCGATCCAGCTCCCTGCTAATGCACCTGGGAAGCAGTGGAGGACGGCCCAAGTGCTGGGGCCCCTGCGCCCATGTGGGACACCCAGATGGGGTTCCAGGGTCCTGGCTTTGGCCTGGCCCAGCCCCGGCTGTTGAGGCCATCTGGGGAGTGAACCAGCGGATAGACGATCTCTTTTTCTCCTTCCCCCAACCCCATAACTCTGCCTTTCAATTAAATAAAAAGATCTGGAGGAAAGATAAAAAAAAAAAAAGACCAAGGGCTCCGATCCGGGACGCTCAAACCAGCGGAGCCCCATGAGCTGTCAGAGGGTGGCCCGAGCCGTGGAGGTCCAAGGGCAGGCAGTCTCAGCGGCGCCGTGACGGCCAGAACCCACAGCGGCCCCCACTCCCCCAGACCACGCCAGCCTCAGTGGGCTCATAACGACCACTGGCCTCGCCCCCCGCGGCTTCCAGGCCACCTACCTCGCTCAGCATTTCCCCAGAGTCCTGGCCGCTGTGCCGGCCACTCCAGTGTCCAAGCTGTGGGGAGAGGCAGGAAGAGCTAACACCCAGGGAGTCACCGGGAGTCTCCCCTGGCTCCTCCCCAGCCCACTCGGCCCCTCCTGCGCCAAGACGCCCTGTGTGCTCGGGGCTCCGGGCCGCGCCGCCCGCCCGGCGTCACTGCCGGTCTGCCAGGGCTGGGAGAAAGGAAGGAATGGTCCCAGGGCCCAAAGTCCAGCCAGGGAGGGGCAGAGAGGGGCGCAGTGCACGGGCACTGACCTTTGAGCCGCTTTATGGCCCACAAATTGGAGTCACCAGGCAAGGGAGGGGAGAGCAGAAGGGGCCCTGGGAGGCTGGAGGGGGTGGGAGGGAGCCCCGGGCCTGGGGGGCGAGGGCAGGACGAGGGGAGACTGTGACTTCCTGGCGCAGCAGCCTCCTCCGGCTGGTGAGGGAGCCAGGCCCTGGAGGTCTCCGGCTGTGGGGACGCAGCCATCGTGGCCAGCCCAGGCTGCCTGGCCTCTTCCCTGAGACCCCCGCCCCGTCCCGCGGCCCATCCGACAGCCCTGCACCTGCAGCCTCTGGCGTCTCCGTCTCCGGAGCAGGGGCCGCGCCAGCAGCAGGAGGGAGTGCAGGCGTCCCAGGGCTGCCCGCCGCCGCAGGTAGCGCTTCCTGGAGGCGGGGGAGCAGAGGGACCCAACTCACACCTCCTGCCCGGGACCCCAAGCCCACACAGAGCCCTGTGCCTGGAGGAAGCAGCGGGAAGGGAAGCCGAGGAGCTGCAGAGGCCGAGGGGGCCGACCGCTGGGCGCGGGGGCTGCGGCCTGGGCTTGGCCGTGTCACCTGCTGGGTCTTCTCGCCACCTGTGGGCTGACGGTGGCTGCAACACGCGGCTCGCGATGAGATGAAATGGATGGGCAGACAGAGGGACTGAGGATTCTGGGGTATTTCTGCTATCTTCAAAGGGCGACTTATGTATTCAAAAGGCGGAGCATCAAAGAGAGGCGTGGGGGGAACACAGGCAGGGCCACCTGGGGGCGGGCGGCCGTGGGGGCTGCGTCCTCGACCTGCGGGGTCCGGGGCTGCCCCCAGCCAACAGCGTCAGAACTGAACGCAAGGACACCCAGCTGGCGTCCACCACTGAACCGAGGGGTCGCTTGCTGTGGGGAACCCCCGCTCCTTTCGGGGTCCCAGCAGCGGTCTGTGTTGACTGCGGAGTGAAAGCAGAGAAAACACAGTGGGTTTTCCTGACGTAGCGGAGAGAGCGTGAGCCAGGTTGGTTAGCGCTACGAAATGGGATGTGACGCCGGCATCCCATAGCCAAGCCCTGGTTGAAAACCCCGGCTGCTCCACTTCCAGTCCAGCTCCCTGCTAATGCGCCTGGGAAAGCAGACGTGACTGGGCCCCTGCCACCCAAGCGGGAGGCCTGGATGGAGTTCCAGGCTCTTGACTTTGGGCTGACCCAACCCCAGTGCTTGCAGTCATTTGGGGAGTGAATTAGTGGGTGGAACATTTCTCTCCTTCTCTGTAACTTTCTTTCCAATAAATAATTATAAAAAAAAAAAACAACCTAAGATAGCACTTCACACCCACAAGGATTGCTGCCTTTTAAAAACCAGAAAATAAGTATTGTCCAGGACGTAGACAAGTTAGGGCCATGCACACTGCAGCAACAACATACACAGTGCGGCCGTTGCAGGAAACGGGGTGGCGAGCCCTCAAACTGCTCAACTCAGACCTACGGTACAGCCCGGCCACTCCACTCCCAAGAATCGACCCCAAAGATTCGGAAAGAAAAACTGGAGGGGCCGGCGCCGTGGCGTAGTGGGTAAAGCTGCCGCCTGCAGTGCCGGTATCCCATATGGGCACCGCTTCAAGCCCTGGGTGCTCCACTTCTGATCCAGCTCTCTGCTGTGGCCTGGGAAAGCAGTAGAAGACGGCCCAAGTCCTTGGGCCCCTGCACCCACAGGGGAGATACGGAAGAAGCTCCTGGCTCCTGGCTTCGGATCGGCACAGCTCCGGCCTTTGCCGCCAATTGGAGAGTGAACCAGCTGATGGAAGACCTCTCTCTGTGTCTCTCTCTCCCTCTCTGCCTCTCCTTCTTTCTCTGTGTAATGCTGACTTTCAAATAAATAAACACTATAAAACAAGAAAAACTGGAATAGATCCTGGGACAGACCCCGTTTTCCTGCAGCCTGGTTCATAAAGAAGGTCCATCAATGGTGAGTGGTTCGATACACGTGCTCTGGCCACGGTGGAACACTACGGAGCCGGAAAGAAGGCAACTCTGAAATTCCGACACACACCACGGTGCGGATGAAGGCTGAAATCTGACGCTCAGTGAAACAAGCCAGACGCAACTGGAAATGCGTGAGTCATGTCCACAGGATGTCTACGACAAGGGTGGGCGTTCAGCCCACGTCGCATATTCCAGTGCCCAGGTTCGAGTCCAGGCTCCACTCCTGATTCCAAGTCCCTGCTAATGGGAATCCTGGGAGGCAGCAGGGACGGCTCAAGTCATTGGGTCCCTGCCACCCACCCACACGGGAGACCCCGACCGAGCTCCCGGCTCCCGACTCTGCAGGCATTCGGTGAGGTGACCAGCGGCTTGGAGAACCCTGTGTCTTCTGCCTTTCAAAATAATGAGGTAAATACATCCAGAACCGCAGAGAGTATATGGGAGGTTGCCAGCGACGGCAGAGAGGGGACGGGAGTTGTTGCTCAATGGTGCAGAGCTTGCTGTGTGATGACAGCACTCGAAATAGCAGCAGCCAGTGTCTGTCTGCCCGGTGCTCTGTACCCTGGCACTGACGTCACTCAGGTCTTGGCCGCGCGAGCCCCAGGGGCGGGTTCAGCACCTGAGCCCGACTCCGAAGCACCCTGCATCAACAGGGCGTCACCCAGGGGAACGGAGCAGGTGGCAGCCACAGCAGCCGGGTGACCCAGGGAAGACAGGCCGTGAGCTCGGAGAGGCGCTGACGAGGTGAGAAGGGGGAGGTAGCATCTCAGGACCAAGAAATCTCAAGTAGCCAGAGTGGAAAATCCGGCCTACATCAAGGCCCGAGAGGCAGGCAGGGCCTTACACAACCTGATTCGTGCTTTTACAAGATCATTCCTGGGCTGGTGCTGTGGCATAGCGGGTAAAGCCACCGCCCGCAGTGCCAGCATCCCATATGGGTACCGGTTGGAGTCCGGCTGCTCCACTTCCAACCCAGCTGTCTGCTGTGGCCTGGAAAAGCAGTGGAGGATGGTCCAAGTGCTTGGGCCCCTGCTCCCACATGGGAGACCAGAAGGAAGCTCTTGGCTCCTGGCTTCAGAGAGGCCCAGCTCTGGCCGTTGTGGCCATTTGAGGAGTAAACCAGAGGATGGAAGACCTCTCCCTCTCTCTCTCCCTGTCTCTCTCTGTAACTATGCCTCTGTCTCACAAATAAATAAATCTTTAAATAATACAAAAACAGCCAACGGTTAGGGTTAGGTTCAGCGGCCCCTGCAGGTAATGAGCTGCCCGTGCCAGGGGAGAATGCAAGTACAGGCTGCACAGGTGTGGGTGGACTTCCAGCAAGGAGAGGCCAGTGCTGACGGGGCGGCGCAGGGGCGGGTGGACTTGTCTTGGGACCCCACTGTGAGGAGGGGCCTCACCCCACCCACTTCAGCCCTCGGCACCAGCGCCCACAGACCTGGCCTGGAGCCCACGCACGCAAGCCTGCGTCCGGAGCAGGAGGCGGAGCCGCTGGCGGGACACGCAGGCACGGAGTCTGCGGCGCAGGGCGTGCAGGGCCTGGGAGCGCCGCTGGGTCCTGAGACGCTGCAGCAGCTGCCAGCCCTCCTCCTGCAGCAGAACCTGCGGGGGGTGGGGGGTCAGGCGTGGGGGCCGCGCTCCGCTCAGGCCTCAGCACCTCCCGCCAGGCGAGCGGCCTCTTCAGGGGAGCCCGGGCGCCTGCCGCCCACCTCCCCAGCCCCAGGGAGGACCGGTGAGTCTGGGTTTGTCCCTGCTTGTCCCTCTCCCTCCCCTGCACACACACACACACACACACACACCTGGGTGGTTCCGAGGTGACAGAGCGGGGACTCGGCCCCCAGCACCTGGCTCAGGATGGTGCCACACCTCTCCCGGTCAGGGGCTTCCTCCTGCCCCCAGGTCCCCAGGGCCCGGAACCTGCCACACGGACAGCCAGCGACAGGTTAGACTTTTATTCATTCTTGCTGGCTGGCTCCCACTTGCTCTCCTCAGTCGATGGGCATTTCCAAGTCTGGCAGGGTGCTTTGACCTGGCAGTGTGCTCTCAGGTGTGGGGGGGGACACAGAGAGGGCACAGGGCTCCTCCCCCGCCCCCAGCCCCAGGCCGGCACCCCCAGCACGGTGGCTGGCCTGTGTGCGGGGAGGAAGCTGGAGACTACAGAGCAGCAGAGAGCGGATCATTTGCAAACAGCCCTGGTGAGCGCGCGGGGGGGGGGGGGGCAGCACCTGCGGCTCCCCCCACCCAGCACACACACACCCTCCCCCCAGCCTCAGGGCTCAGGGCTTCCGGGAGAAGGCGGCCCCTAAGTCAGTGAGTTTCTGGAGGGTGAGGACAGAGCCCCCCCCCCCCCCCCCGCGCTTCTCGGCATCAGGTTCACCGACACCTGCCGCCTGCCTCCGGCTCCGCCCTCTGCCAGGCTGTGCTCCTGGCCAAGACCATCACAGGCAAAGGGGGCTCCAGCACCTTGCGCCGCTGGTGGCTGCCAGCCCAGAGTGGCTAAGACCTGAGAAGAGGTGGCTCCCCCTGCCTGCAGGGCGGGCGTGGCCCCACGTCCTGTCCAGCCCTAGGCGGGCGTGTGTGCAAGGGGGCAGAGTGGGAAAGGTTGGAGGGGGATGTTGGGCCTGGGGGCTCCTCCCTCACTCCAGGACCCTTCCCCGTCAGGCCTGGGCCCTACCTGGCCAGGAAGACCTGGAAGGGCACCCGCACGGGGAAGTGGGCGCTGCGGGTGCCCACGGCCTCCAGGATGGCCGCCTGGCGCAGCTGCTCTGCCACATGGCACACATCAAAGAGGCCCGGGATCTGTGGCAGAAGACAGAGCTGCAGGAAGGGGCCGGGGAGGGGGGCCTGGGGCAGGAGGGCACGGGCCAGATGCGCGGGGCTCACCTTTCCGGGGTTGGGGTCGAGGCACTGGACGACATAGATGTGGCTCCTGTGAGCGGAAGTGGGGGTCACTAGGCACAGGCCACCCCTGCCCCGTCCCATCCCAGACGCCTGGAAGTGGGGGTGGGCTGTTCTCACCTGCCCAGCTCAGCCAGCAGGGTCCCCAGGGACTGGCGGAAGCGCGAGGCCAGCGTGGGTTTGCCTGCTCCGCCCTCCGCCTGGGGCTCCGCTTCCTGGAAGAGGCTGCCCACCAGCTGTGGCCGAGAGGGGACTCAGCCCATCCCCGCCCCACTGCCCTGAGGAGCCAGGGGGCCAGCCCACCGCCCGAGGTGCCAGGGGCCTGGGGGGCAGCCGCTGGGCTGCGGGGTACACGGGAGGAGAGAAGGGGCACCAAGTGTGCGGGTGGGGCCCAGGGGCTGCCCCGGCACCTGCAGCTGGCTGCGGGCGAGGACGTCCCTCACGGCCGGGTCCAGGTGGTCCCGGTTTCTGTGTAGAAATTTGTGAACCTGTGGGAGCGGACGGGGAGGGCGGGGAGCCACACGAAGGCTGGCGCGGGGCCCGGCGCGGTGTCCCATAACCTGGCCTCCCCGGTGGGTGATTTAGATGTCTGCCCCGCGGCGTATGCGGTCCCGGTTCTGCTGCTGCCTTGGCTGCGCTGCGTCCATCCCCGGCCGATGCCGCACTCTCTTCTTGCCCGGCTTTACGACCTCATTTGCTTCGCTTTCTCCATCTTTTTGCTGATTTCTCTCCAACTCCTCAGGTCTCTTTTCTGGGCAACTCCTGGGTAGTTTGCCACCTCCTCCAGGGAGCCCTGCTTGACTCTCCCCACCTCAGATGCCCACCCCCCACCTTCCCTTCATCCCAGGTCCCCCAGGAATGCTCCTGCTTCGCGCCAGTGAGTCAGCAGAGGCCCGGAGGCCGGGGCACCTGCCGGGTTCTCAGGGGCAGCTGGCGCGCTGTGCTCTGGCCTCTTGGTCTGGACGCTGTCCCATGATTCTCAGCCAGAACCAGCGCTTCAAGCTCACACCTGGGTGGGCTGGCGGGGCCTCTCCTCCCCTGCCTTCTCCCTCGCTTGGTGACTCGGCTCAGGAGGGGACACCGGGGTCACGCAGCCTCCCGGGCCCACCCCGGCGTCCACCTGAGGCCAGTTACCTGGTAGGTGACACTCCCGGCGTGATGGCGCACGGTGAAGACGGGCAGAGGCAGCTGGGGCTTGGCATAGCCGGGGTGACTGCTGTGGTGGTAGTGGCACTTCTGGAGGAAGGTGTGGTCCGTGGCCTGCGGGAGGGGGAGAGGGGCCCCCAAGCCCTCGCACAGGCCACTCCTGGCCCGCACTGCGCCCCCGCCCCTGACTCCAGCACCAGGAATCCTGGGGTGTGTGGAGTTGCTCCTCCAAACCTCATCCTCAGATGGGCACAGTCACATAAGTCTGAGTCTCCTTAAGGATGTGCTCCCTGGGGGCCGGCACTGTGGCACAGTGGGTTAAGCCACTTGCAGCATCGGCATCCCATATGGACGCCGGTTCGAGTCCCGGCTGCTCCACTTCTGATCCCACTCTCTGCTGTGGCCTGGGAGCAGCAGAAGATGCCCACGTGCTTGGGCGCCTGCACCCGCGTGGGAGACCTGGAAGAAGCTCCTGGCTCCCGGCTTCTCCTGTGCCAGCCCTGGCTGTAGCAGGCCTCTGGGGAGTGAATGAGCAGGCTCTCTGACTCTCTGCCTTTCAAATAAATAAAAATAGCCAACTAACAAACACCACAGGCCTAAAGTGATGTCACTGAGCCCTAGACAACCTGCTGGGCGATTCCAGAAGTGGCCCTGGGACTTGGAAGACGCCCGTGACACGTTTTACCGACACTTGACGTGGCGAGCCGGGAAGAGCAGTCCTCCACGAGCTGACCCGCTCTGTTGGGAGCCAGGGACTGCAAGTGTCTCAGTGAGAATAAACGAGTGTTATCCACCTGCTGCTTCACTGCCCAGACGCCCGGGCCAGGGCAGAGCCAGGAGCCGGGAACTCCATCCAGTTAACACTGTGTGTGTGTGTGTGTGTGTGTGTGTGTGTGTGTGTGTCTTAACAGGCAGAGTGGACAGTGAGAGAGAGAGACAGAGAGAAAGGTCTTCCCTTTGCCGTTGGTTCACCCTCCAATGGCTGCCATGGCTGGCGCGCTGCGGCCGGCGCACCGCGCTGATCCGATGGCAGGAGCCAGGTGCTTTTCCTGGTCTCCCATGGGGTGCAGGGCCCAAGCACTTGGGCCATCCTCCACTGCCTTCCCGGGCCACAGCAGAGAGCTGGCCTGGAAGAGGGGCAACCAGGACAGAATCCGGCACCCTGACCGGGACTAGAACCCAGTGTGCTGGCGCCGCAAGGCGGACGATTAGCCTAGTGAGCCGTGGCGCCGGCCACTTACTGTGGGTTTTAAGGGGGTGAGGGACCAGGTCTATTTTCGCTCACTTTTATCCTTAGCACAGTCCTGGCACACAGGCTCATTCGTTCACTCATTCATTCATTCTTCAGTGAACCCGTCCATGGAGCCAGTCTGCTCGGAGCTCCATCGGTAAAGAAAGGGTAGAGGACGGCTGGCACGGCCACTGCACACACACACCTGGCTGAACCTGGAAGCCGGGGCAAGGCTGGGGAGCTACTCAGGAAGAGGCCGCTAGAGGGCGCCGCTGAGGCGGAGCCGGGCGCTATTTAGGAAGACACCACAAGAGGGCAGTCAAAAAGAATGTGTAGATTCGATGCACCACGGCCCGAGTGTGCCCCCTACCGGTAGAGACCTGTGTGGCAGCCACTTGTGCGTGGGTCTGAGCCTTGGCCAGTCCCCCCCACCCTACGCATCTGGCTCCTGTCTCCTTCTGGGGCAGGAACGCCAGGAAGTTAAGAGCCGGGAATCGGGCTCAAGTTCACCCAGAGACAAGATCTGAGCCCGGCTGCTGTCTTCCAAGGTTGTCCTGAAGGACGGTGGGCGGGTCTTTGTACCCCATGACCTTGCTGTCCTCCGGCAGGCCTTGCAGGCTACCCAGGACCTCCACGCCCTGTCCCAGACACCAGGGGGAGGCTGGGCCACAGCCGCTGGCCCTCACCTGGGACAGCCATGTCTGGGCGTCCAGGACAGTCAGGAGGCTGTGGGGCTGGCCCACCAGGAGGTCCACGCAGGACTCCCTTGGTGGCTGAGCGACGGGCACCCATGGCAGCAGCTCCCGCTGACACTCCTCCTGCAGAGAGTGGGCATTGGGGCCCATCTGTGGGGGTCCTCATGGAGCTGGGGGGAGAGGGCCTCAGGGCAGAGCCCTGGGTTCCTTCCTCTCCCCTTTAGTGAGGATGGCCTTGGGGACTGCCGGCGGGCAGTGCTGGGGGTCCCCTGCCCTGTGCACGCCCAGCCCCCCCCCCACCTCCTCCTGGGCCAGCAGCTTCCGGCTGGAGAAGAGCTGCAGGCGCTCGCTGGCCAGGTTGTTGCACAGCTGCTCCAGGCCGTTCACCCGCAGGGCCTGGGGACACGCGAGCAGTGAGGCGGGGCACACGGGCCGGGGGCACACGGGCCGGGGGCTGCACACAGGGCTGATCCTGCCGTCAGCTGTGCACCAGGGCTCCCTGCCCCGCCCCTGTCTCTGCTTCAGCACGGCTGTGCGGCTCCAGGCCTTGGTCACCGCCATCCCAGGTCCTGGAAGTCCCTTCTCCTCCTACCTACCCCACTGGCTATCAGAATCCCACAACTTCCTAAGCAGAGCGCCAGGATGCCACCTCCAAGAAGCCTTCCGGCATTGCTCCAGTGGGATCACTCGTGCTCTGGGCACCCTCAGCACTTCACACCCCAGTGAGTGGACGGCGGGAGCCGAGGCAGGCAGCGCAGACACAGGGTGTCCAGGGACCCAGGCGGGGCCGCCTCTTCTCCCTGTAGCCCCCTCCCCTACACCCTGAGGGCCAGGATCTTCCGGAATGGCCCACGCTGGCGGCCCCGTGAGTCTCTGTGCAGCCGGGGACCAGGGAAGGAAGTGGAGGCTGTGCGTGGAAATGAACTTGGGTGAGAGGCGGGAGGACCCTCCCCGCAAAGACGCGCAGCTGGAGACGGCGGCAACAAACCCCAAGTCCTCCCGCAGCCCAGCTCCTCGCCCGACTCCGAAGCCCTGGAGCTGGGTCCCCCCCCCCCCCCCCCCGCTTTCCTCCCGGCCTCTGCCACCTGCCCCGGCCCCTCCACACCCAGCTCCAGGCCAGGCGGCAGAGGGCTCGTGAGCGCCCCCTGCAGGGAGAGCGGGAACTGCTGGTGTTCCCAGAAACACAGCAGGAGGAGGCAGGCACCCACTACCCAGGCTGCACTCCAGGGGGTGACCTCAAAGCCATAGGCGTCCACGACAGTGATGGTGCGCAGGCGGCCTCTGTCCCCGGGGGCTGCCAGCCACGCATTCGCCCTCCGCAGCAGCCAGCGGAAGAGCCGCGAGTACAGGTCCTTGGCCAGGGCGTCCCTGCGGGCACGGTCAGTGAGCCACGCGGCGCACAGCACCAGGCCGGGCTCCACATCCCTCCTGCCCCAGGGCACCTGGCCTCCATGGCGCTTTCCACGGGCAGGGATCTTGAGACCTGGCCGTAGGCTGTTTCCTGGAGGCCAGAGAAGGTGCCGGTGTGTGCCCGGCCTGCAGGTGGTCCAAGCCCTGCCCCTGCTCCCCCTCCTGCCCCCAGCCAGGACCTGCAGCTTACCACGACCCTCCTGGTGACAGCCCCCTCCAGGTGCTCTGGCGGCACCTGCAGCAGCCGGGCTGCCGTGTGGATCTCGGCCCAGCTGGCCACAGCGGCCACCTCCTGGGACTCCCTCTGGACACGGCGGGATGGGACAGAGAGGGCTCGGCTGCTGGAGTGGACACGCTCCCCGGGGCAGGGGCAGGGCCTGGCTCTGTCTACCAGCTGCTGCCCTGTCACCCAGCGTATGACAGCACGTGGGGCGACCTGGGCTGGGAAGCACTGGGCTCTGGTCTGAGCGGCGGGTCGGCACCACCAGTGGCCTTGGCAGGTTCCCGTCCCCCAGAGCCTCCACGCTTTGTGGCAGCGCTGTCGCAAGAGCTGAGAGCGTGGATCTACAGGCTCACACGGCGCCGGGCACCCCCCAGCCGCCCACCTAGTGCCACGCACCCTTCTTAGGGGTGGCAGCCGCGAGGCACAGACACCCGGACAAACATCTGCTGGTTTCCCCTGGGGGCGGCCTAGGGCTCTGGGGGCTCCCATGCTCTGGGGTGTGGCTTCCTGGTCACTTGCCCTGATGGAGCAAGGAACCCCCGGCCCCCGCACCTGCACCTCCGGCCCTGCCCACGGCGCGAGCCCACCTCGGAGGAGCAGAAACAGATGTTGCCCAGGTGCAGGGTGGCGGCCAGCACGGCCCAGACGGCGGCCAGCTCCTCGGGGCTCAGGCCCAAAAGCTGCAGGGCCCTGGCCAGCGCTGTGAAGTCTTGGGCGTCCTCCTTGCCCCGAAGCCTGCACGCCCGGCCCTGCAGAGGGCAGTGGGGCCGGGATCACGGGGCCAGCGCCCTCGGCTCTGCTCCCTCCCCAGACCCTGGGCAGGTCCTCTCACCTGGTTGAGGAAGTAGTAGGTTTCCGGTGCCTGCAGGGAAAGCCGCTCCCGGGCCGTGTGGTCCAGCCCTGACAGCAGCTCATAGAACACATGGAAGCTCCGCTCGGCCTGGGCCTTGGGGAGAAGGACTGGCTTAGGGGGCGCAGGGGCCTGGAGGTTTAGGGCCCCCAGCAGCAGCCCCCCTCTCTCTGCCCTCTCCTTTCTGGGCGCTGGAGGGGGCGGAGAGCAGGCCCTTACCTGAAACGCCACCCGGGAGGTCTCGAGCAGATAGTGTGACACAGACGCGCCCACGACGACCCCGCTGTGGGCACAGGAGACAGAGTGGGGGTGCCGGAAACCCAGGACCCTGACCCAGAACGGGGCAGCCGCCCAGCTTCCCAGTGGCCACCTGGACCCCTTCACTCACTCCCGCAGGCAGAGCCGCAGGACTTGGCCGAAGCGGCTGGCATTGGCGTTGAGGACGGTCTTGGCGTGGCCGAAGCTGCTGAGCACGGGCAGCACCTGGCTTAGCTGCAAGGCGGGGGCGTCCACGCATTCCTGGGACAGCGGTCCCACCCACCCGTCGGGTGTCCCGGGGGCTTCTCCGTGCCCGACCTAGGGGCCCCACCCTCCCGCCCCTGCAGTTGGCCATCCTGAGGCCACAAGACCACCCTCCGCCTTGCCCAGGAAGAGGTTTCCCGGACCCCTCCTGGGTCCCTGGGAACGGCTCCGCCCACAGCCCTCACCTGGGACGCCCCGTCCCTCGTCTGCTCCTGCCCCAGGCCGCTTAGGAACTGCACCATCTTCTTGGCGGCTTCCGTCTTTCCGGAGCCGCTGTGCCCCCTGCAGGGGGGAGGCGCTCCGGGTGGGGTGGGGGCCAGCGAGGGCTCCAGGAAGGGCCCGTGGGACTGCCCTACTGAGCCTGGGAAAGTGACAACCCCAGAAACCCGGGATGATGGAGCCAGGGCACAGAGGGCAAACAGAACGTCCCTGAGTGCCGCCTCCCACCACTGCGGCCAGAGCGGCTGCCCAGCAGTGGCCCAGACTCCTCATTTCCCACGCAGCCCTCACGCCCCAACCCCTGGGGGAGGCCCTGTGGGTTCAGCCGGGCAGGGCAGCCACACTCACACCAGGAGGATGCAGGGGTCCTGGCCAGGGTTCTGAGACAGGCGGTAGGCTGCTGCCGCCACGGCAAAGACGTGTCTGGGGGAGGGGCATGAGCGGATGGATGGTCGGGCTCCAGGGCCCCCTGGGAGCAGGCGGATGTGCCCCCAGGGCCCAGGACCTCAGCCAACGGGACACTTGGGCCCCCGGTCGCCTGGGAGGGGCGCCCAGGGGCAGTCACCTACGGGGCAGTGTTGGGTGTCTTCCTGGGGTGGTAGCTGGCCAGGACCTCAGGTGAGAAGAGAGGCAGGGGCCGGCGGGGGTTCAGAGCCAGCAGCAGGGGCCCCCCAAAGGTCTGCGGAAGAAAGCAGAGGCTCCATACAGACGTGCAGGGGCAAAGTGGGGCCCAGCCCCCCAGAAAGGGCTCACCGCCCAGTGTGTTGGGAGGGGAGCCCTTCTGTCCCCAGGGAGGGAAAACCCAGGCCCCCCCGCCCCCCCAGACCCCCGTACGTAGATGCGGCCCAGGTGGAACCTCTTCTTGAGGCACAGAAGCACGGAGCTGTCGCACACCAGCCTGTGGGGACACGGGGGGGGGCGGGGCGTGAGGCCGCGCTAGTGGGCCCACGCCCCTAGGGGGGGCCAGGGGGAGGGGCGTGGGCGCCGCCGGACCCCGCCCTCCCGTGCGGCGAAACACCCCGTTTGCTGGCTGGGAGGGACTTGTAACGCGGGGTGGGCGGGACGCGAGGCCGGCGCCGCGCTCACCGGAGCCGGGCCAGGTCCTCGGTGTCCTCCAGGCCCTCTGGGCCCTGCCCGAGACTCAGCTCCAGGCTCCTCTCCAGCGCCGCCTCGGCCTCGTCCTCCGGCTCCCACCGCCCCCTGGGCGGCCCGCGGGACCCCGCGCTCCTCTCCCCGCGCAGGCGCGTCTCCAAAGTGAGCCGGGGCAGCAGCGGGTCCGGGCCGAGACCCGGGTCCTGGCGGGGCCCCGCGCCCCGCGCCCAGTGCACCGCAGTCCTCGCTGCTGGCGCCGCCCGCGTCGACGGGGGACCCGCTGCGGGGAGTCGAGGCGAGGAGAGAGTCGCGGCGGGGGCCAGTCGCCCCCTCCCCACTGTCCCCCGCAGCCCCTGCGGACGGCCAGTCCTGCCCGCGGTCGGCGTCCCCGGGCGCTTCTGGGCAGCTCCGGCTGCTCGTCGCCTCCCCCGCCCCGTGGATTCTGGGGAACACCACAGCGAACTTGGGGTCCGGAGTCGGGTCCTCGCCGTGGGCCTCCTGTGGGGAGCTCGAGCCGCCGCCGGGGGGCGTCCGGGGCGCCGCCCCCAGCCGCGTGAGACCCTCCAGGCAGCAGAGCCAAACGGCGCCTCAGACCCGGCCCGCGGCTCCGCCCCTCGCCCGGCGGCCGCTGCGACCCCGGACCCTCGCCCGCGGCCCGCGGGAGTCGTCGCCGCAGCCACCGCACGAGTCCCAGAGCGCGCACCACGCGCAGCACCCGCTCCTTGAGGCTGGCGCGGCGCGGACCCGCGGCCTGGGGAGCGGGGCTGGGCGGGGACCTCGCGCGGAGCCTGCGGAGCACCGCGACGGCGGCCAGCGGCGCTGCGACCCCCGGCCGGTCCCCCCGCGCAGCGACCGCCTGGGGCTCGCCCTCCGCCGCCACCTCCTTGCCCTCCCGGCGGTGCTGCGCCCCGGCCGTCGGCTCCTCGGCTCCTGCCGGCTCGGGGTCCTGTGGCCCCGTCTCGGGCTGCGCCCCGTCGTCGCTGGGGTCTTGCGCCGGCCCAGGGGCCCCAGGGGCCCGCGAGCCGCTGGGGACGCACCCGCCGTTGCCCTCCGGGGAGCTGGCGGCCTCCTGGGCCTCAGAGGCCGGGCTCGGCGTTCCCGGGGCGGCCCCGTCCTGGTTGGAGTCGGTGCCTGTCCCGGAATCCCCGCTCGCTCCCTGGGGTCGCGCCCGCGGCCGTCCCTTCCCGCCGCTCCGCTCGTCGCTGCCCGGGCGCTGCCCCGGCTGCGGCCCTAACCCCCGCCCGAGTTGGGCCCCCTCGGAGTCCGTCGGCTCCGACCCAGGCCGCCTCTCCGAGGCCCTGCCTCCCTGGCTGCCGCTGTCCGGGCAGGAGCTGCCCGCGTCCCCGCCCGACGTGTGCCCATCCAGGCTCCGGGTCTCTGGGCGGCCCCGACGGGCAGAAGGTCCCCGCCCGGTGCCTTTCCTCCTGCGGCGGGTGCGCTTGCCTCTCCGCGGCGCTCCTCGGAGGCCATCTTCCTCCTCTTCCTCCACCTCCACCGCCTGGCGCCCCCCACGGCTCTCCCCTGGCCCGCGACCCCGACGCCCGCTGCCTCGCCTGTCCTGCGCTTCTGGGGGCGGCCCACCCGCTGGCCGCCCGCAGCTGCTGTCCCCCTCCTCGGGGGGCGTCCTGTGGCCCCCGGCGGGGTCGGGCTCCTTGGGGGCTCTCGCCTTGCGGGTCTTGCTGCGGCCGGGGCCGCGTCCCCTGCTGGGAGCGCCGTCTGCGCTGGCCGACCCCGACTCCTGCTCCTCCGAGGCTGGCCGCCCGGGTCTCGCAGGGCGCTGGCAGGCCTTGCCCTTGTTCCCGTCCATGGGTGGCTCCAAGGGGACGGCTTCGCGACACCCGGGTCCTCTGTCCCTCTGTCCGGCTGCTGCTGCCCCAGCTCTGCTCTGGCAGGTGCAGGCTCAGTCCACCCTCCCTGGGCTACCGCCTTAGGTCTCAGCTTCAATAATGCAGGAGGCCACGGGTCCTGACCCCCTTGGGCAACAATGGAGCTGGGCCGTCTCGGAAAGAGGAGACGCTGCAGCCGCGCAGACAAAGGCCGTGGACAGGGCAACCGCTGCCCAAGCCGCTGCCAACCGCGCCGCCCTGGCCCTGTGCCAGCCGGGGGCCTGGGCTTGGCCGTGTTCCTGCTGGTCTGTGCAGGATGGCGTGTGCAGCTGTCCGGCCTCCTAGTCCCGGGGCTCCAGGACTCTGGGGCCAGCTCGGTGTGGGGACGTGGCAGGCATCCTGGGTTTTGTTAGCTTTCCCTCCCCTTTAAAAGGCAGAGAGCCAGAGAGAGCTCTTCCACCTGCTGGTTCCCTCGCTATGCCCTCAACAGGAACTCAAGTGCCTTAGCCATCGCCTGCCGGCTCCCAGGATGCGCGTGAGCAGGAAGCTGGATTCTGGCCAGAGCTGGGACTGGAACTCAGGCCCTCAGACAGGGGATGTGGGCGGCCGAGCAGCGTGTTAGCTGTGCCGCTCCCCCGCTCCCTAGTTTCTGTTCTTGTCAATTGTGACGTATCATTTACCAAAAGGTGCATAAGAAAGAAACGTGCACCCTGAACCCGTGTAAAACAAACACTGTACGCCCCTTGGTGGCAAGGGTGCATAACCAGACCCTAAGTCCCCAGATGCGCCATGCCTGTCTTCCGTGCTGTTTTGAAAAGGCAATCAGTTCGGGCCGGTGCCGTGGCTCACTAGGCTAATCCTCCACCTTGCGGCGCCGGCACAGTGGGTTCTAGTGCCGGTCGGGGCGCCGGATTCTGTCCCAGTTGCCCCTCTTCCAGGCCAGCTCTCTGCTGTGGCCAGGGGTGCGGTGGAGGATGGCCCAAGTGCTTGGGCCCTGCACCCCATGGGAGACCAGAAGCACCTGGCTCCTGCCATCGGATCAGTGCGGTGTGCTGGCCGCGGTGGCCATTGGAGGGTGAACCAACGGCAAAAAGGAAGACCTTTCTCTCTCTGTGTCTCTCTCTCTCACTGTCCACTCTGCCTGTCAAAAAAAAAAAAAAAAAAAAAAAAAGGTAATCAGTTCACGTAGTCTAAAATCACAGGATCAAAGTCTCCGTTCCCGACTCGGCTGCTCCATTTCCCTGCAGTAGCTCACTTCTGTGTGTTCGTCCAGGGCTATGCAGAGAGAAGTGCGCATTAGTTCCCTTGTAGTTCACATGCAGGCCTATGTGGCTCACAGGGCTGGGAGGGCGGAGATCAATCTTCCGTTGTTGGTTCACGCCCCAAATGGCCTCAGTGGCCTGGAACTTGGAACACATTGGGTGCAGGGGCACAAGCCCTTGGGCTACATTCTGCTGCCTTCCCAGGAGCTATACAGGGAGCTGGGTGGGGGGGACTCCCAGCACAGCTAAGGGAGGCAGCTCACCGGGCTGCCCCACAACGAAGGCAGGTAATATCCCTTCCTTCCTTTTGCTAACCAGTTGCACATTTTTACACCCTCTCTCATCTTCTGCTTAAATTCCCAAGAACACTGGGACGTAATTTTACCTCTGCATGCACACGGGATCAGTCCTAGGAGCAGAACTGCTGGGTCTGTGGCTCTGTGCTGCGAAGGCCCCGTGTTCCCACACAGCAGTGTGCGAGGAGTCGCCCAGCGTTTCCCGCGCTCAGCCCTGGGGCGGGCGTTGCGGAGCAGCCGGGGACACCTGCAGCCCACGTGCAGTGCTGGCTGGAGACCCGGCTGCTCCACCGCGGCTCCAGCTCCCTGCTGATGTGCCCAGGACGCAGCGGTGCCTTTCAAATAATTTCTTTTCAAGAAGAATCACGCTGTTCTTCAAGTTCATTTCTCTGTGAAAATAAACCTCTCTCCCCTGTTTGAGAATCACTGTGCTTCCCCGAGATCTGTTTTTGTTTTTGTTTGTTTGTTTTTTGACAGGCAGAGTAGACAATGAGAGAGACAGAGACAGAGACAAAGGTCTTCCTTTTCCATTGGTTCACCCCACAATGGCCGCTGCAGCCGGCGCACCACGCTGACCCGAAGCCAGGAGCAAGGTGCTTCTCCTGGTCTCCCATGCGGTCGCAGGGCCCAGGGACTTGGGCCACCCTCCACTGCCTGGCCCTCGCAGGGCCCAGGGACTTGGGCCTCCTCCACTGCCCGGCCCTCATGGGACACCAGCGTTGCAGGCAGTGGCTTTACCAGCCAGGTCTGTTTCTTGCTGTCACTACTCCGACAGGATTGCTAAGGCTCCTGGCAGGGCCTGGGGCAAGGCAGCTGCTGCAGGGCCAGGCTCTGGGCCCCCAGAATGGAGCCAGGGCTGACCTGCCCCACCATGGACTCCTGTACCCGGCCAGCCACCTTGCTCTGGCCTCTCCTCCCCAGGAGCACCCGCGGCTCCAGAGCAAGGGAGGAAACATTCCAGACGGTAGCGCCTTCCCGGGAATGCTCTCCGCTAGGCCCCGCCTGCCTGACCCCCCTCCCCCGCCTCCCTGTGCGTCTGCCGGAACCAGCCCCAGCAGGCACTGCTGTGTGTGTTGGGGGGAGGTGCTCCTCGTGGCCCAGGGGCCTGGGTCGAGCCTCTGCAGTCTGCCTTCTCAAGGAGCCAGGCTTCGAGGAGGGCGCAGTGGTTCCAAAAGACCACGAGCGCGTGTGTGGTCACCCCAGCCTGCAGTCCCGTGTTGCCCGGGCTCGCCCACCCCACCCGGGTGGTATTCAGAGGTCCCCGGGGAACCAGAACCCCTCGTGAGGTCCTCACACAGTGGATTATCAACTACACAGCGCTGAGAATCACCCACAGCTCCGAGCAGCCACGTGGGCCATCCGGTCAGTGTCATGGAGAATGAAGGCAGCCAGGCGCGGAGGAGTGACCCCTAGGGTCTATTGATAGAAAGGGCGGAGCCAGCAGGGACCTGCAGTGCCGAGAAGGGGTGAGAGCGCCCCCTGCCGGCCCCGACCTGTGCGCCATCGCCATGTGTGGTCTCAGGATCTGAAGTTTCTGTGTCCACAGTTCCTGGTTTAAAATATCTCCAGCCCTCCCGCGGCAAGGCCGCCGTGGAATCTGAGCGCAGACACAAGACCCTCCCCACTGCAGACGGGCCCTGGTCTAATCCCAGGAAGGACCTCGCTGGCTCCCACGCGGTTCTGTGGCCTCACACCCGTCTCCCCAGCACACCAGAAAACACAGGGTTCATGGAGCTTCCTGGTAGAGGCAGAAGGGGGCTTGTCCCTGTCCGCTACAGCGTCCTACGCGTCCCGCGTGAGAGTCCGAATAAGCCAAGTGCTTCCCTGCACCCCACGAGCCGCTCCACCAACGTAATGCTCCCCAGGAACAGGGGGAGCCACGTGGGCCCGCAGCCGGCAACTACTCTGTGGGGGACTGAGCCCCCCACCAGTGAGATGTGACGCTGCCCCAGTGTCAGAGCTGGACTGAATTAGGGGCCGCCCAGCCCGCGTCCGCTGCTGCAGATCTGCTGCGCGCTCACCGTGGGAGAAACCCTCGCCTTCTTGGGGGTGCCGAAGTCTTCCGTGTGGATTGCCGTGTTGTGAGAGGAGAAATGGTGTGTTCCCCACACGCAGCCTGGGCTTTGCTAAAGAATGGAACAAGCTCCCCGGCTTGCCGGGACAAACCACACCGACAGCGCAGGGCGCGTGCCCAAGCGCTTGGCTGAGCGCACTGAATTCTTTTTTTTTTTTTTTTTTCTTTTTTTTTGACAGGCAGAGTGGACAGTGAGAGAGAGAGACAGAGAGAAAGGTCTTCCTTTTGCCATTGGTTCACCCTCCAATGGCCACCGCGTCCGGCACGCTGCCGCCAGCGCACCGCGCTGATCCAATGACAGGAGCCAGGTGCTTCTCCTGGTCTCCCATGGGGTGCAGGGCCCAAGCACTTGGGCCATCCTCCACTGCACTCCCGGGCCACAGCAGAGAGCTGGACTGGAAGAGGGGCAACCGGGACAGAATCCGGCGCCCCGACCGGGACTAGAACCCAGTGTGCCGGCGCCGCTAGGCGGAGAATTAGCCTAGTGAGCCGCGGCACCGGCTGAGCGCACTGAATTCTTGGAAGCACTAGGAAGTAGGCGTTTGTAGGTGACAGGAGGCACCCAGTCAGCACCAGAGCTGGGATCCACCTCGGGCGTCTGGCTGCAGAGGCTCAGCTGGAGAACGGGCGAGGGGAGCGACCGGAGCCCCGCGCCGAGGTGGCCCCGTTACCTCGTGGTGGCTTGCGAGCCCTCGTGGCAGTGGCTCAGTGCCCCTCTCCTGCCTCCCGCCTGCTTGGGTGCCCTCCCTGCTTCCTGTTTACCCAGGCTGGGCCGGAAGCTCGCTCATGTCAAGCTTCTCAACCCTCTGGGCCTCAGTCCCCCCCACCCCAAGTGTCCCCTGACCCCAGGAAGGGGGCGTGACCCTGTTTTGCAGAGGAGGGGCTGGCTCAGGGCGATCAAGCTGGTTAAGGACGCACAGCCACTACAAGAGGACTTAGGGACCCTGGATCCCGTTGCTCTGCAGAACACTGGGGGGGGGGGGGGCTTTCCTGCTGGGAATCAGCTGGGACCCGGCCAGCTGACCGCCTCCCTCCTGTCCTGTGATCCTGAACAGCCCGCCTGGCTCATCCCGACACTAGGGGAGAGGCTGCACCCTAAGCCCAGCTTCCCCTCTGCCTCATCTCTGGAGCCCCTCCCTTCCTTTGCCTGGCTCACAGGTGTCATCAACCCTCCCTTGGGGCTGGGAGCCCTCTGCTGATGCCCCCGCCCCCACACCGCTCCCTCCCTCTGGTCTCGGGTGTGACTCAGGCTCTCCTTTGAGGGAGGGAGATCCTGTTATCATCCCTTTTTCACAGATACGCTCAACTAAGGCACAGGAGCAAGGTCAGCTACCCAAGGCTGGACCAGCACGGCTTCGAAGCCAAGTGAACATTTCTGTCTCCCACCTTTTGGACGCCCGAGACCCTCAGATCGGAATCTTCAGGTCACAAACCCGGATGCCCACTGTGTGGGGCCCCGGCGCCCATCCCTCTCACCACCCTTCTCCCACCTGCAGAGGCCCTGTTCCACCTGCCATCACCACCACCACCACCACCCCCCAGAGCCGGCCCCGCCTCCTGCACTTCATCTTCTAAAGAGGAAGCCGCCGCGCCCTGCCACAGGTGCACAGGCGCACAGGTTAGCTGACGCTTCCAGGCAACGAACTTGAGGCACAGCCCCTCCGTAACGAGTGGGGAGGGAAATCCGGTTTTAGAAAGGCTCCATGGGGCCGGTGTTGTGGCATAATGGGCAAAGCCACCGCCTGAGACACTGGGTGCCGGTTCAAGTCCTGGCTTTTCCACTTCCAACCCAGCTCCCTGCTGACGAGCCTGGGAAAGCAGCGGAAGATGGCCCAAGTGTTTGGCCCCTTGCCACCCACATGGGAGACCCAGATGAAGCTCTTGGCTCCTGGCTTTGGTTTGGCCCAGCCCTGAGGGTTGCAGGTATCTGGCGAGTGAACCAGCTTATCAAAGATCTTTGTCCCTCTTTCAAATGACTATAATACAACTCTTTAAAGAGACTTCGTGATCTTTCCAGGGGTGCGTGGCATTTTCAACTTCCTACGACACTCCCACACCAGGAACTCGTGGCACTGGCGTCACACCGGTTAGCTTTGGTCTCCTGGCAGGCTACTCCCCGCACTTGCCCCCTTGTGTGTCGGTTTACCCCTCAGGTGTGTGAAGTCCCCTACCACGCGGTGTCAGGGTGCAGTGGGTTAAGTGGCAGCCCGGGACACCTGCGTCCCACGTTGGTACCGCTCTGCTTCCCATCCAGCTTCCTGGTAACGTACCCAGGCCCACGCACTTGGGTCCCTGCCACCCGTGTGAGACCCAGAGGAGGTTCTGGGCTCCGGACTTCCATCTGGCTCACTCAGGCTGTTGAGAGCATTTGGAGAATGAATTGTCATCCAACCCTTTTAAGTAAATTTTTTTTTAATGTTTCTTTGACAGGCAGAGTGGACAGTGAGAGAGAGAGACACAGAGAGAGAAAGGTCTTCCTTTGCCGTTGGTTCACCCTCCAATGGCCGCCGCGCTGCGGCCGGTGCACCGTGCTGATCTGAAGGCAGGAGCCAGGTGCTTCTCCTGGTCTCCCATGGGGTGCAGGGCCCAAGCACCTGGGCCATCCTCCACTGCACTCCCGGGCCACAGCAGAGAGCTGGCCTGGAAGAGGGGCAACCGGGACAGAATCCGGCGCCCCGACCGGGACTAGAACCTGGTGTGCCAGCGCCGCAAGGCGGAGGATTAGCCTAGTGAGCCGCAGCGCCGGCTTTTTTTAAGGTTTATTTATTTATTTGAAAGAGTAACAGAGAGCAGAGGCAGAGATTGGTCTTCCACCTGTTGGTTCACTCCCCGTTGGCTGCAAAGGCCGGAGCTGCGCCGATCTGAAGCCGGGAGACCACCCAAGCACTTGGGCCATCTTCTCCTGCTTTCCCAGGCCACAGCAGGGAGCGGGAGCGGAAGTGGAGCAGCCGGGACATGAATCTGCTTCCTCCGGGATCCATACGGGATGCCGGCGCTACAGGTGGAGGCCTTACCCGCTACGGCACAGCGCCGGCCCCTTAAAGAAATCCTGAACAGCGAATATCACACAAGGCTCCGTGTGCTGCCCGTCTCTGTGGGGTGTGATGCCCCCCGCAACCCCAGGGGGTTGAGGCGGCGCTGGACTGAGGACCCCACTGCAGTGTCAGATTCCTCTGGAGGTGAGACAGGCTGCACAGAGCGGACGCCGTCTCCCCTGCCCCCGCCGGCGTCTCATGAGGCCTGTCACTCAGCCATTCACCCCGTGGACTCATCCAGACCTCACCACGGCCCACGGAGGGGGGATCCCCGCGTTCGAGTGCGCAGCAGGCCAGCCGCCTGCTCCAGCCACACTGGGGACCTGGCCAGCGTCTGAACTAGAGTGACCTCCACGAGAAACCTGTCCTTCCGCAGCTGCTTCCTGGTCCCCGCCCCTCCCTGGGAGAAATGGGGACGCCTCACGTGGCTCAAGCTCCCAAATCCAGAGGCCCCTGAGCTGGAGCCGCGGCTGGAGGCAGTGACACCTGGTGCTCGACCCCTCCTGTCCTCAGGCAGGGTGGCCCCACGCCATCACCGGAGCCCCCAGTCCGGCACGTCCTGCCAGCCACTCGGTCCCGCACTAGCCAGAGGGCAGCCCAGGGTCTGGCATGCTGCTGTCCCCTCTGTCCAGAACAGTCGGCCCCGCCCTCACACCCTCTGCCCCGCCAACTCCCTGTTGGCTTCCCGGTGACAGCTTAACGTGAGCCCCGGGGCAAACACCGGCCACAGTGCTAAGGGGCGTCTCCTGGGCACCTTGGAGCCACCTCAGAACCCCAAGCACCTGGCACACAGTAGGTGCTCAAAGACGCAGCTCAAGTCGGATCAAGGCCTCTACCCAGCTCCTGAACCCCCTTTCCCGCGGCCCCTGCCTGGGGATGGCCTTCTACCACCTAAGCAACACACACAGCTCCCCCGCCCCACGTCTGGAAGCAGCCACCAGGCCCGAGTCACTGTGGCTGTCGTCCTCTCCGGGCAGACAAGGGCCGGCCAGGAGAACGAGGGAACCCCTCTGTCCCCAGCCAGACCTGAGCGGTCCCCGCTTGCTGTCATGAGAGCCAAGTTCAGACATGCCAAGCACGGTGTGCTCTGATCTGGATGCTTTAAGACCGGCTTCTCCTGGGGCCCCGGCCTGGACCAGGGGACAGAGCCCCGGAGGAAGGCGAGGTCACGGGCATCGCTCTGCATCTGTCGATCGGAGAGCTCGAGTCCTCGGATCGGGCCATGAAGAGGTAATTAGGTGTTTATTAAAAACTCTGTTTCACCCAGAAGTGGTAAAATTTATAACTTAAAACCCAGCCCACTACAAAAAGAGGGGAGGGGAATAAAAACTGTGCAACTCTGACAAAAGGATCAAGACGGACAGGCCTAGGGGAGTCAGGCCCAGGGCCTGGGGCTCTCCTCCCTTGGGCCAGGAGCAGCAGCAGGGTGGGGCCTGGGCCTCTGCCGCTGGGGCAGAGCTCCGACCAGGGGCCATCAGTAGTGTGTGCTCACGACCAGGGGCCCTCAGTAGTGTGTGCTCACGGCGCAGCCTGCACGCCCAGCGCGCTCACTCTGCAGGAGACAAGGCGGGGTAGGGGGCGGCGGCTCAGGGTCACACCTCAGCTGCCCACCCTGAGCCGGATGCAGGACTCAACGGTTCCCAGGGTATCCAGGGCACGGGTCGAGCAGGGATGGCCTCAAAGGCCTTTGGAGGCGCTGGGGAGTGGGCCCAGGGCTGCCCCCGCTGTCCCTCCCAGGGAGCATACCCGCCCAGCCGTGCCCGGAGCCCCTACCTCCCCCGTTACCAGGGCTGTGTCCCATGGCTGCTCGACGGGAACGCCAGCTGCCGCTGCTCCTGTGCCGGCAGACGGGGCGTCACCCTCCGCAGGGGCGCAGGGACCCGGGCCTGGCCTCTCCCGCCCCCCAGGCCGGCGACTCACCCCCGGTCACCCTCCAGCGTGCTCTGAATCTCCCTCAGGACTCCTGCAGGGTGGGGGACAGGCCGGCTAAGGCCACAGCGCCTGCCCCCTCTCGCTGAGGGGTGCTGCACGGGCCAGGCCCCCCCCGGAAACGGCCTCATTTCCACCCTGACCTTAAGCACCCCCTGCATCCAGGAACCCCCCTCCCCTGCCACTCCAGGAACCCCCCCCCGCCACCCCAGGACCCCTCCCCCGCCACCCCAACTCACTCTCATCGCTCAGCAGTGCCTGCTCCATCACCGGGCTGGATTTCTCTGGAAGGCAGGGGCCGGTCAGATGGGTCCACCCTGGGCCCTGCTCTGCCGGGCTCTCTCACTGAGCCGGGGGTGCTGGAAGCCCAGAGCCCCCAGCTGCAAGGACCGCTGTTTCCACCCCCAGCCCAGACGCCAGCTGCTCTCCGGGGACCCTGCCCTCCCTCCTCCACACCCCCCAGGTCCGGCTGAGTGGCCCCCATGGCCCCTCTTACCCTCTGCATCGCTCTGGCTCCCTGTGTTCCTGTGGGGGAGGGGCAACAATGAGGGCCAGGGGCTCCCCACCCCGGCCTGTACTGACCGGGGAGCCCCTCCCCTCTTACCTGGCTCTGCCCCCAGCCCGCTCGGGGCCTGCCCCGTTGCCGGGCCTGCTGTGGTTCTTGGTTTCTCCAGAGTCTACCACGCAGCGGGGCTCCACCAGCCACTTGGTGGACAGAGAGAAGCGCTCGAACTCCGAGGGGGAGATCAGGTAGAAACCTGGGTACAGGAGACGCCGGGCAGGTGAGGCCAGCCCAGGGCTCCCCTGCTGGGGGGCGCGTGGTTCGGAACCGGAGCCTTCCGCACAGCTCTGCCCCGAAGGCCCACCTGGCCCAGCAGTGGCCCTGACACCGCCCCCGGGGCCCCGGCCGCAGGTCCCGGACGCCCCACACACCCTGGCCGTGCTTGGTGAAGACGCAGGAGGCGATGCCGCTGACGTCTTCCCGCCGGATGCAGCTGTAGCGCACCTGCGGCTTGAGCAGCGGCAGGGACACCAGCTGGATGTCGCCCAGGTTGGTGAGCACCGCCAGGTGGTGCTCGGTGTGGTCCTCGGCTCGGCAGCTGCTGAAGTGGGCCACGCCGACGCGCCGCACGCGGGAGCCCTCCAGGGCCGTCAGCTTCAGCTTCAGCTTGGCGCTCACCTTGGGCAGCGTGAAGACCTGGGGGCAGTGGGCGGCCGGTCAGGTCCGCAGCTCCTGGCCGCGGGGGACGCCGCCCAGCGGCCCGGCAAACTCCCCTCGACGGGGAGCTCCCTCGGCTCCCGGGGGCACACGTGGTGCCAGGACCCCCGCCTCTGCATCTGGGGCCCACGTAGGACCCCCCTTCCTTTCCTGCGTTTCTGTAGCCCGTCAGACCCCAACTTCAAAGAAAACTGAGTCCCGGGGGGGGTTAAAGGCCAGGGAGAGGGGGTGCTGAGTCCCAGACACCATCTGTGCCCAGACTCCGTGCCCGCCACGTCCCGGAGGCTCCCGAGGGACTCTGCTGCCCCCCAAGCCTCCCCCTGGCACCTTGAACTGCTCCTCAGACACCACAAGCAGCTGGTGGCTCCCCTGCATGTCCGGGCTCTTCGACAGGTCATGGGCCACTTCCAAGGGCTCGGGAAGGGGAATGCTGTGTCCGTCAAGCACCAGGATGCCCACCACCGGCGCTCGGTGCATCAGCTGGATCTCCTTGGCTACCAGGAGGAGGCAGGCAACGGGGCCGAGGTGGGTGCCGGGCTGCACACGCCACCCCCGCCCCCGCCCCGGCCGATCAAGCACCCCGCGCGCAGCACTCACCCTGCTCTGCCCGCACGGGCTCATCCATCCTCCGCTCGGCCGGGGGCACGCGCAGGGAGAAGGCGTAGACGGTGCCCCCGTTGGTGCCAGCCCACAGCGAGGGGCAGTGGCGGGAGCCTGCCAAGAGGCAAAGGGCTGCGTGTCTGTCCTGGCCCTGGAGGCGGCTCCCGCCCCAGCCTCTTCAGGCCCCGCTTTCCCGCTCTGTGCAATGCACACGCTGCGGGCCTCCCAGGAGAGGCTCCCTCTCTGACAACCACACGTGGCCGCCTGGACAACCCCAAGCCCAGGACAGCTCAGCCCTCACCGGCTGGGAGCGGCTGGTCCTACGTCACACGTGCCAGCAGGCATCGTGTTAGCCTGTGTCATCACCCACTTTCTAGAGGGGAAGCTGAGGCCCGGAGAGGCGGTGTGCGGCGTCCAAGGCCACGCCCGAGGAGCGTGGTGGTGGAGCCCAGCGAGCGGCTCCCCCACAGGCCCTCTCGCCCCCGCGGCCACACGGGCAGGCTGGCAACTCACTGTCCTTCAGGAAGGTGTCGGCGAAGTAGAGGGTCCGCACGAAGCCCGTGAAGGAGTCCTCCGCCGAGCGGGCCTCGATCTTGCGCTGCACCGGGGCCAGCTCCATGTTCTGCAGGCCAGCCCGCTCGGCCCTGGGGGCCCCCGCCGGCACCTGCAGGGGCCGGGCCAGGCCTGAGGGTGGGCTCTGGCTCCCCCGGCCCAGCAACTTCACTTTGATCAACACGGACCCTCCTAGGCTAAGGCTGGCGACAGCCAGCGACCTGCCAGCCTGGGCCCGAGGGGCCTTGTCTAAGTGGGAGGTGCCTGGGGTGCCTGCGTAGGTGCTACCCAGCCTCCCGGCATGCTATGGGGCCAGAGGGTAACAATAACATCACTCACGTGTCCTAGGGACTCGTCTCTAGGGACAGAATTACACCCGTGCACCCAGGGAAGCCAGGACACAGAGGAATAACGTGATGTATGGGAAACCACAGCCTGCCTGCCCCAGAGCCTGTGCCTGCAGCCCAGCAAGGCTGGGGCGGGGGGGGGGGAGGGGAGGGCCTCGTGGCCAGCCCTGGGCCTCACCTCTCCCGGGGAGCCGGCTGGACGCCGCTTCCGGCTGGACGCCCTGCTGCGGCGCATGCGGCGGAACGACTGGCGCAGGGACTTCTTGAGGGACTTCACGCGGGACAGCGGGCCCTCCAGGGCGAGCTGGTCACTGGGGTGCAGCGTGCACCTGCGGGGCACGTCGGGCCATCAGCGCCGCCAGGGCTCAGGGGTCCGCACGAGGCCCCCGCCCCCAGACCCAGACCCCGGCCCCCGCCGCCCTGCTCACTTGACAAAGACCTGCCGCCGCTGCTGGTGGTCGAAGAGGCCGAAGCCGTGGCTGGTGCCGAAGGCCACGAGCCGCCACTCGGAATGCAGGGCCAAGGAGGTGACCACGGCCGGGGGCTGGCACTGCACCAGCACGAAGGGCTGGAAGCCAGGCTCGAAGCTCACAGGCCCCGGGCGGGCGGCCAGGCGCTCGTGCCCCTTCCAGCGGTAGCCCTCCTGGTCCTGCAGCAGGTCGGCCTCCACCTGCTCCACCGCGTGCTCCGCTGCCTCGTCGTTGAGCTCCAGCACCAGCACCTGGGCAGGTGGCGGAGGTCAGCAACGCCCAGACACCAAGGACAGCAAAGGGCCCCAGGGACCCCCGCCGGGCCCTGCCCCGCTCTGCCTCTAGGTCCGAGTTCTAAAGGAGAGGCTGCCACCCTGGGGACTCTGTCTGCAGGAAAGAGGCCAGGATGTCTGCCGAGGTCCCGGTGATGCTGTGAGGGACACTCGGGGCTGCTCCAGGACGGCAGAACCCGGAGGGTGGGTCCAGGCCCCGGGGCTGCTTTGCCTGCTGGGCCCCAATCTTGAGAACAACGTTTACGGCCTGGACATGTCCCAAAGCCGCCCAAGCATCCCCCCACGCCCTGCTCCCGGTCCCTGCGCCCTGTGCAGCCTGCTACCTGCCCCGCCGTGCCTGCCACAGCCAGGTAGCCGCTGTATTTGCAGAGGAAAATCTTCTGGATGCCCAGTCGGGGGTCATCGCTGTAGGGGTCAAAGGAGCCCACCTGATAGGGCAGAGGGGCCTGTGAGCGGCCATGGGGCTGGCCGGCCCGTCCACCCTCCCTGGCCCAGGTTCCGGGCCTCACCTTCCGCAGCGGGGGCCACTCATCCTCGGCCTGGGCGTTGAGGCCCTCACTGGCGTCTGTGTCGGTGAGGAACACGTGCACCGTGCTGAGCCTGTAGAGCAGCCGCAAGCAGACGCCCGACGCATCCCAGAACCGTACCGTGCCGTCCTCGTGCCTGTGGGCAGAGCCACCTGCCTGCCGTGAGGGAGCCAGCCGCGGCCTGGCGCGCACACCTCAGGCTCTGCTCCCAGCCTGCATCCTCCTGGTTGGAGGACGTGGCTCCAAAGTTACCTACCCCGTGAGCAGCAGGTCCCGCTGGGGCGGGGCTGGGGCCAGGCTGGTGCCGCCGTCAATGGGCCACTCCTGGAGAGAGAGACAGGCGGCGTCCGAGGAGAGCCTGGCCCCGAGCGAGGCAGGGCGGGCCGCGGCCGGCCAGGACCTACCATGGTGGAGAAGTGCGTGTGCTGTCGGCTGCCAGCCGCGATGATGCGCTCCCACAGCTTCAGCGGGATGCTGGAGACGTGATGGGAGCAGGTGATGGCCGAGCAGTGCAGGGAGGCCAGGTAGGGCAGCTGCACGGGCGGCCAGCCCGCCGTGTGCAGGTCGATGACCACCAGCTCCTCCTCCGCCAGCACCACCAGCGCGTAGGGGTCGTCAAAGGCTGGGAAACAGGCCAGGGCTCAGGCCAGGGTCCAGGAGGAAGCCTCCGCCCCAGCCCGGTGCCGCGGCATCGGACTCCGGGGTTGGAGCCCGGGACTCTGGACTCCGGAGGCCCCTGCTCTCGCGTTCCCGTGGATTTTTTTCACCTCTGGGAGGGCAGCAGGTGCAGGGAAGCAGCCCCGCCTCTGTGCCCACAGATGCAGAGCTTGGGACGGACACGCCTGGCTGGAACCTGGGCCAGCCGGGTTCCAGGGAAGGGGCCCAGGTCGGCTGCTCGGGGTGACCAGCACCGGTTTGGGCGCACCTGGTTCTGCTTCTCTTGCGGGTTCAGTAAGCAGAGCCCCGGGCGCCCTGGTTGCTGGGGCGGTGCCTCCTCACTGCACGCTCGGGCCTGGGCCCAGGTGGGGCTCGATCCACGAAGGCCACCCAACAAAGCAGCTCCTTCCTCCTCAGCGTCACATGGCTTCCCTCCTCTCCTCCCCAGTCTACGCCGGTTTTGCCAGGCTCCCACTCAACTGGAGGCCTGGGGCCCTCAACCACCTGGGGAAGCTACCGAGGTCACCCGGCCAGAGGGTGACCACTCGATTCCTTCCAGGGTCAGTATTTTCTAGAAGCCTCAGCTGGGCGCATGTTCTAGGCATGTCAGTCCCAGCTCCAGGAAGCCCATGTCCACTTGTGTCCCGCACAGCCTCTCCAATGGGTGGGCCCTCCTCTGTGCCTCCACGTCTCCCTTCCCCCAACTCTGGAATCCTCTAGAATTAGACTTGTCCCCTGCAGAAGGCTGTCATGGAGGCCGCCAACAGTGCCACCACCTGGCAGGCAGGTGTCCACCTGCGTCTGGCTGGCCAGGGCCCTCTGGAGCCCTTCCCTTCCTTCTGCTTCCGTTTCAGGTGTCCAGCAGCACGGCAGGCTCCCTGGGGCTACTCACTGGACCCCAGCGCCCCCTGCACCTCCACCCAACGACAGCTCCTCTCAGTCTCCCCCAGTGCCCGGGAGGTCGCATCTGGCCCTGTGGCTTCTCTCTCTGCACGGATGACTCCTTCCCGGCTTCTCTGAACCCAGACCAGGACCTCCCCCCCAGACCCGGACCTCCCCCAGACCAGGACCCCTCCCCAGTCCTGGACCTCCCCCCAGACCGGGACCCCTCTCCAGATCTGGACTTCGGCCTATTTTTGTCCAGAAACCCACACGGGGGCACAGACACGCCCTACTCATCAACACACTCCCGCGGCTGCTCTACAATGGCAGAACCGAGGGGGCGGCTAGCAAACGGTTATGACCCGGCCCTAGGGAGGCCTGGATCGCAGACCCCGACCCAGAACCTGATGCGACCCCGAGGCCTCCCCTCTCTGCCCCTCCTCATTGCTTGCCCGAGGCAGCCAGATGGCTCCTGCTTGAGCACAGCCCAGGTCATGCCACCCTACTCAGCTCGCACCCCTCAGGCCCTGGAGGACCTGGAGCCGGCTCCAGGACCACACTCCCCCCCTCCCGCCGGAGGGCTCTCCCAGCTCAGAGCCCGGCGCCCGGGTGCCTGTGAAGCCAGCCCTGTCCTCTCGGCTCACTCCCTTCAGGGGGGAGACCCCGCCGACCCCCACCTCCTCACTGGGCCTGGCTTTCCTTGCCTCTGACATCCATCTGCAACCTGCTCGCTCTGCCTCCCACCCTGTCCGTCCCAGCAGAGGGGGGCTTCGGCAGTTTCTAGAACAGGGCCTGGCATGTAGTAGTTCTCACTAAGTAGAATGGCACGCCCAGCCAGAGCCCCCGAGACAGCACTGCACGGGAGACTCAGGATGCCACGCAGCCCTCATCACGCACCCCTACCCCAGCCTGCTGGGACTGTGAGGGAGTCAGGAACACAGAGGACAAGCACACAAAGGTGACCTGCCCCAGAAAACCTCCCTTATCTTAAATTTATCCAAGAGGCAGAAAGAAGAGAGCGCCCACCCGCTGCTTTACCCCTCAGATGCCTGCAGTGGCTGGAGCCACGCGGCCTGAGGGCCACTGTCACGCCCCAGGGTCTGCATTAGCAGGAAGCTGCAGGCAGGAGCCACAGTGGGGTTCTGCACCCAGGCACCCCAACAGGAGACGCAGGCACGCTGACCACTAGGCTACACACCAGCCCCACTGGCTTTAAATACACAGCACGGCGAGTTTCTCTCCTGCCTGCCCCCTGCTTAGCCGAGGGGAGTAGGGGGAGCCGCAGCAAGGAGATCCCGGGCAGAGCTAGGCTTCTGCTCTCAGCATCCAGAGACAATTCCTTGATAGAGACCAGTGAGTCCTGAACAGCCCCACCCACCCCCTCCCTGCGGCAGCCTGGAGGCAGGTGGAGAGGCGGGGAGGTCCCCCTGCCCCAGCCTTCAACAGCAGCCCTTTGTGGTCTTGCCTGTCGCCCACAGCCGAGTCTGACCGGGGCCCGAGAAGAGCCAGTGGGACCAAGGGAGCCAGGATGGCAGTGGGCTTGGCAATGCCCAGGTGGGCCCCTGCTCTGTCACCGCCGCCCTCTCCCCGCACCCCAACTCCCACGGCTCGCCTACCAGCCGCAGGGTCCGCCTCGGCCAGGACGGTGAAGTCGATGATGCGGGAGCTGAAGTCGAAGGCCGTCTGCTGCCCGTCATGGGCCACCGAGATGCAGTGGCGGTCCCCGTAGCTGGCGCGGGGCATGCCGCCCTGGAAGATGGTGAACGGCAACCTGCGGGCACAGAGGGAGGGCAGCTGGGAACCGGGGCTGTCTGGAGCACACGGGGCTGGGCCGGGGGTCCCGGGGGTCCCAGCGCCAGCCCTCTCCTAGAGGGAGGCCACGTCTGTCTCAGGTGATTGGAGGAGGCAGGGCTGGACCCTCACCCCAGGAGGACGTGGGGGAGGGGGACGGGGGCTGTCTGACCACCCCTGCTCAGCCCAGGGGGTTCTCCATCTGCTAACACACCAGGCCTCCCTGCCTGATTCTGCATGAAGAAATGGGGCTGAGAGTACAAAATCTGGGACTGGTGCTGTGGCACAGCAGGTTAAGCTGCCACCTGTGGTGCCAGCATCCCATATGGGTGCCAGTTCGAGTCCCGGCTGCTGCACTTCCCATCCAGCTCCCTGCTATTGGCCTGGGAAAGCAGCAGAAGATGGCCCGAGCGCTTGAGCCCCTGCACCCATGTGGGAGACCCTGAAGGACTCCTGGCTTCAGCCTGGCCCAGCCTCGGCCATTTGGGGAATAAACCAGTGGACTAAAGAATCCGTCTCTAAGCCGGCGCCGTGGCTCAATAGGCTAATCCTCCACCTTGCGGCGCCGGCACACCGGGTTCTAGTCCCGGTTGGGGCGCCGGATTCTGTCCCGGTTGCCCCTCTTCCAGGCCAGCTCTCTGCTATGGCCAGGGAGTGCAGTGGAGGATGGCCCAGGTGCTTGGGCCCTGCACCCCATGGGAGACCAGGAAAAGCACCTGGATCCTGGCTCCTGCCATCGGATCAGCGCGGTGCGCCAGCTGCAGCGGCGGCCATTGGAGGGTGAACCAACGGCAAAGGAAGACCTTTCTCTCTCTGTCTCTCTCTCTCACTGTCCACTCTGCCTGTCAAAAATAAAAAAAAAATAAAAAATAAAAATAAAAAAAAAAAAAGAATCCGTCTCTCCTTTTCTAATTTTTTCAAATAAATAAGTCTTTTTTAAAAAAAAAAAGTTGACAACTTGGGGCTGGAGCTGGCCTCTAGGAGGGTGAGGGCTGGGGAGTGGATTTTGCAGGAACCGAGCCTTGGAGATGCACACATGCCACGTCTGCCCCTCCCCCACTTCCCTCATCCCAGACCCCGACAGTGATCGCCAGGCACCGTCTCTCACGCAGAGGCCGGGACTGGGCAGGCTCGGGGGAGGGGAGGGGCGAGAGAACACGGGCACCTACCCCTGCCTGGTGGTCAGCCAGAAGATTTTGGTAATGGCTTTGCATGGAAAGGGACCTAAGAGGGAAAGAGTTAGTGTGGACACATCCCTCCACTCTCGAGGGGGGTCAGGGGCTGTGGACGAGACTCCCCCGCCCACACCCTCGGGGGAGGTGTGCTGCGGTGGGGTGGGGGTGGGCGCACCGAGTCTGAGTCGGGCACCCTACCCCCGAACCCGGCAAGGACCCGTGGTACTCCTCGGGCAGGACCAGCGCTGACCGTACGGCACGGAGCTGCGCAGAGGCTCTGGGTGCGGGGTGTCGCTGGACACAGGCCACTGGCAGTGGCTGCCGTCAGAGTGGCAGCTGACGATGAGGCGGCCGTCTCGCTGCCAGCAGACGTTCTCTAGTTGCTTCCAGGAGGAGAGGGAGACAGAGCAGGCTGGGATCGGAGGCGGTCCCATCGCCTACTGCCCCGCCCCGCCCCCCAGCCCCAAGCAGGGGGTGTGAGGGCCGCGTGGGGGGGCAGGGAGGGCCGCGTGGGGCAGGGAGGGCCACGCGGGGGGGCCAGGGAGGGCCACGCAGGGGAAGGGAGGGCCGCGTGGGGGGCAGGGAGGGCCACATGGGGGGGGGCAGGGAGGGCCGCGTGGGGGGCAGGGAGGACCGCTAGGGGGGGGGCCGGGGCCGGGAAGGCCCTGTGGGGGCAAGGAAGACTCCGAGGGGGGAAGGGGCAGGGCCGGGGAGGGCCGCGTGGACCCTGCCGACCTCACGGCACCGCCTACCTGGCTGCTGAGAAAATGGCAGAGCACGCGGCTGCCCTGCAGGTCCCAGATGACAACGAGGCCCCGGCTGTAGCCGATCAGGATCTGGCTGGGGTCTCGGGGGTGTTCCTGCAGCGCCTCCACCATCTCGAACACCCGCCGGTGACGGGCCTCCTCAGGCAACCTGGCCGAGGGAGCGTGGGGAGCTCACACAGCCACACCCGGGTCCCCACGCGGCGCCAGGACAGAGGGGCCACGTGCGGGAGAGGATGTGCCACATAAACCCCTCCCCCAAGAATGCAAACAGAAAGTCGAGTGAAAGCCACAGGGCGGTGGGCCTGGACCCAAGCGCTGCCAACCCCAAGTAGGCCGAGCGCGAGGTCGGGACCGCCCGGGTGCCAGGAGCACCTCTACGACGCCGGCTACACCGAGCCCACACCGTCTCCGCCACCTGCAGCTGTGCCACGCATCGCAAGTCCCGCCGCTCGGGAAGCAGAGGCCAAACGGGACTTTAACCTTTCTCGTGAAGTCTTGGTTTTTGAAGAGGATTCCAAAACGATGCATTTCTTACAGTTAAAAATTCCCTTAAACTAAGAGCAACGACGGATGAGGCACCTCGCCTGGTGGGTTTGATGCCCGGCTCCCGACTCCTCCTACAATGCGGGCAGCTGGGGGGCTGCTACCCGACTCAGCCCGGCCCAGTCTCGGCGGCCATGGGTATTAGAGAAGTGAAATCGTGGATGAGGGCTGTCTGCTTCCCCAGTTTCTTAAAACAGGAAACGAGGGGTGGGTATTCAGCATCGCACGCAATGCCTGCGTCCCGTACCGGGTCCAAGTCCCCGCTCCCATTCCAATTCCAGCTACGTCCAAATGCACACCCTGGGAGGCAGCGGATGATGGCCTAAGTGCTAGGGACCCTGCCACTCATGTGGGAGACCCAGCTGGAGCTCCTGGCTTCAACCTGGCTCCTGGCTCCGCCCTGGCTGTTGCAGCCACCTGAGGAGTGAACCAGAAGATGGAAGATCTGTCTCTCCCTGTCTCTCTCTGTCCCTCTGCCTGCCAAAAATAAAAAAAATAAAAAAATAAAAAACGTATGCAAGTACCATCCTACATCATCCAAGTGAGAGCTGAATAGGATGCAGACCGCAGGAGGGTGGTCGGGGTCCCCCGGCCCCTCCTGACCCAGACCTCCACGGCTGATGCCAGGTGAGGCCACACCCACGTGGAGGAGCAGGTCCTCCCGCTGTCCTGCCCATGGATGGCACACCCAGGCTGGACACAAGCCCCGCCCGGCAGCCTGCAAACCGTCCTGCTCTGGCCCTACCCTGCTGACTGGGAGAGGCACAGGAGCCTCACCTTCCGGGGCCCCAGCCCTCAGGAGGAACCCTCTCAACACTGTAGCACCCTGCCCTGGGCAGACAGGCCTCAACACCCTGCCCTGGGCAGACAGGCCTCACACCCTGCCCTGGGCACACGGGCCTCAACACCCTGCCCTGGGCACACGGGTCTCAACACCCTGCCCTGGGCACACGGGCCTCAACACCCTGCCCTGGGCACACGGGCCTCAACACCCTGCCCTGGGCAGACAGGGCTCACACCCTGCCCTGGACAGACAGGCCTCACACCCTGCCCTGGGCAGACAGGCCTCAACACCCTGCCCTGGGCAGACAGGCCTCACACCCTGCCCTGGGCACACGGGCCTCAACACCCTGCCCTGGGCACACGGGCCTCAACACCCTGCCCTGGGCACACAGGCCTCAACACCCTGCCCTGGGCAGACAGGGCTCACACCCTGCCCTGGACACACAGGCCTCACACCCTGCCCTGGACACACAGGCCTCACACCCTGCCCTGGACAGACAGGCCTCAACACCCTGCCCTGGGCACACAACAGGCCTCACACCCTGCCCTGGACAGACAGGCCTCAACACCCTGCCCTGGGCACACAGGCCTCAACACCCTCCCCTGGACAGACAGGCCTCAACACCCTCCCCTGGACACACAGGCCTCACACCCTGCCCTGGACAGACAGGCCTCACACCCTGCCCTGGGCACACAGGCCTCACACCCTGCCCTGGGCAGATGGCCTTGCTTCGTTACCCAGCTCGCCAGGGTGTGCGTGATTCCAAGCCCGTCCGCAGGCTTCCAGCGGCCCAGCACCGTGGCCTCCCTGCCCCTCGGATCTGCATACCGTTCCACTCCGGCTGACACAGCCCCCACGAGCTCCTGCCAGACTCCTTCCTCCCCTCCTCTGCGGGCCCCGTCCCCCTCCTCACCCAGGCCCCACCCGGCTGCCTCGCTGGGGCAGATTCCCTCAGCAAGGAGCAAAGCTTCCCAATGATCCCAACAAACCCGCAGGCTTGCGGCTGTCAGGGCCTTTTAGCCATGAAGCCTGCACGCGAATGGAAACAGTGCAGCGTCTAAAACAGCGCATCAGCAGGAGCCGGCCCAGCTGACGCGGAGGTTTGCGCCCCAGCCCCCGCCCCGGGAGCCCCCAGAAGTTCTAGCACGTGGGATCAGGGACCCCAGAGTGGTGACAGTGCACCAGCACGTGGGCCCTGCTTTCCTCACCTCTGAGCAAAGTGACAAGTTACCCCCAAGCCTCCTTTTAGGGCTACGATGCCATTATAACAGGCGACAGATTCTCAACCTGGAGGACGGCGGCAGCTCAGAGCCCCCCTCCTGTCCACAGACTTCCCGGCTCCCAGGAGACGCTGGAGGGCCCCGCGGCGGCTCACCTCTGCAGCACGGCGTCGGCGCTGATGGTCCGGTCCTCCAGCACGTGGAAGGCCGGCAGCTGCACCACGAACACGGTGCCACTCTCGGTGCCCAGGTAGAGCAGCTCTCGGGAGGAATGGGGCAGGACCACGGTGATCTGCGTGGCGCTGGGGGCAGCCCTGCCGGCGGGGGTGGGAACAGCTCTCGGTGAGCGGGCAGGGAGACCTCACGAACAGAATCTCGACGCCTGGCTGTCCTCGCTGGTGCCAGAGGCGGCCTTGCCTCGGGAAACCAGGCCTCTAGGGCCGTGAACGAGGTCCACCGCATCTAGTTTGGGGCTTTTTGGGGCTACTTTCTGCCAAGACGAGAGGCAGGTGGCAGAGAACCCAGACCAGGGAGCAGGAAAGGCACCTCGGACTCTTCTGCAGCGACCATGTGTAGGGGTGGAAGGAGCAGGCCACAGTCCCACCCAGAGCACCCAAGCACAGACACGCAGTGGCTACAACACATGCAGGACCCTTGGAGGGGGCCCACCTGGAGCTGGGGGCAAGGGTGAGGCAGGGGTCGAGTCCTTACCCTGGGGGCCCTCGGAGCACGAAGTGCTCATCCTCCTGCAGCTCTGACAGCCCATCCTTGACCTTCAGGCTCCACAGGTGCAGGCTGTTGTCATCCAGCAGAGTGACCAGCCGGCACTGGGGAGGAACAGGGATGGGGACAGAAAGGTGCCGTCTCGTCTCGGGGGCAGGGAGGCCAGCACCCACCGGGCAGCCCGGCCTGGGCCGGCTGTTTGGAAGAGCCACAGGGCTCGGAGCACTCTGGCTGCTCTCAGGGTGGTAGGTGAGCCCTCAGCGGCAGAAAGGGAGGTGGTCACGGGTCTCGCCGTCAGCTCCAAACCCGAAGCGTTCCCCCCAAACCACCTCTTCTGGGAGCGGGGGACAGGAGGCCCCTCACCTGGCCAGGCAGGAAGTGGATCTGCATCACAGCATTGTTCTCCCGGTGCAGCCCCATGAACTCCACCCCTGGGGCGCCGTAGCTGGCAGAAGGCTCAGGAAAAGCTCTGAAGGCTGGACCCCCGCCCCGATCTGCCCCGTGCAAGGGCCCCTCACAAGGAGCACAGACACCTCCCTGGCACAGCAGGACCACGTCCAGGGTCTGGGGTGCGGAGAGAGAGCAGTGGCCTGAGCAGGGGCAGTTTTCTCAGGTAAAGCTCTGGGGGGCTGCTGTGGCAGGAGAGGGATACCCACATCCCCTGTAGGAGCGCCCGGGGCAAGTCCTGGCTGCTCCACTCCTGATCCAGCTTCCTACTGATGCACCCTGGGACGCAGCGGTGACGGCTCGTGGACTTGGTTCCCACCCACGTGGAAGACTCACACGGAGTTCCTGCCTCCTGGCTGGGTCCTGGCCCAGCCCTGGCTGGCTGAGGGCATCTGGGGAGTGAACCAGCAGATGGTGGATCTCTTTCTTCTGTCACTCTTTCAAATAAACTTGTATCTTTATTTGAAAGTCAGAAGGAGGGAGGGAGGGAGAGGTTGGTTGATCTTCCACCTGCTGGTTCACACCCCAAATGGCTGCAATGTCCAGGTCTACGTCAGGAGCTTCCTCCGGGCTCCCAGCAGTGGCAGGGCCCAGACACTCGGGCCGTCTTCTGCTGCATTTCCAAGGCCATCAGCAGGGAGCTGGACTGGAAGTGGAGCAGCCGGGACTCGAACCGGTGCCCACACAGCACACCGCTGTTGCAGGTAGTGGCTTTCCCTGCCACGCCACAACACTGTCCCCCTGCCCTCCTATTTTTTTAAAGGAAGGTGAGGCCCAGTCTTGGCCACTGGCTGCCACACCTGTTTCCCCAAACTGATCGACCATCCATTGCTTGGTGGCACCCCTGTGTCCACCCCCAACAGTCTTTGCCTACGAGTCGTGGCACCAGGCACTGGTAGCCAGGATCCGGCCGAGTCCCGGCAATGATTAACCAGCCAGGGGAGGGCTGAGCTGGCAGCAGGAGGATCTGGGCCCCTGCTCCGCTGTGTACACAGCAGGCCAGCAGCCCCGCCCCCCAAGCTGCAGCAGGGTAACAGGAAGGAGTTGGGGCTCCGCTGCAGGAAGCGCCAGCCGCCAGCCGAGCTATCCAAGGGGCTCTGCTCCCCTAGGCCCCGCCCCTGGCAGTGCAGGTCAGACGGCAGAGGAGGCACTCAGATTTGTGGTCCAGCCCAGAGCGGCTGGAGAAGCTCACAGCAATCCTCTCTGGAACTTGGGGGCTCGCCGTGGAACCACCTGGAGTCCCGAGCCAGCCCAGAACAAGGCCGATTCTGGATAAAAGATGACCCAATAGGACACCAGCCTCAGGCTCGGGTGGGGGGGCTGGGTGGGGACTGTGCCCTCCAGCAGGGGTCTCCACCCTCTGGTGTGTGCCTGTGGAGGGGGGAGGCTAGAACCTGGAGGCGAAGCTGCCTTCCCAGTGCTGCCCTCACCCGAGGCCACCCTGTCTCTGCTCGTGGACTGAACCGCAGGACGGGCCACAGAAATGGGAAGTCCTCTAACTTGCCTCTCTGAGGGGGAGTGGAACTGGGGGAGGCAGACCCCTTTGGTGTCTCCCAGCCATCGCCTTGTTGGGCAGGGTTCAGGAAAACTCTCCAGGCCCCTCCTCCCTGAGACCCTCGGCTCAGCCCTGTAGGGCAGAAGGAGGGAGGGGCTGGGCCTCTCTCCTTGGGGCTCACGGCTCCTGCACAGTTGAGACTGATTTTTGAAACTTCCAGCGATGGGTGAGGGAGGGAAGCTACAAGGAGGGGGGACAGCTTCTTGGCCCTGAGCGGACGCAGGAGACAAAAGAAACCGTGCCTCGGGTTCAAACCTCCCCCTCCTCCCCAGAGGGACAGGCCAGCAGCTGGCCAGCTCATACCCACCCCGTCGGCCTCCAAGGAAGTCACTTCCAAAGGCGGGAATCAGACAAAGTTGTGCCCTTTTCCCAACAGCCCACGGGCAAGAGGGAAGGGACCGCCTCCCCTGAACCTCACCCACCGCAGGGGCCCTCGCAAGGATACAGCTTGATGGCTCCGGAGCGCGTGCCGATGGCCAGGAGGCGCAGGGAGGGGCTGTAGCCGAGGGCGCTGGGCTGGTGCGGGAAGCCATGTTCCACCGTCTGCAAGGCAAACAGCGTCCCTGGGTCCCCTCTGCCCACAGCAGCTGGGACCGGAGGAGCCCAGAACCACCCCAGCCAGAGCACTTCAGTCCCCCTAGTTTCCCAGACACCTGATGTTGGAGCTGAACGCAGACCCACACGGCCCCTGCCCCAGTTTGTTTCCGACCTTGTCCTTGGCAGTCTGACAGCCCAGGGGCCTTCTCTCTTGACACCACGCTGGCCATCTCACACTCACACTCTCCAGAAACTGAGCTGGAGCCTGCATCAGCACCCTGGGGACCAGCCAGCCCTCCTGCAGTAGTCGGGGGCCTTGTGGGGGTGTGGAGTGGGGAAGTGGGGGGGGGGGCAGCACAGCAGAGACCCCGAGCCCTGGGGAAAGCCGCCTGGTTACACGGTGGGCTTGGGCCTGCAGGGTCCTGGGCTGCGGGTCCTCCAGCCCTGTATCTCCTGTCGCCACCAGGACCCCCAGGCAACTCCCAGGGAGGAGTTTCCGGAGCGCTGTTGCAGATGAATGCTTCTGTCGGTTTCCTACTACGGAAGTACACGCTAGGCCCAGACTACGCGAGAGAGCTTAAGTCAGCCGGTCCCTCACAACCACAAGTAGCGCTTGCTAACGGCTCCGAGGACACCCTCTGGGCCTGGGAACACCCGTGAGTGTGCGTCACACGTGGGAACAGACGTGCCCGGGATCCCGCCGTGCAGACACGTGTGCGAGGTCCCGCACACCGAAGGCCTGGTAGCCCGCGCTTCCACTTCAGTCGGCCAGGCCGTGCAAAGCTCTCACCGGCCTTGGAAGAGCCGCAGTCTCCCCAGGCCGTGGTTTCCAACGCGCCCCGTTCCCAGGCCCTGCGACTGCCGACCGCATGCAGGAGCACGCGGGCTCTTGCTGTTGCTGCCTGAGACGATGACCCAGTGACATCTGCAGCACAGATGGAGGTGGGCAAACCAGGACGCGTGGGTCCTGCTCCTCCTCCCCCTGCCCCGGGGGTCCCGACCCGCACAGCTGAGCGTGCCAGCCAGCTGCATGAAGGACCGTTTTCTTTCGTTTGCTTTTTCTTTTTCTTTTTTTGACAGGCAGAGTTAGACAGTGAGAGAGAGACAGCGAGAAAGGTCTTCCTTCTGTTGGTTCACCCCCAAAATGGCTGCTACAGCCGGCGCACCACGCTGATCCAAAGCCAGGAGCCAGGTGCTTCTCCTGGTCTCCCATGGGGTGCAGGGCCCAAGCACTTGGGCCATCCTCCACTGCACTCCCGGGCCACAGCAGAGAGCTGGCCTGGAAGAGGGGCAACCGGGACAGAACCAGCACCCCAACCGGGGCTAGAACTCGGGGTGCTGGCGCCACAGGCGGAGGATTAGCCTGGTGAGCCGCTTTTTCAACCACAGAGACCCTGCCCTGCAGGAAAAGTGCAACAATGAGGCAGCCGAGGCCGCCTGGCCTCAGAACGCAGACCCAGGTCCTGGGTCAGCTAGCACGCCAGCTTAGCAAACCCAGTGCCTGCCTGCCTTACCGCCAGGCCGGGGGTTGGTGGGAGGAGGCCCACGCTAGGGTCAGGCCGGGGAGGGGCAGGGTGAGCTCCACTGACAGCCTGGAGCCTAACAGCAGGGACAGGAACACAGGCGACCCTGCACGTAGCCGTAGCCATACCTGCATGGGACAGCCGAGGGCAGAGGGACCGCGCAGGAGCCCCCAGCCAGCCCAGGTTCCTGTTCAGCTATGTGAAAAATGCAGAGCCTGGAGAAGCCCTGGTCTGGAATGTAAACATTTCCCAGGAAAGGGGGATAGGCCACGACCAGCAGCACAGCTCGGAGCACAGACCGCCGGAGCCTGGGGCGCTGGGGACAAGGTCCTGCAGCAGCCCAGGGGCCGGCAGCAGGCTCTCTGCCATGAGCTGCCCAGAGCAGCAGCTGTGAGCCCAGGCGCAGTGTGGACAGTGCCACCTGGGAGCTGAACTCTAAATCCCATTAATTCCCATTTTTTTTTTTTTTTTTTTGACAGGCAGAGTGGACAGTGAGAGAGAGAGACAGAGAGAAAGGTCTTCCTTTGCCGTTGGTTCACCCTCCAATGGCCGCCGCGGCCGGCGCGCTGTGGCCGGCGCACCGCGCTGATCCGATGGCAGGAGCCAGGAGCCAGGTGCTTTTCCTGGTCTCCCATGGGGTGCAGGGCCCAAGCACCTGGGCCATCCTCCACTGCACTCCCTGGCCACAGCAGAGGGCTGGCCTGGAAGAGGGGCAACCGGGACAGAATCCGGCACCCCGACCGGGACTAGAACCCGGTGTGCCGGCGCCGCTAGGCGGAGGATTAGCCTAGTGAGCCGCGGCGCCGGCCCTTAATTCCCATTTAAGAGTGGATGGGGGCCGGCGCTGTGGTAGAGCAGGTTACGCCACGGCCTACAGCGCTGGCCTCCCACGTGGACACTGCTGGTTCAAGTCCCGGGTGCTCCACTACCATCCAGCTCCCTGCTAATGCTCCTGGGAAAGCAGCAGTAGATGGCCCAACCCCGCGGCCCCTGCTCCCCACGTGGGAGACCCGGAAGAAGCTCCTGGCTTGGGTCTCCGCCACTGCAGCCATTGGGGGAGTGAACCCGCAGATGGGGGATCTGTCTCTCCTTTCACCCGGCCTTTAAATATTAAATAAAAAGAGTGGATGTGCAATTCAGTTACTTCAAGTACGTCGGAAACCATCGGGATTCAAAAGAACAGAGGTCAGACTTCAAGATTCGTTTCTCACTGTGGATCCTGCAAATGCCAAGTACCGAGAAGTGTTTCTGAAGAACACCTCGAGTCCAAGCTGAGCGGTGGGAAGGCGGCCCAGATTGCAAAGATTTATTTTTAAAAAAGAACCAAACTGTAAAAAAAAAAAATCACTGGTCACTTACACTGACCACGTTAAATAATATTTTACAGACTTTACACTGCAGCCTCTAAAAACATTGAAATGACGTATGTGATTTGTTCTGCTCCACAAGTCCACAAGGAGAAAACAAGAGGGTGGCTCTCTGGTGGGGCCATGCGTTATCCTATTGCTCACGGAAGTTCTCCCGGTGTCTCACCTTAGTCACTCCTGCTGCAGGTCAGCCTTCACTCAAACCTGGAGGAAGACAGAGGTTGGGCCCACCCCTTGGCCACCCAGCGGCTTCCTCACTCCCATCAGGGTCCTGGGAGAGTTGGCCACCCCCCACACACCTTCTGTTCCAGAGGTTGGGCCCACCCCTTGGCCACCCAGCGGCTTCCTCACTCCCATCAGGGTCCTGGGGCAGTCGGCCACCCCCCTCACACCTTCTGTTCCAGAGGTGGAGAAGTGTGGGGAGCAACTCGGACTAGACTAAGTTACTGGAATTAAGACTTATTCTATGCATCTGCTCTCCCACAATATGGCGCTGAGAAGGGAGAAACAGCTTCTACACAGCTGCCTCCAGTTCAACCAATAAACTGTAGGACCTGCTCCTGATTGGAGGAGAGCAGCGTACTCGGCGTGTGGGCAGCCGAGTTGGGATTGGTGGAAGAGGACTATAAAGGAGGAGAGAGACAACATGCACCAGGAACGTCTATCTGAAGGAACACCTGTGCAGCCCCCGAGAGAGCCGGCCGGCGGTGTGCCGCTTCCCCGCGGAAGTGGGGAAAGTGGCCAGGGGGAACCGCCCTTCCACGGAGGTGGAAGGGACGGTAGCCAACCCGGGAAGAACCAGCAGCAAACCCGGGGAGGGCCGAGCAGACAAAAGAACAGCGCAGGGTCCTGTGTCGTTCCTCCATGAAGAGGGGGAGCGACAGAGAAGCTACTGAAGCGGGCCTCAGATTGAACAGGAAAGCACAGCCCACCCTGGCGCAGAGGCCTCGGCCCCCACGGCCGTGGCCTCAGCTTCCCCATCGCGTCCCACTGGGCATCTTCTCCAAGCTGTCAGCTCGGAGGGGCCAAGGCTCCCCCAAGAGTAACGTGAGGGGCGTGAACTTCAGAGTCCACATGAGGGTCAAATGCGGGGTGCCCAGGAGACAATGGGGACTGGAATGGGGATGGGGGTGGGGGGCCCACAAATGCCTGAAGCAATTCTAGGGAGGGCTCCAGGCCCAGGGAGGCATGTGGGCTTGGGGAGGAGCCAGGGAGCAGACGCTGAGCAAGGGACAGGCCCCAGGTCCTGGGGAGGCCAGTGCCACACTGAAGCCCTGCCCCGGCTGTCCCCTAACAGCCTGGAGTACAAGGTCCCCACCTCTTGTTTAGGGTTCAGGGACAGCTGCAGGTCTCCGGGAGGAGAAGCGTATATGGCCCCCTGTAAAGGAGGCCCCCACCTGGGCTCAGCCCAAGGCTGCTTCCTGGGCCTTCCAAGGCACAGGGAAAGATCAGGGCCCGGGTGGGCCCACGCCCGGGGCCTCCTATCTGCAGCTCCAGTTCAAACCAGGAGGCTGACCGAAGCCTGGCAGCCACTGGGCCACCCTCCTACCACCTCCTGAACCCTGGCGTCAGCCTACCTGGCCCTGCCCCATCCTGCTCCCTGGCTCGGGTGACCTCTGCCGAGGGAGGAGAGAACAATGCACTCCTTTGATGCGGAGCTGGGAGAGAAGATCTGCAGGCGCCACCGGGCAGCAACTCCTGCTGCAACCCACCAGGCAGCTCCCCCGAGGGGGGAGGGGCGAGCAAGGGCCGCCCGTCCCAGACAGCGGGGTCCCTCACCCTGCTCTCAGGAGCAAGGACCCGAGGAGCTCCCGGTACCACCACGGGGTGGGAAGATGGGAACCAGGGTCCCAGGAGGCCACCCAGGGCCAATGAGGCACACCCGCCGGGCTGGCTGGGCGGCTCTGCAGATACCGGGTGTGGTCAGCTCAGATTCCTGGCGGTGGCAGGAGCCTGGCCCTCCCGGTGTGGCTGTCACCTGACACCAGGGGCCTGGCCAAGCAAAAGTCAAGACAAAACCACCTGGCCCAGGGCAGCCAGGCAGGAGCACACTGGGGGTTCCAGGCCTGGAGCCCCCTGGTGCAGCCCAGGCAGGGCCCAGCCCAGGCAGGACCCACGGGCCCCGGGTGTGGCTGCTTCACCCCGCGAGGAGCACTGCTCAAGGAAGGGTTTCCCTTTGACGTGAAGGTCGCCTTCCCCTCCTGAGTCACCTCCTCTCCTGCCCAGCTCCCATGTCCCCCTCTTAGGTCCTCAAGGCTGACTTATCTGTGGGTCCATCTCTGCAAAGGGCTTGAGGACCCCACCCCAGCAAACCACGACATCACAGGCTCAGAGGGGTGACGCCACCCACCTAGGGCCACACAGCCCATCTTATACAACTTGTGCGCCCCCACCCCCAGCCAGAACCCCCCCCCCCCCCGCCCCGGCCCCGGACACACTCAGGCTGTGCAAGCCTCGCCCGCAGAGTGAGAACACCGCTCTGTGCGTCCTCACGGGACGGAGCGGGAGCCATGGCGACACAGACCCTGGCCTGCGGCTGGCCGGGCGCCAGGCACCACTGGAGCATTAAGCTCACTCAGCACGGCAGCCCTGATGCAGGGACGGCCAGGAGGCCACTCAACAGAGCGAACAGAGAGGCTAAGTAACGTGTGCACTGGCACACAGCAAGGAAGCAGAACCACTGCCCCACCTGCCCTTCCAATGCCTGGCACCCGGCCGGCCCCTGGCAGAGATCAAAGACTCTGGCTGGGTCCCGGCTCCTGCCAAGGTACATGCAGCTCTCGGGGGCCTTGGGGCCACCTGCTGCTCTCAGGCATTTCCCAGTGTGTGTGTGTGTGTGTCGGGGGTGGGGAGTGAAAAAGTCACCAGGTCCAGTTTAGAAGCTGGCTCAGGGGCCAGCACTGTGGCACAGCAGGCCGAGGGGCCACCCGCGACGCCGGTGTCCCATACGGGCACAGGTTCATGCCCTGGCTGCTCTACTTCCTACCCAGCTCCCTGCTAAAGGCCTGGGAAAGGCAGTGGAGGACGGCTCAAGTACCTGAGCCCTCCACCCATGTGGGAGACCGGGAAGAAGCTCCTGGCTTTGGCTCGGCCCTGGCCCTTGCAGCTATTCGGGGAGTGAACCAGCAGACAGAGGATCTGCCTCTCCCTGTAACTCGTCCTTTCAAATAAACAGCCGTCCCCTCCACAGCACCTGGAGGCCTGGCCGCCCAGGATAACCTGACCGGAGATGGCCGGAATCACCTAACGTGGGCATGTCCCCACATGTGAGTCCACCTGAGCTCCTGGGCTCCCCTAATTCCACCTGGAGCCAGGAGACATCTCCCACCAGCTGGAGCCCTGCTGACACTGCCACAGCCATCGGCCACGCCTGGCCCTTCACTCTCTGCTTGACTCATTCAGTCCCCATGGAGGACAGGGCCGGCTCCTGCTCCGTCTCCATCTGAGACAGGCGTGACCGCCCCAGGCCACCCTGCCGGGGAACCAGGCAGTCAGTGCTGGGGTCAGTGCTGACCGCTAGCCAAAGCACCCCTCCACAGGTGCAGACCGCTTTGCTATTCCCGTCCAGGTCAAAACCTGCCGATTCCCCTCACACCTGCCCTCCTGCACCACCACCGGCCAGGACACGGACCCCACGCTATCACCAGGTCTCACCGACCCCACGTCTCTAGTACTTCCCTATTCCAGGGGTCCTCACCTGGAGCAGCCCTCCCACCCCGGGGCGCTTGGCGCCAAGCAGTTTTGGTTGTCATGGGGCTGGGGCACGACTGGCATCACGTGGGTAGGGCCCAGGGATGCCAACATCCTGCAACGCCCACGACTGTCCCCACCACACAGCTGGCCCCAGAGGTCACCGGGCCTCCTTCGCGCTGGGTCCCGTCCCCTCACCGTGACACGTCCTAACTGCTCTGAGCTCACTGGCCTCCCTGGATGAGTAAAAACTGCCCCAACCCAATCCCACCACAGCTCCAGTGTCAGGGCGACCTGAACTCCCAAGAGGCGGCCTCCCCTCTGCTCCACAGTTCCCAGGAAGCTTCCGGCCAGGGACAGGCTGGCCCGGGAGGACCGGGCAGGGTCCCAGTCCTTCCAGGACCTGGCTGCGCCCTCCATTCCCACATTTAGGGCCCCACCACTCTCCTCCCCAGCCTCTCTCCTTCCTCCCTACAAGGAATTCCAAGCCAGTGGCTCCTCCCCCACCAAGTCCCAAAGTTGCCCTTATCTGAGATTCCACAGCCAAGCTCTGGGCAGCACCAACAGCAGGTGCTTGCATGTGAATGGCAGGAGGGGCCTGGGCCTGGGGCTGGGGCGGTCAAGAAGCAGACCACCGGTGGGAATCCAAGAGTGGGGGGCGGAGACTCCACCTCTGCCCCACCCAGCCTCACACCTTGGGGCAGGGGCTCATCCCCCTTTGCAGGGCCTGTCTGTCTGGTTTCTGCTGGAATCTTTGGCTTGAAGGTCCCTTCCCCTCCTGAGTCACTTCCTAGAGATCCCAGCATCATCGGGGCCCTGCAGGCATGGGGTGGGGGGTGGACAGCCAGGCCCCAGCGGAATGCAGATTCTCAGGCACTCACAGAGCAGGCCTGTTTCCCAAGATCCCTCATTCTCAACAGCCACACTCCGCTTTGGGGAGCCCCAAATCAAAGAAGCCTGGCAAAGGCCTCCCCGTTGAACTCCAGGGGTGACACCTCCCATGGGCGAGACCAGGGGGAAATGGCAGGGGACACTGGGACCCGTGACCCACCCTTGCCAAAACAGAGATCTAGAGGATGCTCCCCCCACTCCCCAACCCAGCACCTAACATCCCTGGACCACCGTGCCCGGCACTGCCGTCACCCAATCCCAACAGGCCTGGGGTGTGGGCGACGGGCACGGTCTCCCCGCTTTTAAGGAGCAGGACTGGAAGGAACCTAAGCAAGCCACTTCTGCACGTCTCAAGCCAACGAGACAACCAGGAGGAAGCCCTGAGTTCCACCGGGGACAGGGACAGGCCTTTCCCAGTCTCACACACCCTGGGGGGAGGGGAGGGGAGGAGCAGGGAGCCCAACCTGAAGATCCCAGCAGAGTCAGGCTCCCAGGCTCCCCGGCTCCCTGCCGTGTGCCCGGGTACCTCTCCCGCAGTCCACCTCGGGGCTGAGGGATGAAAGGGAGGTGGGCAGGCTAATTACCCCCAACCATGGAGGAGCAGCTAATGAGCCACGCTGTGCATCTGTTTCCAGGCCCGGCCCCCGGGGGAAGCCCTGAGGGGCTTCTGGGAGGCTCCAGACGCGGGGTAGCCAAATGCCAACCCTGGCTCCTTGTGCCCGACGCCCCTCCCCAATCAGGAAGCCTGGTTCAGGCTGCAGGCAGAGTGGCTTTTTCCTCAGGGGGCAGTCTGAGGAGGAGGAACAGCCATGGCTGTGTCTCCCGGGCCCTGGGGCCCAGGCTTCACCGGGACATGGTCATCATGGTCATCACCATCATCATCATCATCATCACTGTACGTGGCTGGCCGAGATCCTTTCATCTCTAACCCGAGCCTCCCCACAGGCCTGTGACGAGGTGGGCGGGGCAGAGGCTTCGTCCCCAGCTCAGAGATGGTGGAGTGGAGGGGTCACGCGCCAGTGAGGGCTGTGGAACGAGGGGTCTCGGCACCAGGAGCTCCTCTGCCCTCTCCCAGGAGAGCGCTCGGCCCAGACCGCGACGCGCCTCACCCCGCTCGGCCTACGCACCTTGTGGAACTGGAACAGGTCCCGCTTCAGCCTCTCCCGCGCAGGGTCGTGCCCGGGTCTCAGGAACCGCCTCATCCTCCTGGGCTGGCCGCAGACCCCCGCCGAGACCTGGGGAAACAGGAGGGGCCCTGGAGCACGGGCGGCAGGAACGCGGGCCCCTCGGCCCCTCTCCCAGGCCCGACCAGCTTCACCCTGCTCCGTGCGGAGGCCTCCCCGAGAGACCCCTGTACCCAGCGCCCGGCCTGCCCTCTCCACCGGTGGCCTCCTAATGGGAGGAAGCCATTCAGCCTGGCTTTATAGGAACGGGGAGGGCCAGCAGGCCCCAAGGTAATTAGCTTAATTGTTACCCTGTTTTCTAAAAAACCCATAAAACTGGGCTAAACAGAAAGGGAAACGTCCGTGGCCTCTCTCCAGAGTGGGGGGACCTGTGCAGCTGCCTCTCAGGGCTCCAGGACAGGCCTGGGGCAGCTCCAGGCCCCAGCCCAGTGGCACCCTCAGGCACCTGGGCAGATTCTTCTAACCGCAGGGGGCTGCCCCCAACAGGAGGAAGTCAGGTGAAGGTGCCGGCCCATCCCACCAGGCTGCTGGGCTCCCGCGGCCCCAGCACCTTGCAGATCTGCATCTCCGGCTTCCCAGGTGCAGACCCCGGGGCTCTGAGGGGGTGCACTCAACAAGGCTCCCCTTCCCACGGGCCCAAGCGGGGAATCCTCAGGGGAGAGAAATCCGCCCCCAGTGAAAACCAGCTCAAGGCTCCCAAGCTGACCACCCACCAAAGGATGCAACCCCCACCCAAGGGGAAGCTATTTCTGGATCACGCGGGGGAAGGACCAACTGAGCTCCTCTTCCGGCTTCCAGTTTCCATTTTCGTGGCCTCCCGCCGGGCACGGCCAGCCAGGCCAGTCCCGGGGAAACACGGGGCTCGGAAATGGCTTCATTCATTCAGCACGAGGCTCTAGGGGGAAGGCAACGGACCCACTCACCTTGGAACACGGTCACTAGGGCACGGAGGGGGACACGGGTCTCGGGGGGGGGGGGTCTTCCAAGCTGAGGCCTGAAGGAAGCCTTGAAGAGTGTGGTTTCCTGGGAGGCAGGACAAAACTAAATCAGCCACCAGGCCAAGACTCTGTTAAAACAGCCCCCCCCCCCGCCCCGCCCCGCAGCTCCTGGAGGCACACCCAGGTGTGCGGGTGCATCACAGGGTGGGGGTGTCTCCTAGACAAACCAGGGCTCACCAAGCTGCCAAGCTGCCCTCCCGCAGGCCACCTCCAAACCAAACAGCAGGACCCCCCTCAGAGCACAGTCAGCCTGCAGACACCCCCAGAGGGCCAGGGTGTGATGGGGGAGGTCTGCGCCTTCAGGTCTGGGGGCAGCCCACCAGTGCGGGAGCCTCCCACGTCACTGGGAACTCAGGTGCCCACTTGACCTGAGGCCCCACAGCACCAAAGCCCTGGAAGCTCCCGGGACAGGAAGCAGAGATCTCAGCCTCCGCCTCTGTGCATTCCAGCCGTGGGGGAGGGTGACAGGCTCCTCTGGCAGCCCCTCCCCCTTCCAGGGGCTAAGGTCACTTGGGTCAGAAGCCAGAGGAAGCTGGGAGTGACTCCCTGGAGCAGGAGAGGGGCCTGCAGACTCCAGGGAGGAACACAGATGGCCAAGGACCCCACGCAGGCTCAGAGGCCACAACCAAGATGAGGGCGGGGGTGCCAGGAGGAGGGCGGCAGACAGGATGCAGACACACACCAGGAGGGCAGGCGTACTCAGCGCCCACCTTTCACCCCAAGGCCCCTGGGAGCACCTGCTGCAGACCAGGCACAGGCACAGCCCCTTTGCTCTCGTAGAAGCAAACAATGCAGAGCAGACCCAAGTCCAGGCAGCCAGGGCAACACGGTACCTCTCTACCTGCCTCGCACTCCTGGCACGCGTACGCACCCGGGAGCCCCTTGACAGGTAAGCAGGCTGGGGACAGATGACGAGGCAAAGCCCACAGCAGCTGGGCGACCATACAAGGTCACCGAGCAGGAAGCCACAGCCTTCGGGCCCGGCCCCACGTCTGCAAACCCCTCAACTCTAAGAGCTCTGGGTAGCACAGGTCAAAGGGTGCCCGACTGCACCCTGCAATCAGGAGGCAGGCCCCGCCCAGACACATTCTCACAATTGCCCTCAGCCCAGAGCCAGGCCCACATCCGCCCCGGAGCGCGAAGTGACTGCCCAAGTTGAGTGCCACCTCTTCTCAGAGGACACGAGGGGACAGGTCTGGGCCTGGCTGGACTCACCTCCAGGCAGCCCCTCAGGACCACCCACCCCAGACAAGCAAGTTTCCTGCGGTGGAACCTCAGGAAGCCAGGCCCGGAGCGGCCTGGTGTGGAGCAGATCCTATCTCCCCGGCCCACTCCTGGAGGCAGACAGGGAATGCAGGGAAGACAGCCCCAGGCGAGGTGCAACAGGCCAGGGCCTGACCATCACAGCTCAGCCCCTCCGAGCCGAGCCCAGCCTGCGGCCTCCTGCGCTGCACCGACAGCGCCCCTACAGAGGTGCTTCCCCCTGCACGGTCCCCTGGAAGGAGGAGTAGGGGGAGTGCTGGCACAGCGCTCACGGCGGACGGAGCAGGCCCCATCCCGGGACTGCAGGTGCATGGGATGATTTCCAGCGGCCACCAAGAAAATCAAGATGCTAAGAGCAGCGCCCAGGCTGGGGCGGCTGAAGGGCTCTGGACCGTCCCTTCCCACTCTCCGTCCTCCGCCCTCTTTTGCCTTCCTGAGCGTCGGCCGCGCCGTCAACTCGCGAACAGGTTAGTTCTTCCTCCGGTCGGCTGGTTACCCGCGAAGCCTCCCGCAAGCTGCGGCTTTCTCATTCTTACTCAAGTCCTTTAGTCACTGCCGCATCCTACTGCCCTGGTGAGCACTCACTGTGCAGAGGTGAGAGCGAGAGGCAGGAAGTGGTGGCCACACGGTCAGACTCCAGGGCACAGCAAGCTGGGCAGGAGTGACAGGCACAAAGCCTGAAGATGGGACGAGCTTGTTCCGGGAGGACGGAGACGAGTGGGAGGCGGGGCTTGCGGGGCACACAAGGAGCTCTGACAGTCCTGAGCAGGGCCTGTAGGCTGTCCTGCCCACCCCACCCCCCACACCAGATCCACCTGCTCAGCTCCCCCCGGCCCCACCCGCTCTGTCTGGAACGCAGCTCATCTGAAGTCCCCTCCCAAGGGCTTCCCTCTCTCGCTGTGCTCCCGCAGGGTTTGCACCTTCTGTTAACATGACGCCCTGCTCACACCGTGGGGTGGAATTAGGCCTGGTGGTGAAGACACCACCGCCTCACGGGTGGGAGTCCTGGCCTCGCTCTGGGTTCTAGCTTCCTGCTAGCGAACACCCTGGGGCAGCGGCGGCGATGGCTCCAGGACGTGGGACCCTGCCACCCACGGGAGCTCCTGGATGGAGCACCCAGCTCTGGCATCAGTTGTTGAGGGCACTTGGGGGGTAGTGAACCAGTGGATGGGGCGCCCATCTAGCCCCACAAATGCTCGCCCCAGCCTCCTGCTGGTTATTAAGCTACGGGGAAAGTGAACCAACCCACTGGCCAGCAACCAGCACAGGCGAGGGGTTGAGCACCTGTTCCCACGGAGAGGGCAGAGACTTCCTGGTGACCTGGACACTCACATGAGATCCGGGAGCCAGGCAGGACCTGCTGGAGACGCACACCCTGGAAGAGGCTCGTAGGGCTAGCGGTTAGCAGCGATTTTTGTCTGGTTTCTCTGCCTCCCAGGCAGGGTGGACAACAAGGGGACCTGAGGAAGGGTGACGCCCCAGGCGGCGTTCGGGGCGAGGGTGGGGCCTGCGCGACCCGTTAGCAGCTTTGCCGCTCAGGAACCCGTGTGGATCAGCCAGGTCTGAAGGCCGGAGAGCCAAGCAAACAGGCAGGCGAAGCAGCTGCGAGACCTTGGGCTCGAGGGTTCTGAGCCAGTGGGGCTGTCCCGAGGCCGGCCTGGCAAATGCCCAGACTCCTCTCCAGTGCTCCTCCTACCGAGGGGCGTGGGAGAAGTGACTACCAACGCGGCAGTCACTGGGGACGCCGCGGGGCCACAGCACCACTCCTGGGGCTGCCCAAGAAACACCTTCTCTACCGCTGCCCTCGCCCCAGCTTCTCCCAGACCCCATCCCTGCCCGTGACGGCGTCTGTGTGACGCGACCACGTGTGTGACCCGACCACGTGTGTGACCCGACCAACAACCTCCGAGCCACCCTCCCCGCTCTCCCTGCCTCAGTGTGCCGTCAGCGTGCTGAGCTGAGTCCTATTTGTTTTCCGGCTGCTGCTGACCCCTGCGGCTTCTGTGCCTGGGGCGTGGCAGTAGCCCGAAAGCTCCCTGTGGCCACTGGTCCCGCAACTTCCGTCTCTTCTCACCGCTTCCATCACCACCGCTGGCGCCGGCGGGCACAACAGTCCCAGGGGCTCGGGCAGGTCCCCCACACCCTGACGCCCAGAGGCGGCGTCCTCTCAGCGACAGGCCCTGCCTTCCTCCTCCATCCTCTGCCTGCCCCCACCTCGTGCATCTCAAGAGCTCAGCAGAGATCACCGGCAGAGAGAGAGACCACCACAGAAGGGCGGGCCCACCTGGAGCCCCCTGCTCTAGGCAGACGGCTGCTTGTGGAGGGAGGAGGGGGATGCCCGGGTCACAGTGCCCATCCCCCGCGGGCACTGCTGGGGCACCTGGGCTCAGCTGTCCCCATGAGTCCAAGGCTTGGTCAAGCCGAGCCCGTCCTTTCTTGCAGGTGTGGGAAGGGCCAGGAGGAGGGGGAGCGGGGAGGGAGGACTCCTGGGTCACAGTGCCCATCCCCCGCAGGCACTGCTGGGGCACCTGGGTTCAGCTTGGTCAAGCCGAGCCCGTCCTTTCCTGCAGGTGTGGGAAGGGCCAGCCCCCTACGAAGTCCCTTCACAGGTGCCGGGAGAGTCCGCACCCAGCTTCTGCCACAGCTCCCTCCCGCCCTCAGGAGCGCAGGGTGAGGAGTCCGGGCTGATTCAGAAGCTGCCCTCCCTTCCCCGACATCCTGTGCGAGGCCTGTGTGTGGCTTTGGCCTCCGGTGTGGCGGATGTGAGACCGCCCCTGAACCTCCTACCAACTGGAGCGGTGCAGCAGGGCTCGGAGCCACCGGGGCAGCTGCTGACCCCTCCGGCTCCTGCTGGCGCCAGCTCAGCGGCCTGTGTAGTCCCGGGAAGCCTGATGCCCCACCAGCAGCTTAGCAACCAAACCTCAATGCTTGCGGGCACCTGGCGGAGGTGGGGCAGAGGGCACTGTCACTGCTGTTAGGGATACAGGGACCCGGGGCTGAGGCCAGATGTCACTTTAGGGACACTGTGAGCATCATCTGGTTCTTACAACATTAGCTGTTTTCGAAATAACCAACCCGGAGTGGTAGCAAGCCCAGGCAGTTGGTGAGAACCTAGGTCTCAGTTGGAACTCATCTGTACAGCCCGTGTTGGGCTCAGTCCAGAGCCTCTCTCCTGGGACAAAGCGGTACCCTACAGGCTGGGTGAACCTCTGTGGGGCCAGCTCCCAGCCCCACCAGCCATCCTACAGCCTGAGACAGTCCCCTCCATGCATCCACCCCCACCCCCACCCCACCCCGCCCTGCCCTGTGCACGCCCAGACTGGGGGCTTCGGTCCTCTACTGTGAGACAACCACCATGCTCTCCAGAGAGGCAGGTGACAGAAGTGGTCAAGTACAAGGAAAAGCAAAACCATTCAGTGAGAAGATGGACAGTTTGCCTGGGGTCGAGGCAGGCAGGCTACCTAGGCCTGTCCAACTGAGCCCCATTCCCGGACCTTCTACTGCCCCAGAATCACAACAGCAGCCCCAGGGAGCTTCCAGAAGACGCCAGCTCCTGGAGGAGGGAGAACCGCATTCTCCCATGGCTGCACTGCCAACGACCCACCCAGGTCCTCACATCAAGAACTCTTTGTCTCAGTTTTGTTCAATGTTCCCTTCTTGCCGAGGCCCACTCTGACCCCTTTTTAATAGGTATTTTACTTGAAAGGTGTCATTACAGAGATCTTCCATCCACTGATTCACTCCCCAAATGGCCGCAATGGCCAAGGGTGGGCCAGGCCAAAGCCAGGAACTCCATCCGGGTCTCCCACGCGGATGCAGGGGCCCAGGCACTTGGGCCATCTTCCACTGCTTTCCCAGTTGCATTAGCAGGGAGCTGGATCAGAAGTGCAGCAGCCGGGACTCGAACCAGCACCCATACGGGATGCCGGCACTGTAGACAGGAGAGTGGTTTAACCTGCTGTGCCACAGTGCAGGCCCCTTGAACTCCTTTTAAACCCGTAACCTGCTCCTACCAGGGAGTTCCCAAACCCAGCTCTAATTCTTACTCTATAGAGAATATCACCTTCTTTTAAAAACATTGTTTAAAAAAATTCCTATTTATTCAAAAAAGAGTTACAGAGAAAGCGAGAGAGACATGGAGATCTTCCATCCACAAGTTCACTCCCCAAGTGGCCACAATGGCCAGGGCTGGGCCAGGCCAGAGCCAGGAGCTCCATCTGGGTCTCCCATGTGAGTGGCAGGGGCCCAAGCAGGGAAGTGGAGCAGCTGGGACGTGAACCGGCGCCCACATGGGATGCCGGCATCGCAGGCAGCAGCTCAACCCGCCGCGCCACAGCACTGGTCCCGCGTGTTATTCCACATCCCTCCTTCCCGTCACCCTTTAGAGAGAAGGTTCCGTGACGGCAGACCTGTGCTTGGTTTCAGGATTAGGTTGCCTAGCACCACGCCAGGCACACAGCAGGCACAAATAAATACTTGTTCAGGGAGTGGACAGACCGGTGACTGCCCAGGGATGAACCAGGCACAGTCTTCTCCATCGCTGACCCCCCAGGACATGGAGATGGCGTCTCTGGACTTGGCCAGGGTCATGGGGTCGCCACACCAGGCCTCCTGACCAGGATACACTGGTGGGCTGTGCCTCTGACCGGGGCTGCAGGACAGCCGCTCCCTGGCGAGACGGCTCCGGGAGTGTGATTAAGTATCAGTGGCGCTTGCCAGACTCCAGGAGTCCCACGCCCGATGTCCCTCTCGTCAAACCCTGGAGCACTGGGTCTCTGCTGAATTCCTGAAACCTAGCAGCTCCCCTGTCCCCTCTCCTAGCTCAAGAATTCACCCCAGCTCCCAGCAAGAGAAGGCGTGGCTCCTCCGAGACCCGGTTTCCTTTGAGAGGCGCGGTGGGGAGAGGAGCCCACCCCAAAGGGAGCTGGGCAAAGCCCCTGGCCAGGCACAGCAAGGGAGGAGGGTCCCCTGGGGGAGGGGGGCAATGCTGGCGGCCCCACTGTGGAAGGTCCCCTTTCCTGTCCGGTACTGTGTCTCCCACAAAGTCGCCAGCCAGCAGGGCATGCCTGCCTGGACCCAGGAGCAGCCCCCACAGCCACAGGGCCCGAGTGAGGGCCCCACGGTGGGTGAGCCCAGGAAGCCCACAGCAGCCTCTATGGCCTCAACTCAGGTGCCTCAACAGCTGCTGCCAAGAGGGCTGGGTAAGCCCCTAGGAAACCCAGCCCTGGACACTGTCTCCAGCAGGATTGGGGGCAGGGGCTCCGGGCACCACTTTCTCTCCTGGAGGGAGGGGCTTGGGAAAGTGCTGGCAGGAGAGAACACCCCCTCCCCCAAATGAGGTTGAAAGGAGGCACTTGGAGCTCCCAGAAAAGCTTAATGGCAACAGAGCCACTCAGGAATGTGCTCCTCCCCCAGCCTGGGAGAGGCGGGCACGCAGGGACCCTCTGGCTGGAGCCTAGGGCAGATTAGGTTCTGCACCCTAGAAGGGCTCTAAGCTGGGTCTTCGATCAGCCCTCACTCCCGACTCTCCCACGGAGCAAGAGAAGTATCAAAGGCCACCGGAGCACAGGCCAAGAGAGGCCCCTGGCCTCTACCTTTTCGAGCCTCCTCACTGAAAAGCAGCGACCATGGGGCTGGCGCTGTGGCATAGTGGGTAAAGCCGCCGCCTGAAGTGCTAGCATCCTATATGGGCGCCGGTTCTAGTCCCGGCTGCTCCTCTTCCCATCCAGCTCTCTGCTATGGCCTGGGAAAGCAGAAGATGGCCCAAGTCCTTGGGCCCCTGCACCTGCGTGGGAGACCTGGAAGAAGCTCCTGGCTCCTGATCAGCTCAGCTCCGGCCACTGCAGCCAACTGGGGGAGTGAACCAGCAGATGGAAGACCTCTCTCTCTCTCCCCTTGCCTCTCCTTCTCTCTAACTCTGACTTTCAAATAAAAAAGATTAAAAAAAAAAAAAAAAAAGGAAAGAAAAGAAAGCAGCGACCTGCAGAGGCTTTGAGAGGTCACTAAATTGCAACCCCTCAGCCAGCCGGGGTCAAATTCACTTCGCCCCTCAGGTTCTTCCGAAAAACCCAGGACCAACCCAAAGATCCGAGCAACGAACACTTTCGTTTGGGGAAGCCAAGATGTTCACCTTCCTCCCGTGCCTGCTATGCACCAGGCCACACTTGTCCATGATGCGTCCCATCTTGGCAACAGTGACAGGCGCCACAGCAGGCTCAGGTGACCCAAGGTCGGTCCCCAGCAAGCACTCCACAGGCCCGGCTTCAAACCGCACCCGGGGCCAGCCTGTGCCGCGGCAGCTAAGAGCTGCTTGGGTCGGCCTGCATGCCCAGCAGTGTGCTACGGTGCACCCTGGGCGGCAGCAGGTGACGGCTCACGTACTAGAGTGCCGACCACTCACGCGGGAGACCCACACGGAGTTCCGGGCTCCTGGCTTCAGCCTGGCCCCGCCCCCTGTTGCCGGCATTTGGGGAGACTCAAGGTCTTTGTCTCTGCCTTGCAAATTAAAAATTTTCCATCTTCACGCCTCCTAAGATGTTTGATGCTTTCTCCCCTACTCTGGCCTCTCCGTTATTTAAAACAATGGGGGTCACCTGGGATTCTGGGCCTCTTTTTTATTTATTTGACAGGTAGAGTTACAGTGAGGGAGAGAAAGGTCTTCCTTCCGTTGGTTCATCTCCCAAATGGCCGCAACGGCCGGAGCTGCGCCAATCTGAAGCCAGGAGCCAGGTTCCTCTTCCTGGTCTCCCATGCGGGTGCAGGGCCCAAGCACTTGGGCCATCCTCCACTGCCCTCCCAGGCCACAGCAGCGAGCTGGACTGGAAGAGGAGCAACCAGGACTAGAACCCGGCACCCCAACCGAGACTAGAACCCAGTGCCCATAAGGGATGCCGGTGCCGCAGGTGGAGGATTAGCCAAGTGGAGCCACGGTGCCGCCCCCCTTCTTTCAATACCGTGTCTACTCAGAGATTATTAGAATTAAGTTATATCCACCTGTCACTGATGGGACCCTCTTTCCTCAAGGAAGACCAGGGCCGCAGCGTCACTGAGGCACCTGGGGCCCCGGAAAGTGTCCAGGGGCCCACCCAGACCGAGCCAGGCTAACCTCAGAGGCCAGGAGGGGGCTTTGGTCAGAGCCTCAGGAGCTGGCACCATGGGGAGTTCCAAAGCTGACGAATCTCCCACGACCTTCCCAGCGCCTGGCACACACCCAGACCTTTCCCTCAAAAGCCACGCCAAGCTCGGGCTCCCAGGCGCTGGCCCCAGCCCATCGCGGCAGCTGTTCTTCCTACCTGGGTTTCCTGGTCACCCCGACACACCCGTTCCCTCCCAGTTCCCTCCCCGCTCCGAATCCCCTGTGCGAGTGACAGGCGTCTCCCGAGCCCAGGTTGGGGCGGCCTGCACCTGCAAGTGGAGCCGCTGGGGAGGGGGGGCTGGGGGCCGAGTGTAAGCCCCGCCCTCCTCACCCAAGGCTCACCTGTCTCAGGTGAGAGCCTCAAAGGGCCACACCTGCTGTCCTGGTTACAGTCGCGGCCAGCCACCGGAGTGGCCACCAGCCGTCCAGCACACCAAGGCACACTTCCCTCGGCAAGAATTTTCCACCGCTCGCCACGTCCCGCCGCGCACCCCCCCCCACTCGCCGGCGTGCAAAGCGGGGCGGGGGCCGTCGCCTACAGGTGTCCGAAGGTGCGCGGCGCCGAGAGAGGCCCCGAGGCCGAAGTCCCTCCCGCCGGCTTCCTGCGCCCGAGGATTAGGACGCACAAAGGGCCGGCCGGAGGCAGCCCAGATGGCAGGGCTAAGCCTCCGAGGGAGCGCGCTCCAGCCGCCGCCCGCGCAGAAGGGGCGCCCGGAGGCGCGCGCCCTGCACGTGGGTCCGGGGTCCCCGGCCCCGCTCGCGCACGGAGCCCCCCGCACCCACTCGGGCGGGCACCTGCTCCCCCGCTCTCAAAGGCCACCACTGTCGCGCAAACCGCGCTCGCTCGCCGCGGGCGGGTCCGACGGAAAAGTTCCCGGCGGCACTTCCCACAGGTGTCCGTCTCCCAGACGAGCCGAGCGACCCGGGCGAGGGCGAGGCGGGCGGCCCCGCGCGCAGCCCTCCCCGCCCGCGCCTCGCCGCCCCGCCCGGGGGTCTCGGCCCGCCGCCCGCCCAGTGGGGTCCGTGCGGCCGCCTCACCTGCAACCCGGGCCGGCCCCGCCCGAGGCCTCGGCGTCCCCCGGCGCCGCTCCGCTGGCTCCGCGCGCCGGCCCACGGGCTGCTGGGCGGCCGTCGCTTCCTGCTCACCTACGATTGGCCGGCCCGGGGGCAGAGCGGCCTCTATTTACATAAAGGACTAGCCGGCCCTCCTCGGGGGTTGCCACCCCGCCCCGCCCCCCAGCCTGCGCCGGCGGGGCGGGGGCGCCCTCGGGGGCGGGGGCAGCGCTCCGGCCAATCCGCGGCCCCGGGGAGCGCGGGGGCGGGGCGCGCCCGGCCCGCCCCGGCTCACCTGCGCGCACCTGGCCGCAGGACAGCACGCCGCGCCCAGTGCCCCGCCGCCTCCTGGAAGAGGAAATAGTTCCCGGAACGCCTGCCAGCCAGACCGGAGGGGCCCCGCGGGCGGCTCCTCCCGAGGGTGCGAGCCCTGGAGACCGCGGCGGACGCTGGGCCGGGCCTCGCCCTCCCGCACCACGCAGTGGAGTGGTCCTGGGGGCGAGGCCTTCCCTGGGGTGGGCCCCAAACCAGGACCCTCCTCCGTGTCCACTGCGGAGGCCAGCAGCGGCGGGAGTTTCTAGCTCAAGCCAGGGAGAGGATTGGAGAGGCGGGAGCCGAAGGGCTAGAACTGCGCCCCCCGCAGCAGCTGGCAGACCCCCGGGGCGCAGCGTCAAACTAAACCGACCCGGCGCCTCCCGGCCACCCTTGTGTCCTGAGCCGCCCCGCTCTGGTGAAGAGAGGCCCTCCCTCCCTCCGCCGCCCCAAAGCGCGCGCCTCCCAGTGAGTGGCCAAACAGGAGAGGCTGGGGGTCTTTCCGGCATATCCAACCACGCACAAAAATAAAGAGATCCGTTTTTAATGGCTTTGGCTTTATGGCAAGAAGCAGGCACCCTCTCGTTAAAGGCACAGAGTCCTCTCTTCTGGGCCCCCTCCTCTGCCCGGGTCTGAGTTCCGAGGGGGTCCCTGCAAGGCGGCGATCCCGGGTGCGGGCGTTGGCAGCGTGCAGCGGCCAGGCAGGGAGGAGGGGAGTGGTGTCAGGCACCAGGGCCAAGGTCCAGACCACAGGTCAGAGTCCAGGCCCGGGAGGCCGCTGGATGGTCCCTGAGAACAGACAGTCCAGGTCTCCCCAGGGCAGGCTGCAGCCCCTCCGCCCCCAGCCGCGTGGTCAGTGCTCCAGGTCCCTGGGCAGCGTGAAGTCCCTGAAGCTGTAGAAGGAGATGTCGCCATGGTCCACCAGCGCGAAGAGCAGGGGGACGTCCCCGCTCTGGTAGGACAAGCGCTTGAGGCTGCAGAGGTCGGGGACCGGCTCATCGAACCTGCACGGACAAGGGCTGCTCTCAGACCTGACCATCCTGGGCTCTGAGCCCCTCCCAGGCTCCCAGGCAAGGAAGATGGGGGCCAGGGGTGGGGGAGCAAGATTTCTAGCATCTGGGCTCTTCTGCCTGCAAACTGGACACCGGGGAGCCCCCCAGCCCTGGGTCTGCAGGGGGCCGGAAGAGAATTCTGAGCCCTGTGCCCACGAACCCCACCGACCTACATCCCTTCTGCTGCACAGGGACTAACGCAGGGGAGAAAGACCTTGTGTGGGCCACTAAACCTCTCCGGACTTCAGCTTCCTCTCAGGCCATCGGCACCCTGGCCAGAGAGCTGGCAGCAGCCTGGGGCGGTGCTCGCCTGGCTCGTACCCGCTAATGCACATCCGGGCATAGGGTTTGCCAGGGTTGTTCTTGCGGAACGTGGCCACGGCATCAGCCTGGTAAACATCAAAGCTGATCTCCAGGTCCCCGGCCTTGCCCTGCAGCCTGCGGAGATGGGAAACCTCAGGACACAGACTGTCCCCGTCACCCTTCCTGCCCACCACCAGTTCCAGGAAGCCGTGTCCTCTAAGGGGAGGGGCTCCCGACTCCCAGGTTAAACCCACCTGGCGTTGCTCCCCGTGCCCTGGCCGTGAATGGGTACCAGCTGTGGCACGTGGGCAGGGGTCCCTGGCAGGCTCCTCCAGCTCACAACCAACCGCAGGAGCTACATCCCGGCCGCCTACCCCCCAGGGCAAGCAGGGTACCGCGAGCACAGCTCGGACACTCACCGAGCGCCTCCGTCAGCCAGGTGCGCTGTCTGCAGCACAGAGATGTGGTGAAGCACGGCGGCTGCGGAGAGCAAGAGCCAGGGGTGGGCAGGCGGCCAGTCACCCGCGCTCCCGCCATTTCTGCGTCTGCCACCCCCTTTTCCCGGTTAGATTTTCAGTACCTCCGAACCTGTTCATGCGTTTAGCTCAGACCATTCTGGCCCCATTAGGGCCCCGTGCTCAAAATTAAGAGCACAGAGCAAGCCTTCCTCTACCTCCTTGTTCTGCCAAGAGGCGGGAGGAGAGAGGACCACAGCTCACCGGGGGCAGAGGCGCCCACGTCACCGTTTGTGGTTTCAAGGACCGCTTGGCCTGACACACCGCCTCTCCCCCTTGCCGTGCGGGCCCTCTGCTGCCACCCGAGGATCTGGCTGTCCCTGTGGGCTCCTCTATCTTGTGCCTCAACCAGACCTGGCCACTCCACACCCCTTCGGAATCCTGACTCCTCAGCCGTCAGAAGCCTGCCGGGCTGTAGCCGGGGGAGAGGGTACCTGGAGAGCCCGCCTGGCCAGGGCTCAGCAGCGGGGTGACGGGCTGGCCCCACAGGTGCGGCGGCCGGCTCTGGCTCCTCTCCCGGTGCCGCCTCTGCAGCAGCTCCTTGTAGGCCCGCCAGCCGGAGCAGCGCCGCACCTCGGGGTCCGCGTTCACGTCCTCCCGGAAGTGCCGCGCCTCCACCTGCTGCTCCCGCTCCCTCCGGGACAGCTTCTCCTTCCGCTGGTTCAATTGCTGGCACCAGGAGCTGGCATCTGTGTCCCGCCCCGCGACATTGGCGGGGAGCAGCTCTGGGGCCGGGGCTGGCAGGAGGGTGTGGCGGCTGTCTGGCGCCATGTTGGGGAAGGAGATCTGGGAGAAGTCCCAGCGCGGCTTAGCAGCCCCCGTGACCCCATTCTCCACGTGGCCGCTCTGCCGGCTGCACCCCATCCCCTCCCCGGCCAGGCCAGGGCAGGGCTCCAGGGACCCCGGAAGAGGAAAGGGGCTGGCTGGGCCCTGTCCTGGGCTCAACTCCTGGGGTTTCTCCTCCACACGTGGGCCGTGCTGGCTGTAGGAAGGAGGGCCGGAGGCCGCCAGGATCTCAGGCTGCAGGGAGTCGTCCGGCGCCTTGGCCTTCTTACTCACGGACCTGAGGGACGCGGGAAAAGCAGTGCATCTGCTCCGGTGGCTGAGCTGCACTCGGCCCCTGGTGTTGCCCTGAGCCTATGTGCCGCCGCCCGAGGCCGGCTCTAAGGCTGAGCCCTCCCGGGTGGCCTTGGGGGGGAGCACTACCGAGAGCTCGAACTCCTCCTCTTCTTCTTGCCAGGACCGTCCTCCAAGAGCTGGGCGCTGCCATCCAAGTTCAGCTGCCTCTCGTATGGGGACAGGACAGAGCTGTGGGTGACAACGGTGGGGGCTGCCTCTTGTAAGGGGACAGGACAGAGCTGTGGGTGACAACGGTGGGGGCTGCCTCTCGTAAGGGGACAGGACAGAGCTGTGGGGTGACAGTGGTGGGGGCTGCCTCTCGTAAGGGGACAGGACAGAGCTGTGGGGTGACAACGGTGGGGGCTGCCTCTCGTAAGGGGACAGGACAGAGCTGGGGGTGACAACGGTGGGGGCTGCCTCTCATAAGGGGACAGGACAGAGCTGGGGGTGACAACGGTGGGGGCTGCCTCTCATAAGGGGACAGGACAGAGCTGGGGGTGACAATGGTGGGGGCTGCCTCTCGTAAGGGGACAGGACAGAGCTGTGGGGTGACAACCGTGGGGGCTGGGGACAATAGCTCCACCTCTGCACCCTGATGCCCAAGCGGGACTGGTCAGGGCCCCGGACGGATCTGCACAAGGGGTCCATAGAGGGAGTCCACAGACGCCCCCAGGCCTCTGGAGTTAGGACTCCCAGAGTCAGCAATAAGTGATTTATCACTGGTGAGAAAAACCACATAGAGCCAGAAGGCTTGGAAAATACAGAAAAATTAAAATGAAAACTAAAAGCTCTACCAGCCTCATATGTATACACTAACCTTGCTCCATGCTTTTTTTTTCTGACAAAAATGGCAATGCACCAACAAAATGCTTTGCAATCCCTTTTTTTTTGTTTGTTTAATAATATTACTACGGACATGACCCCTTATCACTACAGCCACTGGCCACAAGTAGCTATTTAAGTTCAATTTAAATCAGTCAAAATGACTCAGTGCCATGGCTGCACAGGTCATGTCCGGTGCACAGACAGGACATGCTCACAGAAAGTCCGAGTGGACGTCCTGCTCTGAGGGACGCACTCCTGGTAATCCGCCTGCACTTGCTGAACACACAGACCTCCAAGCACACCGACTCGGAGTTCCCGGGGAAGTGCCAGCTCTGCAGGGCCGTGATTTTGCCGTTTCCAGCAACGGACCCAGGGCCTGGCACCGGCCAGTGGTCAGCGAGTGCTAGTGCACGAACAGTGTGGCGTGCGCACATCCACGCTACTTCTCTAGGCCAGACCGCACCCTTAGGGAGTAAAGGATGCGTCTCTTCAGGTTTTCACGACATACCGTCAAAGTCTGAGGCTCTTAGCAACGCTGGATTCTAAGGTGACAGAGAACACCCACCCTCGCACGAGTCACCTGAAACCTCACTCAACTGTGAATTCCTTCCTTGGTCCTACTCGGCAAATCTGCCCCCACACCTCCCAGGAGCCAGGTGCAGTCCCACCCTGCATCCCAGGACACACAGTGAGCTGCGGGGCTCAGTGGTCGCCTGATGACCCAGGACAAAGCACAAGGACGGGACCTGTCCCCACAAGCCCTCCACAGAGCACTTCCACCTCGGGCCCCTGGTCCACGTCCAGGGAGCTGCGCTCTAGGTGCAGGGCCACTTTCCTCCTGAGGCTCACTGGCCAGGTCCCAGGACGGGAATGAGCGGGAGGGCGAAGGCACAGGGGCTGACCTTGGATGGAACCGTCGAACCACGTAGCCCAGTCTCTTCAGGTGGCTGAAGACCTCGGAGGTTAAAAAAGAAAAAGGAAGAAAAGCTCAGATACCCACTCTTTAACACACGAAAGAGTTTCTGCAGATACAAGATTTCCTGCACCCCTTCCACTCCTCTCCTGGACACCCCCAGACTTCCAAGCCTGGGACTGGCTGGACCACACGCCATCGTACACGCCCCCAAAGCAAGGTCTGTCTCTCCAGTACCTGTCCTTTCCCAGGCCTTACTCTGGGCACGAGTGACACGCAGCAATTTCTAGGCTTACGTGCAAGTTCCAAAAAGCTGGTAGCAACGGATGCAACAAAGAACCGTGCCCACGCCCACGGTGCCAGACGCGGGTGAGAACCGTCTCTGTGTCGCGTCTCCTGCCCCTGTATCACAGGGACGAATCGGGGCGTCTCCCCCACCCTGCCTGGCCTCTCAGCAAAGGGAAACGCAGCTCAGCCCCCCTCCCTGACTTCTCCTGCGCCCCTGGACACTCTCGGTCCACTCCTGTTCCCCGTCTTTCCCTAACCGCCCCAGGTCCCAGGCCCCGCGCTCTCCTCCGGCCACGTGCTCCTGTGCCCACGCGTGTCCCTCGCCTTAACCTCTCCCCACACTCTCGGCCTCTGCCCAGCTCCCTGCGTGAATGTCCAACAGGCACCTCGAAATTAACGTTTCTGACACCCAGCTCTTCCGACCCACCCCAGCCTCCCGCGTCCGCTCCCCTCCCCGGTTTCCCCAGCTAGAAAACAATGTCACCGCTGTTCAGCCATCAAATCACGGGCCTGACCCTCAATTCTCTTCTTCAACTCTGACGTCCAGTCCATCGGCGAAGTCCCGTCCCTTCTTCCTCCAACTCATTTTTGAGGTCTGTCCACTTCCTGTCCCTCCCTGCTAGCCGGCCACACCAACACCCCAGGCCAAACATCTCTGCCTTCTTTCACCCGGATGAACATCCCAGACTCTCGCTTCTCCCCACAACGTCCCTGTCACTATCCAGCTGCCAGCAGGAGGGCCTGGGCCTCCCTGGTCTGTGCCATGCGTAGCCCGGCACAGGGCCTGGCTCCCCACTGGCCAACACTCACGGGCTCAGCGGGTGGCTGAGGGTGGCAGGTACCTGGTACTTGAGGAAGGCCACAGGGTCCTGGGCCAGCAGCAGCTGGTACGCCTCCTGGATGGACAGCGGCAGGTCTTGGTGGAACAGCTGGATGGAGCCCTGGAAGTGCGGCCGGAGCTCAGCCCAGGGGAGCAACCTCCTGCCTCCAGTGGCACCGGCGCTCCCACCGCGAGGACGGCAAGCACGCGGCTGCCCCCCAGGACGGCGGGCAGGCTGCCCGGCCCCCTGCACCTGCACCTGCACTAGCCACCCGGCCGCACCGCTAGAAACCGCGCCCCCCACTCCTCCCTTCCCGCCCCGGGCCCCACTCACACACTCCAGCAGGTACAGGGCCTCTTCGGGGTGAAGCCGCTGCCGGCCCTGCTCCGAGAAGCCCATGGTCTGCCAGAATTTACCCTGCGTGGGAGCCGGATCCAGGGTCACCCAGGGGCCGCGCGGGCGCGGGTCCCCCTGCCCCGGGGCGCCCCGCTCACCGCAGGGGACGTCAGCTCCACGAAGCCCTCTTCCGCTCTCCACTCGGCGGCCACCAAGCTGCCCCTGCCGGGCGGCGGGGACTCGTGGGTCTCGGGCCGCCCGCGAGTGCCCGCGCGCCCTCCCGCCCGCCGCCCGCCCCGGGCGCACCCGCCCCCTCACACGCGCTCCACGCGCTCCTCGGCCAGCAGTCCCCACAGCTCCTCGCGACACCGGCGCAGGCGCTTGGCCTGGGCCGCCGAGCCGTCGGGGACGAAGTCCTTGGGGCCATGCGACCGCTGGGGCAGCTTCTGGGGCCGCGAGCGGGCGGCGAGCAGTTCCCGGGCGCTGGGGGAGCAGAGGACGCGCCGTCAGCGCCGCGCGGCCGGGGCCCGCGTGCCCCTAGCCGCGCCCGCCCCGCAGACTGCCCGCCCCACGGCGAACCTCAGCACGCGCCCCGCGGGCACCTCCACGGTCGCGGGCTCCGGCTCCGGCTCCGGCTCCATGCAGCCGCCGAGTGCGCCTGCGCGCGCCCCGCCCCGCGCCGGCACTCCGCGCGGCCCTAGCGCCCGCGGATTCCCCCGCGCCGCCTCCCAGAACCCGCCGGACTCCCGGCTGTGCTGGGTCCTAGCGCCGGCCCGACCCCACGTGCCGGGACTCCCTGGGCTAGGGAGTTGAGCTTGCAGGTTTCTGGGCGCGCAGGACCCCTCGGAGCTCCCTTCGAGTGACACCTGAGCGATGGGCGTCCGGAAGAGCTGCGTGGCTAGTCACACGTGGGACCCTCCCCTCCGCGGCCCTGCGCTGCTCTGGGCAAGTAGGGGAGGGGGCTCCAGGGACCGAGCGCTTTGCAAACCAAGGGTGGTCTGGGGCGGTCCGGGGAGGTTCGGGGTTCTTGCTGGCTCTTGGGCCCCTTTCAGGGGAGCGCTGAGGCCCGTTCCCGCGGGTGGGGGGCGCTGTCCGGCCCACGATGGTGCTGAAGCGCCGCCCCAGTCCTCCTGCGGCACCTCCTCAAGGGTGGGGTCCCAGCGGCCGCCCCGTGGGCCGCGCCGGCACCGTCCGCTAGGTGGCACCATTGCTCCGGCCAGCGGCTGTGGGTCCCCGACTCCGCGCGCGGAGGTCGTCGCGGGAGCCCCCGCGAGGGGCGAGGGGCGTGGAGGAACAGGACTCCCCAAGGAGGGTCCTGCGACCTCGTCGGCCACACCCCGGGCAGCTCCTCCTGGAGTCTGGATCCCACAGCCCCGTGTCGCCCCGGCTGCACAGCCCAGACGCAGCGGCGCGAAGGCTCGCCCCCAGTCCCCCCGCTGCGGTTCACCTGCGCGCATGCGCCGATCCAGCCGGCGCCCCGGGTCCGGACTGGCGCGACGGGGGCGGGGCCGGCGCGCTGGGGGCGGGGCCGCGGGCGCTGACTGACAGCCCGACTGCGCGGCCGGGACGGTCCCTCCGCTCCCGATCCGGCGGGAGGGGGGAGGGGCGGGATTTCCTGCGGGAGGCGCTGAGCCGGCGGTGGCAAAGGAGGAGAAAGGGGGCAGGGGCGCCGCGGGAGCCAGCGTCCCGAGTGCCAGGGGCCGAGCGGGGCCAGCCGGACCCCCGGCGGGGCGGCGGGGGAGAGGTGAGCCTGCGGGACGGGGCTGGGGTCGGCACCCTCGGGGGCGGGCACTAACTAACTTTTCGTGCGGGAGCGGCGGGCGCCCGTGCTCTGCGCGCCCCCCGCGCGCCCCCTCTTTTCCGTCCTCCCGCATCTGCCTCCCGGTGCCTCCCGCCGCTTTGTTCCCGGGGCAGGGCCGGGCTCGGCCGGGGGCTGCGGCGCTGGAGGGGCATTCCGGGGGGCGGGGGAGCCGGCCGGACCCTGGGCACTGCCCGCCGCGCCTTCCCCGCCCTGGCGCGGGCCGCGGGCCCCGAGGCGGGTGCCCTGGGCTTGGGCTCGGCGCGCGTGGGGAGTGAGGGGCTCCCGGCCGGGGCCCCCAGGCCTTCGCGGGTCTCCTGCCGCAAGTCTCTGGCAGCAAACTCGCCGCCACTGAGGAACTGACGTAAGCCTTTCTGCGGAGAAGCCGAGGGTCCGGGCGTCGGGTTCAGGCTGGGGGGTGGGCGCGGGAGCCCCAGGGGCCGGCGGCGCCCGGCTCCGTGTCTGTCCCCAGTCCCAGCTGCTCCCCAGCCCCACACGGGGGTGAGGCTGGGCCAGCAACAGGTGCTGGGAGGCTTCTCAGCCCAGCGTGTAAACCTGCCCCCGGAAATGGGGGAGCCGTAGGGGCCCCCTCCACCCCCTGGGGCTGGACGCCCCGCTGGGAAGGTGAGCCCAGGTAGGGGGGAAGCTGGGGGCAGGCGCGGCTCCCGGGAGTGACCCCTGCCCAGCCCCACCCCCTGGACCAACAGTTGTTTGTGGGTGCTGGTGCCGCGGGCTGCTGGCGTGGCCTGCCCGTGTGTGTCGTGCTGCCAAGGCCCCTCCTGCCCAAGGTTGAGGTGCTGCCAGGTGCCCCAGGGCCACGGTGACTCAGCCTCCCCCTCCCAAATGCCACCTCCCCCCTACACACACTGGGCGGGCATGGCGGCTCCCTTTCCTCTTGGTGTGGCTCGGCCCCTCCTTTCCCGCCGAGGGGCTGCCAGGGTGGGGTTTATATTTTTGCGGGGGGTGGGGGTGGGGGGGAGTTCCCCGGCAGTCCTGTCCAGTCTGGCTCAGTCTCTGCCCCGAATCCGGGACCCTTGCAGGCTCCGGCCCGGCTGTCGGCAGAGGCTCCGCACCATTTCCCGACCCCGAGACGGGCCACCGCTGCAGCCTGAGGCCCGAGGGAATGCGCTCCAGGTGGGCACTGGTGCTCCCAAGCCAAGCCGGGAAGATTGGCGCGCCCAGTCCCAGCCCTTCCTGGGGCCGTCGGAAGCTGCAAGCTGATATCTGTCCAGATTCCCACAAAGCCTCCACCCCCTCGGAGACCGGCTTTCCTGCCTGTGGCGGCAGCTCCGGGAGCACCTGGCGGGAGTATCCGTCCCTGCTGGGGACACCAGACGCGCTGCCCTCCACGGCCATGGCCACCTGACGCCTCACCTCGGACCAGTTTCCCTGCCTCTGCCCTGGACCCCCAAGGCCGGAGCCGGAATGGGTCGTGAACAGGACTTGATCCTCGCAGTCAAGAACGGAGATGTGACTGGCGTTCAGAAACTGGTGGCCAAGGTCAAGGCCACAAAGACGAGTGAGTACCCGAAGGGGGTGGCCGCCCAGCTGAGACCCTCCCCTGGGCGCTCAGGCTGCAGAGAAGCTGGGGGCGGGGTGGGGGCTCGCTGACCTGCAGGCGCGAGGAGGGAGGACTGTCTTGCTGGGGGTGCGCGCTGCACCTGCCTGGGAGAACAGAGAGGAAGCCGGTCCCTCCTGGCCGCAGGGTCTTTGCCTGCAAGGGGCAGGTTGATTGGCGGTTGCTCCGATTTCTGCTGCGGGCCAGACCGGCCTGGGCACTGGGCAGAGCAGGAAACAGCAGACCAGCATCGCTGGCTGCCCAGCTGCCTTCCACTGCGCCCTTTGGAGCTGCGGGGTCTCTGGCAGAGGGAGGGGAAAGAGCAAAGAGATCAGCCGCCCCCCCCCCATGCACATGCACACAGCGAATCAGTACATCTCTGCCTTGGCCTCTTCACGTCATAGGGCGGCGTGGGGGGGGGTGTCTGCAAGTTAGCTTTTCAAAAAAGCATTTTGTTTAAAAAAAATTCCAGCGCTGCCTAACCACTTGCTGGAGCTCCTTTCTCCCCTGATTACCTGCCTGTGTCCCTGGGATAGGTGTGGCCAGAGCTCATTTTCTGGAAGTTTCCACGTAGCCTGGGGGCTCTAGTTCTGACCAGGCCGTGGGAGCCCGATGTGCAGTGGCCGCGTCTGGGCTGCATCTCAGGTTGCTAGAAGTGGGGATCCCCACCCCTGCGAGAATAGACAGCCGGGTTTCACCCCGACCCCTCTGAGCCGTCCCGGGAGGCCCTGGGGCTGTGGCCTCGAGGTCCTAGGTAGGACCAGCAGAGCAGGAGGTGGTCCCTGCCGCCTGACGGGCGGAGGAGAGGTTCCCCGGAGGGAGGGTCTCCCTTCAGGGGCTGGGGCTCACACCGGTGTAGGAAGGAGTCCCCTGGGCTATCGTAAAGGCATCTTATCCTCACCCACATCTAAGGGTGTGGGTGCTGAAGGGAGGATCTGGCTGGCACACGCCCACCTGCACCCCAGGGTTGGGGAGACCCAGGGCACGGAGAGGGGGCACCGTTGGGGTGCTCCCTGTACCCCAGGGAAGTGGCTGCAAGGGGAGCCCGCCGTGAGAAGGAGGTCCCAGGAGAGAGGCCCAGGAATGGGAGTCACTCCCCCTCCCCCTCCCCCTCCCCCTTCACCTCTGTGTTGCTTTTGGCGAGCTGCCCAGTGGGGCCTTGGTCAGGCCGATGCTGGCCTCACAGCCCTGGGCCCTGGAAGTGGGGCCCACAGGAGGGCAGGCAGGAGGGGCTTGGAGGCTGGTGGCGGGAACCGCGTACCCCAGCTCCAGGAAGGATTGTGGGGGAAGAAAGAGGTGCCTTCCTCAGTCTGAAAGGGAGACTTCGCCTTGCACCTGCACCCAAGGGGCGCTGCAGGCCCCGGGGGCAGGGCCCTGGGACGGCTTTCCTAGACCTGCGAGAAGCTGGGGACAAACGTGAGCGCACAAGGTGACTTTCGCAAACTGCCGTTCATGGAGTGTTCTGTTCCCTTGGCTTCCCTGTGAGATAGGTGTTTCCATTTCACACGTGGGGAAGGTGATACTCAGAGAGGGTTAGTGACCTGCCCGAGGTCACACAGCCGTCCTGGGGCAGATGCGTGGCCCTCCCCCCACGCCCCCACCCTTGGCCGCCTGTCACAGTCACCTGGCGTTGTTCCGAAGGTGCAGGCTCCTGGCCTCCCCCGAAATCGGAGTGGTCAGAAAGGGCCTGGGCTCTGCAGAGGAGCGAGTTCTCCTGGGGGTTCGCACGCAGTTCCAGAAGCGGAGCTGGGAACACCTGCTCCCTACCCGAGGCGCAAAGAAACTGCCCCCCCGGGGGGGGGGGTCAGCGCTCGCCTTTTTCCTTTTGGGGGTGTGGCCAGAGCTTTCTGGTGCCCCAAGAGAGGCGCTCCCCCAGCCGGTCCCTCTGGTACCTGGCCTGCCCTCCGTGCCCCTACCAGGTGCTGTTCAGGGGAGGGGCGTGTTGCCCTGGCCTTGTCCCCACCCTGTCCCCTCCCTGCTCTCCTTTCCAAGCATCTCCTCTGGCCAGAGGAAATGGAGTGGGCTGGGGTGGCCGGCTGAGCTCACATCCTCCGCCCGAGCCTAAATCAGGAGCAACCCTTCCACCCCCAGAGCCAGCCCGGGAAGGTTGTGCTGCCACGGAAGTGCCTGGAGCCACTGCCAGGAACACGACCCTCCACCCTCCCGCCAAGGTCCCGGCCCAGTCGCTGCGAGTCCCCCCCCCCCCCCCCGCCTTTCCGGCCATTGTTCTGGAAAGAACAGAGCCACCCAGCTGGCCCTGCCCCTGTTCCTGTGTCCCTCCTGTCACGTTGTCCTGCTCCGTCCTCACGGCCCAGGCAGGGTGAGGGCCTTTCTGTGTCTCCCCTGCTGACCCCAGCGTCTCCACTGAGGCTCGGAGAGGCACCATGGCCAAGGTCACATAGCCGGGGAGAGGCAGAGCACTGTGAACCGGGCACTTCCTGCCCCACGAGCCCCAGCTCAGTCCCCTGCTCCAAGAGGACTTCCCAGGGGGGCTAGCGAGGACTGGGAAGGCTGGTGCTCCCCAGCGGCCCCCACCCTTTCGCGCTCGTGTCCCCCCTTGTTCTGTTTGCCTTTCTGGTGTGGCTCTAAATGTAGCCGGCCCCTCCCTCCGCATCCCCTGCTCCCCACTGCGGGGTCGGCCCCTCCCTGCTGGAATGAGGCCCTGTCTTGCCCGGGGCTGCTGGGGTATTCAGGGGCCCACCAGGGCCTGGGGGACAGGCCTGGACCAGCGTGCTTGGCCCCCTGCCCGGCCTGGGTTGAGCCAGGCTCCCTCCTTCCCGGCAGGGGTGGGACCCCACAGGAGGCAGGGCCCAGGCGGCGGGCTTTGCCCTTCCCCACCCCAGCACTTCAAGGACTGCCCCCACCCGTGCCATGAACCCTGCCCCTGGGAGGTGGTGCCTCCGGCTGCCTGGCACCAGCCGGCAGAGCCCTGCCTGGGACACGGACATCCCAGCCCGGAGCCTGCGGGTGCTGAGTCAGCAGGTGCTTCCCAGACGGGGTCCTGAGGAAAGTGGAGGACGCGGACAGCTCCTAGCGTTGTGCCAAGGAGCGCCGCGTGGTGACAGCGCCCGCCTTCGGCAGGCTGACGAGGGTCAGGCGCCGCACGTGGGCGGGCCCTGGGATCAGCCCGTGTCTCAGATGAGGTCCCTGAGCCTGAGGGGTTAAATGGCACCCCGAGATCACACAGCTAGCACGTGGCAGAACCAGGGCTGGGTGCAGGCCTGTCTGGTGGCCCCGAGGGAGGCCCCTCAGCCCAGGCCGGCGTCGTCCCTGCTCTTGAACACCTGGGCCCTGTCCTTTCTCCGCCTGCCTGCCGCCCCCTGCCTGGTCGGACAATGTGACTCTGACTCGCTGCCTGGCCGCGCGGGCAGGAATGTGAACCATGCGCCCGTGGGCCTGTCCGCGGAGGGGACATCACGCCAGTCCCCCGCCCCCCCAGCTCTATAAACAAGCCGGGCCAGGCTGGGCCGGGAGGCCAGGCCACTCCGTATCGGCTCCCTTGCTTCGCGCCCTCCAGCCGAGGGCGACCGGGCCAGGGTGGGGAGCCACAGGGGCGGCGCACGTCCAGGGCCATGGGGCAGGTGCTTTTCTGCACGCCGAGAGGTCAGCTGGCTTGGAGGGGGAGGGGGAAGGGTGCTGGAGGAGGGTGTGAGGACGGGCAGGTGGGTCGCAAACCCTGATGACCCCTGCCCTGGCCCCCAGAGCTCCTCGGCTCCACGAAGAGGCTCAATGTCAACTACCAAGACGCTGACGGGTGAGTGTGTCCCCTGCCCTCCCGAGAGCTGCTGGGGGCGGGGAGAGGGGTGGGAGGGGAAGACCCAGGGGCCCGGTGCCCCTTTCTCCCAGCCTAGAGTTGGCCCTGGAAGTGGATTTGCTGGGAGCTCTGCATGCTGCCACCCACCTGCCCTTAGAGCTAGCCCTGAGTGAGGGGAGGGCCCGTCCTCCCTGGAGGGTAGGAGCCCTCGGGCCCCTGCTCCCACGGCCCCCTCCCCTGGCCAGACAAACGGGCCTCTCAGCGCAGACACTGAGCCCTTTCATGCTACGGCCCGGCTGCTGCTGCTCCCACGGCAGGGCTGCCGCAGGCGGCGGGCGGGGAACCCGTGCTTGGCAGCCCCCAGCTCGGGTTTGGGTCTGCAAGCCCAGGATTCGGGGGCCGAGGGCCACTGACACCACAGTGTGTGTCCCCCATGCCAGCTTCTCCGCCCTGCACCACGCTGCTTTGGGGGGCAGCCTGGAGCTCATCGCTCTGCTGCTGGAGGCCCAGGCCACCGTTGACATCAAGGACAGCAATGGTGAGACCCCAGGGTGCCCCCGGCCCGGAGAAGACGGGGCCCGCCCCATACCGTGTGCCCAGGGCTTGCAAACGGCCCCTCCCTCATCACCAGCGCCTTCCTGGCTGGTGGCCGGTGCTGACCCCCCATTATTCAGACAAGGAGGTTGCACCGCTGTCCTGGGGTTACCACATCAACTGGGGTGGGGCCAGGGATACTGCGACTTGGCCCCAGGCAGCCAGAGCGCCCCCTGAGCAGCCTTGGCTGAAGCCAGCATCACACGGCTTGGGGCTGTCCCCCTTCCCACCAGGCATGCGCCCGCTACACTATGCAGCCTGGCAGGGCCGCCTGGAGCCCGTGAGGCTGCTGCTGCGGGCCTCGGCAGCGGTCAACGCCGCCTCGCTGGACGGGCAGATCCCCCTGCACCTGGCGGCGCAGTATGGACACTACGAGGTGGTACGTGAGCTAGAAGCCGGGGTTGGTGCGGGGTCTGGGCCAGCGGCCAGGCCCCCTCACTCAGCTCCCCCACTGCAGTCAGAAATGCTCCTCCAGCATCAGTCCAACCCCTGCTTGGTCAACAAGGCCAAGAAGACGCCCCTGGATCTGGCCTGCGAATTCGGGCGGCTCAAGGTGAGGCCTGCAGCCCCTGCGGTGCTGGGTCCCGGGCGTGGGGTGGGGGGGGTCTCAGGAGGAGGCTCTGATTGGGTGCTGGGTGCTGCAGGTGGCCCAGCTGCTACTGAATAGCCACCTGTGTGTGGCACTGCTGGAGGGCGAGGCCAAGGACCCATGTGACCCCAACTATACCACGCCCCTGCACCTGGCTGCCAAGAACGGCCACAGAGAGGTTATCAGGTACCCCCAGGCCCCCCCGTGGGGCCGTGGATGCTGCGGGGTCCTCTGGCTGCCCTCCCCCTTGCTCTCCAGCACCCAGCCCCCGCCGGCCCTGTGACTCACTCTGCCCACCACAGGCAACTCTTGAGAGCCGGGATTGAGATCAACCGCCAGACCAAGACCGGCACGGCGCTGCACGAGGCCGCCCTGTACGGCAAGACCGAGGTGGTACGGCTGCTCCTGGAGGTGGGTGTGCACGCCGGGCCTCTGCCAGGTGCCGAGACGGGCGGGGCAGGCACAGGGCGAGAGGACTGTGCCGCCGCAGAGGGCCGTTTTGTGTGAGTGGCGGGAAAGAGGCCCCACTGCTGTTGGAACAGCGCCAGGGCCGTGTGGCTGGGAGTGGACCGACTGGTTCAAGCCCGGGGCTGCCTCTCGCCGGCCGCGGGACCTTGAGCTTATCCTTGGCCCGGTCTCTGAGCTTGCGGTTCCTTGTCTGTAAAATCTTACTCCCGGGTGGCTGTGAGGATTAGGAGAGAGGACGGGGCAGGCACTCTACGCATGCTCAGGCCGCCCTGTGCTGCCAGGGAGGTGTGGACGTGAACATCCGGAACACGTATAACCAGACGGCGCTGGACATCGTGAACCAGTTCACCACCTCCCAGGCCAGCCGGGAGATCAAGCAGCTACTGCGGGGTGAGCGAGGGGGAGACCGGAGCACCCCCGCGGTGCCGGGACGCGGAGGGGGAGCGGATGGCTGGGGGAGGGGGAGCGGATGCCGGGGGGTGCTGGGGGGGGGGTTGGACAGATGCCCTCAGGCCCCTCGGTGACACCTGCCCTCCCCTCCTCCTAGAGGCCTCGGGGGTCCTGAAGGTCCGGGCTCTCAAGGATTTCTGGAACCTCCACGACCCCACTGCCCTCAACATCCGGGCGGGGGACGTCATCACGGTGAGGGAGCCCGGGCAGCCTGTCCTCCTCTCCTTTCCCAAAGATTTCTTTCTTTATTTGAAAGTCAGAAAGACAGAGAGAGATGCTCCATCCGCTGGTTCACTCCCCAGATGGCACAATGGCTGGGGCTGGGCCAAGCTGGAGCCAGGAGCTTCTTCTGGGTCTCCCACGTGGGTGCAGGGGCCAAGCACTTGGGCCGTCCTCCACTGCTTTCCCAGGCCATTAGCAGGGAGCTGGATTGGAAGTGGAGCAGCCGGATTTCTAATCGGCACCCGTCTGGGATGCTGGCATTGCAGGCCGTGGCTCTCCCTGCTGTGCCACAGCGCCAGCCCCGACAGTCTCTCCTTTTCAAGTACAAGTTGGTGCTGTGGCTTCTTTACACACTTACTGTGCTAAGGTCTTTACACACACGCACCTCTGTTTCTTTCCAAATCTAGGGGAAGTAGGTGTTACTACTTTGTTGTTGTTGTTAAAGATTTATTTACTTGAAAGGCAGAGTTAGAGAGAGAGGGAGAGGTCTTCCATCTGCTGGTTCACTCCCCAAATGGCTGCAATGGCCGGGGCTGGGCCAGGCCAAAGCCAGGAGCCAGGAGCGTCTTCTGGGTCTCCCATGTGGGTGCAGGGGCCCAAGGACCTGGGCCATCTTCTACTGCTTTCCCAGGCCATAGCAGAGAGCTGGATCGGAAGTGGAGCATCTGGGTCTCGAACTGGCGCCCATGTGGGATGCTGGCGTTGCAGGCCGCGGTTTAACCCACCTGGCCACAATGCTGGCCCCAATTAAGTAAAGTGTTGCCTGGGGGCGCACTGCCAGCAGGCTGCTGAGCTGGGTTTGTGTTCAGGTTGACTGGGGCTCGAGTGCGCATTCCCTGAAGGCACGTGGGGAGTGGGGCTGACTTGGGCTGCGGAGGCCAGCTCTGTGGGGAGAGGGGAGGGTAGGACTGGTCCACGCTGCAGGGACAGCCGCCTGCTCCGAGCAGGGAGTGACCACCCCCCCCCACCTGCCGCAGGTGCTTGAGCAGCATCCTGATGGCCGCTGGAAGGGCCACATCCACGAGAGTCAAAGGGGCACGGACCGTGTGGGCTACTTCCCCCCGGGCATCGTCGAGGTGGTCAGCAAGCGGGTGGGCATTGCGGTGCCCCGCCTCCCCGCTGTGCCCACCCCGCTGCGCCCAGGCTTCCCCCGGACACCGCAGCCTGCTGACGACCCCCTGCACCCACTCACCTATGGCCAGCTCCCTCGGGTGGGCCTCAGCCCGGACAGCCCAGGTAGGTCCTCCAGAGGGCAGTACTGGCGCCTGGTTGGTTGTCTGGCTTTGGCACGCTGCCAGTCAGCTGTTGGCAGTGCCGACTGAGGCCTGAGCCCTGTGCTTTGCCCCCTGCAGCAGGTGACAGGAATAGCGTGGGCAGTGAGGGCAGCGTGGGCAGCATCCGCAGTGCTGGCAGTGGGCAGAGTTCTGAGGGCACCAATGGCCACAGCACCAGCCTCCTTATTGAGAATGCCCAGGTAGGAGCAGGGGGTGCTAGGACCAGGGACGGGCCGACCCCCCACCGCCAGCTCCCCCAGCACTGAGTTGGCTCCTTCCCTGTCCGCAGCCGCTGCCCTCTGCCGGAGAGGACCAGGCGCTGCCAGCACTGCACCCCCCATCCCTGGCTGGTAGGAAGAGGAGATGGGACCTGGGCTGGCTAGGACAGGTGCAGGTGGGAGGCCGGGGGCGTGGTCCCCTTCCTCCAGCCGCCTGATTCCATTTCTCTCCTTCCTCGAAGACAACCTGAGCTACCGGCCTGTGGCCAGCTACCGCTCTGGGGAGCAGATCTCCACCCAGGACGTGAGGCCGGAGCAGCTGCTGGAAGGGAAGGTGAGTCCTCCGCTTGGGATGTCCTGGGGGCCTCGGGCCAGGAGGGGAGGCAGGGGACATGGGAGGGCTTTCCTGGGGGCACTTAAGTCCCCCTGAGACCAGGCCCCTTGGGGAGAGGCTGGAGCAGATGGGCTGGGCTGTGGCCTCGGCTCCTCCTCCCAGGCTCACTCCGCCCCTACCCGACAGGACGCCCAAGCCATTCATAACTGGCTGAGTGAGTTCCAGCTGGAAGGCTACACGGCCCACTTCCTGCAGGCCGGCTATGACGTGCCTACCATCAGCCGCATGACGCCTGAGGTCGGTGCTGCAGCCGGGGAGGGCCGGGCAGGGCCCCGCAGAGAGGCGGGGCAGGCGGCCTGACCGCCAGGCTCTGTGTGTGTGTGTGTGTGTGTGTGTGTGTGTGTGTGTGTGTGTGTGGCAGGACCTGACGGCCATCGGGGTGACCAAGCCTGGGCACAGGAAGAAAATCGCCTCGGAGATTGCCCAGCTCAGCATCGCCGAGTGGCTGCCCAACTACGTCCCGGTGAGCGGGCCGGGAGGGCACGGGTCCCGCCGAGCTGTGGCTTTGCGGCGAGGCCGGCCCGGAGCCAGTTCTCACCACGGCGCTGCTCTTGCAGGCCGACTTACTGGAGTGGCTGTGTGCGCTGGGGCTGCCCCAGTACCACAAGCAGCTGGTGAGCAGCGGCTACGACTCCATGGGGCTGGTGGCCGACCTCACCTGGGAGGAGCTGCAGGAGATCGGCGTCAACAAGCTCGGTGAAGGCTTCGGCTGGGGCCTCCTGCGTGGGGGGGATGGGGGGCAGGGTGTGTGTGTGTGCTGGGGCCTCCTGCGTGGGGGGGGATGGGGGGCAGGGTGTGTGTGTGTGCTGGGGCCTCCTGCGTGGGGGGGGATGGGGGGCGGGGTGCGTGTGTGTGTGCTGGGGCCTCCTGCGTGGGGGGGGATGGGGGGCAGGGTGTGTGTGTGTGTGCTGGGGCCTCCTGTGCCGGGGTGTGTGTGTGTGCTGGGACCTCCTGTGTCGGGGTGTGTGTGTGTGTGTGTGTGCTGGGACCTCCTGCGCGGGTTGGGGGGATGGGGTGTGTGTGTGTGTATGTGTGCTGGGACCTCCTGCACCGGGGTATGTGTGTGTGTGTGTGTGTGTGTGTGTGCTGGGACCTCCTGCGCTGGGGTGTGTGTGTGTGTGTGTGCTGGGACCTCCTGCGCCGGGGTGTGTGTGTGTGTGTGCGTGTGTGTGTGTGCTGGGACCTCCTGCGCCAGGGTGTATGTGTGTGTGTGTGCTGGGACCTCCTGCGCCGGGGTGTGTGTGTGTATGTGCGTGTGTGTGTGTGCTGGGACCTCCTGCGCCGGGGTGTGTGTGTGCGCACTCCGAGAGAAGAGGGAACAGCTGACTGGGGCGCCCTTCCCAGCCGCTAACCGGAGGCTTCTCCACCCCACTCAGGGCACCAGAAGAAGCTTATGCTGGGGGTGAAGAGGCTGGCGGAGCTGCGGCGGGGCCTGCTACAGGGGGAGGCCCTAGGCGAAGGTGGGCGCTGGCCGGCCAAAGGTCCGGAGCTGATGGCCATCGAGGGGCTGGAGAACGGGGAGGGCCCAGCCGGGACTGGCCCACGCCTCCTCACCTTCCAGGGCAGCGAGCTGAGCCCAGAACTACAGGCAGCCATGGCAGGGGGTGGCCCTGAGCCACTCCCCCTGCCCCCTGCTCGCTCCCCCAGCCAGGAGAGCATCGGCGCCCGCTCACGGGGGTCTGGCCACTCACAGGAACACACTGCCCCCCAGCCCTGCGGAGGCGACCCCAGCACCCCCCAGGAAAGGAACCTTCCAGAGGGCACGGAGCGGCCTTCTAAGCTTTGCTCCCCACTTTCTGGCCAAGGAGCCCCCCCTTATGTTTTCATGTACCCCCAGGGCTCGCCCTCCAGCCCGGCCCCAGGGCCACCTGCTGGTGCACCCCGGGCCTTCTCCTACTTGGCCAGCGCCCCTGCTGCCCCCCCAGACCCACCTCGGCCCAAGCGCAGGTCCCATAGCTTAAGCCGCCCCGGCCCTGCAGAGGGTGAGGCTGAGGGGGAGGCCGAAGGGCCGGTGGGCAGTGCCGTGGGCAGTTATGCCACCCTTACCCGGCGACCAGGACGCAGCGCCCTCGCCCGCACCAGCCCTAGCCCGGCCCCAACGAGAGGGGCTCCTCGGAGCCAGTCCTTTGCTCTCCGGGCCAGGCGCAAAGGCCCCCCGCCCCCGCCTCCCAAGCGCCTCAGCTCCGTCTCTGGCCCCACCCCGGAGCCAACGCCACTTGATGGAAGCCCAGGCCCCAAGGAGGGGGCCCCAGGGCCCCGAAGACGGACGCTGAGTGAACCAGCTGGTCCCCCAGAGCCTCCCTGCCCGCCTGCCCCACCTGGCCCCGCGTCGGACACAGAAGAGGAACCAGGCCCTGAGGGGACACCCCCGTCTCGGGGCAGCTCGGGAGAGGGCCTGCCGTTCGCGGAGGAGGGCAACCTGACCATCAAACAGCGGCCGAAGCCAGCCGGGCCCCTGCCCCGGGAGACACCCGTACCCCTCGGCCTCGACTTCAACCTCACAGAGTCGGACACTGTCAAGCGGAGGCCCAAGTGCCGGGAGAGGGAGCCGCTGCAGACGGCCCTGCTGGCCTTCGGGGTGGCCAGTGCCACCCCCAGTCCCTCTGACCCCCTGCCCTCCCAGGCACCGGCGAGGCCCCCTCCCCAGCATCCTCCGGCCCTTCCCCTAGGCCGAGTCTAGTAGCTTTCGTCTTCAGGAGCTCCGCGCCCCTGCTCCCACTTCAGTCATCAGGCCCTTGTGACCCTGGGACCTTCAATGCTCTGGACTCAGTCTGGAAAACCCCACAGGCAGTCGGCGGAATGGGGAGACTGAGCCCCCAGCTGCGCCCTCTGCTCTCCTGAAGGTGCCCGGAGCAGGTAGGAGGGCTGGGTTCTGCAGAGAGGGGCGCTGTGTGGAGGTCGCCACCAGCCCTGCCAAACCACTAGCCTCTTTGTCTCTACAGGAACCGCCCCCAAGCCTGTGTCGGTGGCCTGCACACAGCTGGCTTTTTCTGGTCCTAAGCTGGCTCCCCGGCTCGGCCCCCGCCCGGTACCCCCTCCCAGGCCTGAGAACGCCGGGGCTGCAGGCCCAGGCCAGGCCCAGCAGAGGCTGGAGCAGACCAGCTCGTCCTTGGCGGCAGCACTGAGGGCCGCAGAGAAGAGCATTGGCGCGGAGGAGCGTGAGGGGTGAGGGTGCTGGGTGCTGGGACGGCTCCCCAGGTCCCTGGGAACGCTGGAGAGGGAGGCAGCAGGCCGAGCCTGCTCTGGCCTGCTTAGGCCGGTCCCGTCCTCTGAACCTCTGCACACATCTGCAAGGAGAGGAGTGAACTGCGGCCTCAGGAGGCTGTGACGTGTAGGGGTGACGCACACGGCGCCTGGGGGGGTGGCACACACAGCGCCTTCCCGGGGTGGCCAGCTGCAGGCCACTGGCCAGTCTCATCAGGCCTTCTCTTTGCCACAGCCCCCCTGGCACCTCCACCAAACACATCCTGGACGACATCAGCACCATGTTCGACGCCCTGGCTGACCAGCTGGATGCCATGCTGGACTGAATGTGACCGCCTGTGGCCCTCAGTGGTGCCCAGCGTGACTGGCGGTGTCCCCGTCTTGCCCTGGCATGGAAGAGTCCCTCCACCCTGGAGAGACGGAGGCGTGGGCCAGGCTGAAGCCTGTCCTGTGGCTGTGAGCACAAGGCTAGTGGGGCAGTCCTGTGGCAGAGGCCCAGGGGGCTTGTCAGCCTCCACCAGCTGAGGGGCCCCTACTGCAGAGCCCCCCCTGTGTCGTCTGACCAGGCTTGGGATCCTGGGAGGGGGGTGCTTTACCTGCCCCAACCCCTGTCTCGAGTCCGTGTGCCAAGGGACACCTCTGGCCACCGGCCGTGCTGCCCTAGCACTCAGGCTTTGGCAGGAGGCAGCGTGCCTGGCTGGGCCACCCCCACTCCCACGCAGGTGCACACAGGACATGCCCTCCTGGCCAGCTCCTGCCCCGCCATCCCACTGGGAGGCCGGCAGGGGTGGGAGGCGGCAGGATCAGCAGATGCCTCACACACCTTCCCAGAGTCCAAACTTTTTCAACTGTAAATGTTATTTTTTAAGCAGAGAGAAGTGCATATATTTTAAATGAGATTTATTCTATCTATTAACCGCCTGAGAGGACACAGTGGGGGAGGGAGTTTGGACCCCAACAGGTGCCCACTGGCCCCTCAGGGCTAGAGGCCTGACCTGGCTGGTGCAGGCCCCGCCTCTGTCACCGCTCACCTCTTCCCCCAACTAACACCAATGAAAACGTCATTCCACGCAAGCAGGCTGTGTGTTTGCATCTGTGCCTCAGGGTCTCACCTGAGCAGACCCCCGGGGCCACCCACCGATGGGGAAGGAGGGAGGTGTTGGGACTCCCCTCGGCCCCCACGGCCTGAGGAGGGGGCAGACCCCTCCGTGGCTGCCTCAGGGACCAGCCACAGGTTTTTCTTCAGCAATTTACAAGTTTTAATACAAACCAGTCTACATTCATTCCTAAAAGGCTCATTTCCAGTAAAAAATATACACCAATAGAAACTTCGCAAGGAGAATGAGGGCTGGGGCTACAGGAGCCCTGGGCCGGATCCCCAAGAGGGACCTGGGGCCGGTTGAGCACAGGGACTGGAAGGGGCTCGGGCGAGGGGCCCTTCTCCAACTCCAGGCCCAGGCTGAGACCCACACAGAGAGGGGTCTTCAGGGCCACACCCAGGCCTTGTGCAGAAGGTGGGATGAGCAGCGGCGGGGAGGATGTGTCACCGCCCATTCAGCCCCCGCCACGGCAGCAGCCATTGCTCTTCAGAAAGGGCAATGGGGAGGGGGGAGGGTCCTAAGGGCCCCCCACCAAGGCTGAGGTCAGATATTCAAGAGTGCCCAGGGGAGAGTCAGGGTGGTCATGACCGGCCGGGGCCACTGCCGGTCACCTCCAGGACAAGCCCCGGAGGTCAGGAAGACTTCCAGCGCCACAGGGCACAAGAGCAAACCCTGGAACCTTCACGGTGCCAATCCTCCAGACTCAGAAATGGGCCCGGCTGCAGCCCCAGGGGCGGGGCAGCCAGGACCGCCAGGCAGCGGCTCAGAAGGGAGAGTTCATGCCCAGCTTGGTTTCAAACTGCAGCTTCTGTCGCTTCTGGTAGCGCACACGGACCCTGGTGAGGTGAACGTCCAGGTTGGCACCGGCCCTCACCAGAGGACAAGGAGCAGGACGCCAGTGGCAGCGGGAGGGCGGGGCATGGGCAAGACGGGGCGGTGAGGTGAGGGGACACGCGGGAGCCCAGGGGCAGGTGCCCTGCCGGCAGCTCACCGAATCTCGTGCAGCTTTACGATCTCGTTGGTGACCACCACGAGGACCAGGGACAGGCAGCCCAGGAGCCACGTCAGCAGCGGCACGTCCTCCAGGCCAAAGTGGACGCGGCTGTCCCTGTGCGTCCACAGCTGCAGGTCCACCACCGTCTGGACCACCTGGCCCAGCAGGCTGCAGGAAGAGGGGTGGCCCCACATGAACCCCAAGTCTGCTGGCTTCTTCCCAGCCTCCTCACCACAACAGCTCAAGGAGGGCACCCTCATCCTAGCCCTGGCCCGCAGTGCCCACTCAGGGCTACTCACACCACAGGCACCGTCACAGCCCACCAGAGGTTCGTCAAGGGGCTCTTTCTCCACAGGGGCTTGGTGCGATGCACGTGGGTGATGGAGATGAAGACTGGCAAGAATGGGGTTGGGGCAGGGTGTCAGGCTCCCCACTGGCCCAAGGACTCGCCCCCCCCCCCCAGCCTCCACCCCAGGGAGACCCCTCACCGGTGTGTAGGACAATCAGGGCAGCTGTGAGCTTCTGAGCTGACAGCAGCCCGTTGGCGAAGTCCCCGAACCAGGCTGGAGCCCTGGCGTCGTCGCTGCCAAAGCAAGACACGGGCTCAGGCTCCGCTCCCGTGGGCCTGGGGCGCAGCGGCCGGAGGGCGGGGCAGCACGGGCCGGGACCCACCTGCGCAGCAGGATGGAGGAGCAGCTGGTGAGGTTGCGGGCCCGGGAGCTGTCGCAGAAGCTCTGCAGTGTGAAGCCGAAGCAGACGAGGCACGAGGTGATGGTGAGGCTGAACTTGAGCAAGAAGCAGAGCAGGAAGTAGTGCTGGGTCTGGGGAGGAGGCAGGCCGCTCACTGCCGGGCGGGTGGCTCTGGTGTGGCCTGGCGCCCAGCCCGGCTTGCTCACAGGTTCACGCTCAGTGAATGGGGGCGCTGAGGGGCGGCCCAGCTCCTCTTGGAGGTGAGCAAAGAAGGAGCCGAGTGCTGGCTTCCCAGTTCCGGTGGGGGAGTTCCCCGTGCTGGTCTCCCCGGAGCCTCAGCCCCCTGCACACACTTGCACCCTCCCCGAGAGGCCCAGCTCACCTTCTTAGGGATGGACTGAAGGTTTTTCCCCGTGGCCATAGACATAATGGAGCTGTGGGGGGGCTTCCCCAGGAGAGAAATGCTGAAAAGCAGAGGTTGGGCAGAGATGGAAACCGAGCTGCTGTCCCCCAGATCTCATGGGGGAAGGCTAGGGAGTCGTGGGAGTTTGGTCAGGCCTGGTGGGGCGACGGAATAAGCCCAGGGAGTCTCCTCAGAGCCCTCTGCACCACAGCAGATGGGCCCTGCGTGGCTCTTCCAGAACCCTGGGCCCCCGTGCGTTCTGGAACGTCCGGCCCCACCTGCCTGGCCAGGCACAGACAGGCTGCGTGGCCTCTCACCTGAGAAGAGGGTAGCAGAAACAGGACAGCCACAGGATGTCAGTGGTGCTCAGGAGTGGGGGCAGCTGGACCAGGCAGGAAAGGAACTAGTCAAGGAGAGAGTCCAGGAACCGCGATTAGATTCTGGCAAATAATACGACCCTAGCGGCCCCTGGCTGCCCTGAGCCATGCCTGGACACGCTCACAGCTTGGCTGGGAGGGGCTGGGGCTGGGGAGAGCCCTATTCTGTGAATGGGGCACCTGCCACAGCCTCAGGGGTCTCACAGAGGCTCCGGGGACACCCTGGCAGTGCTGCTACCCCGCCTCCCTCGTCAGACCCACAACTGACTCTCGCTCACCTGGATGACCACAAGGGTCAGCTGGCACTGCAGCAAGAAGAGGAAGCACTTGCGGATGCCGTAGGTGGCATGCCGGGCCTGTGGACCAAGAGGGACAGGTTAGGGCCCAGGCCTCCCCACCAAGTGTAGCTGAGAGCCACGTGCTCACGGTGTTCATGCGAGGAAGGTGGGGAGAGCTGCCCGGCAAGGGCACGAGGCCCAGGGGGCCCAGGCCTCACCCCTGCCCCTGCCCCCGCCCCTGCCTGCTCGATGAGCCGGATGATGCTGATGGTCTAGGCCTCACCCCCGCCCCTGGCTGCCCAGGCAGGTGCTGCGCCCCCCACCCCTCCCCCGCCCCCACCCCACCTGCTCGATGAGCCGGATGATGCTGATGTCTAGCCCCCCCCTGCCCCTGCCCCTGCCCCCGCCCCCCACCCCACCCTGCCCCCGCCCCTGCCTGCTTGATGAGCCCGATGATGCTGATGGTCTAGGCCTCACCCCCCGCCCCTGGCCACCCAGGCAGGCGCTGAGCCCCCCATCCCGCCCCTGCCCCCACCTGCTCGATGAGCCGGATGATGCTGATGGTCTCCTCCTGGCGGAAGCTCAGGGAACAGGGCAGGCTGTTGAGCTGTCCTGACAGCTGCAGGGGGGAAAGGCCCTCTGAGGCCTGGGCCATGCTGGTGCTGGTGGCGTAGCCGAAGGTCTCCCAGGAGCAGCGGGATGGGTACAGCGGATCCAGGGCAATGCTGCGGAAGCAAGACCCACCCATCAGCTGCACTTGGGGAGACCCTTCTCCCCACAGGACTGGCGCTCATCCTCTTCTCCCACCGTGCCGGTGCCTGGGTCCCCGCAAGGGCAAGGCGAGCCGGGGCACACCCCCAGCCCCATGCAGGCCTGCCGGGCTCAGGAGGTGGGGCTGGTCGGCGCGAGGGGCCCGCCTGACCTGATGTCGCTCTGCAGGAAGAGGCAGCTGTTGCGCAGGTTGGCCGAGCTGCCCAGGCAGCAGGTCACCTCCCCGTACTCCTGCATGATCTTTATCATCTCACACATGGCTGGGGGCAGCGGGGAGGGCACGGGAGTCAGGCAGGTGGAACCCCAGGGGGACTCGGGGCAGACACGCATGGGACAGCAGAGCAGGAGGCAGCGGGAGACAGGCTCCTCTTGGGAACAACCCCACCCCACGGGAACACTGTCACTTCTGTCTAGTGCGGGCGAGCCCACAGCTCTAGGCAAACTCGACTCCCCAGCCCAGGTTTCTCCACTCCGTGCATGGGAACACCGTATCTCCTTCAAGGAGCCCAGGGGGAGCCTGGCCAAGCTCAGCAGAAGGGGCCGGGTGCCCGAGTGCCCACAGACACAGCACTCACTCTCAGGGGTGCAGTCGGTGAAGAGGGGCACCAGCAGGGGCACGTTGTCGATGTTCTGCAGGTGGGGCCGCACCTGGTGGATGCCCCGGGGCAGCTTGGCCTGGCGCGAGCAGAGACGTAGCCTCAGACTCAGGATCT